CCCCAAAAAAAAAACCGCGGGGGGAAAAAAAAAAAAAACCGGACCCCGGGGCCCGGGGCCCAAAAAGAAAAGGGGCCCGCCAAAAAAGGGGGGGCCAAGGGGGGAAAACCCCAACCCGGAGGCAAACCCCGGGGGGGGGGGCGGACGAAAAAAGGCCGGCCCAGGGGGGAAAACCCAAAACCCGGGGGCAAACCCCGGGGGGGGGGGGGGGGGGGGGGGGGGGGGGTCGTACTCTTATGTTTTGCATGCCTTAGCGGTTAGACCATTGACCACGCGCCCTCGAGAGTGGAGGCAACGAATGCATTAGCCACACGAAAACACAAAGAACCTGCGTCAACATAGGTTAAGAACCGTAGCACGATGCGTCGCTGGTGTCCTTTCTTTGAAAGTTTATCACCAGCAGTCGCGAAGTCGCGCGCACACGGATGTCATGCTAGCTATTGAGCATGTCTGACGCGACAAACGGGGAAACAACGCACAAGGGCAATTGAACTAAACAGATATCTCAGCTGCGAGCGGAGAGAGGTGACAAGAAAACGGAACGCGCTCAGATCTTGCATCATACCTGCCGGCGTCGAAGAAGTTGTCGGCACCGCTGCCGTCGAAAGCCGATCGAAAAAAGTCGAACAGAATGTCCTTCCTCAGCGTCTCAAGCCCGCCATAGCCGGTGTCGATCAGGTTTTGGATGTGTTCATCCTTGTCGTACAGCACGACAAGCTGCTCCAGGCACGACACGATGGGGCCCAGGATGCGCGAAACCTACGCCATTTGTTGCGGCGGCGGCGGGAAGGGGGATCGTCACGCTTGCTTCCTCGGCACCCGCGGTGACTTATTCGCGACACAGCGTTACTTTCATGCATCAACAGACAAAACACATTTGCCCTTCTCCACGACATCTCGCTAACCCCCTCCGGTACGTGCCCTGTTGTTCGCGCTACCGAACTTAGCACTGCTGTTGACACCGAATTCCGTGACTCTTGGTGAAAAAAAACAGACAACCCGGCACGGTGCCAATGTCGCAACGGTATTCCATGATATCATTAGCTAGCACTATTCGTCGTAGTCTGAAAACCACCTCTGATGCGGGCTTCTGATCTCAGGTAGCTTACTACAATATCAACCGCAGAGGCACACGCACCTGGGTATACTTGTCGATAAACATCAGGGCGTTCGGTACGTTGTGGTCGCCCAGGTGGATGACGCTGCTCCCTACCCAGCTCTGTACCCCATGCTGGGCGTGGAACAGGATCTCCTGCGGCGATGCGACAACATCAGCAACACTATTAGATAGGCAGGCAACGAGAGAACGTCTGCCTTCTGCGGAGCAAGGGCGCAAATGCCTGCAGACTGTCCAACGAATTAACGCGCGCATAACATGCTTCCGAGCAACGAGTGACTCGGGAAACAGCACTAAACGTGTTGAAGACGAGTGTGGCCAGCACTAAACGCGTGCCAGGAAAGCCAAACGCAACGTTGTACCTGCATGGCTTTGAAGGTCTGGGGGCTGTTCTGCACCCGTTGTTTCCCTTGCCCCGTGTCCACTAGCTTGTAAGCAAAGCTTTCGGAGAGCAAGTCTTCCTCCCCTAAGCACCACAGTCGAAACATGTCGTGCATGATATCTCGCCACAACGTTAGCGACTGTTCAAAACAAGCGGCAGGGCGGACAAGGACAGCGGCGGAGAGATTTAGCATTGACATGAGAAAACAAATGGCCGTTGTGCCGCAAAGTGAACCATGCAAGCGGACAATCGCACCGACGCACCTGTGCACACATCGATACACATCGATAAGCGGGGTGAAGACCACACCCTCCCCACTTCCCAGCACCATGTACTCAGCGCAAAAGATTCATTCAAACGACGATTTAAACGACGGCGCTGTCACGCTGCTCTTTCAACGCTTCGACACCGAAACCACGGCGACTAGTGAGGCACAGCAGCCTTGCCTGATGCGCAAAGTTGTACTGTCGCGCGTGGGAGTGCGTCAAGCGCGCCCCGCCCTCTCCGGCTGAGATGGCCAGGGAGTAAGCATCGTCTCCCGGAGTGTCCGGTGAGAAGTACTTCTCCAAAAACGCTATCATCTTGTCGATGGGCACGCGGTTCGAGTTGAGAAAGGAGTCATTGTCGCACCTGTAATAGTAGAATACAAGCGAGCCAGTCTGGTGTGAGGGCGTTCGACAACATCGGGGTCAGGCGTGATACGGTAGAAGCAGTGGCCGCATTTTAATCGCAGCGGCGTCACCGGAAGAGACATCCATGCCCTCAGCAGACTGACAACATCCTAGCAAGACATGATGTATATACGAACCGCATTCCTCCGAACTGACCACATCCAGAGGTACACTGCACGTTCTCAAGGCTGGTTTCGCCGGGCATGAGCAGGCATCACTCACATGCTGTAGAGGCAGGTGTGGATGTCATCCTGTGAAAGGTTGTGGGTGGCATACTTCCGCTTGATCTGCGCCACCGCTGTCTCCTGAGAGGCGTGAAATATCACACCACGGGAAACCAGGAGGGGTCTACTTTAGGCATGACGATATTTTTTGCACGAACAAGAGCTTTCACGCCAACATGGTTCTGCCTAAACATGAAGCACGCCAGGAAAATCTGCACGATTATCAAGACATGCAACATGTTGTCGAATGCGGCCCTTGACACCCCCCAAACTGACACATATCTTGCACATCACACCTTCCTCCTAATGTCCTTGGTGATCTGCGGTCGTGGCCTGCCATTCGCCAAGACCTCCCTTGTCGCAATCTCCACGTTCGGATCGCTAAGAATCGCCAGGCCTCCCCTTTCCCTCAAGAACTCGTACACCGACTTCACTCCTCTCTTGATGTTCAAGTTCAAGATACGCTGCGCCTCCGGGGATACCGCGTCTTGCATCAGGTAGATCAGCTGCGAGCCAGAAAAAAACAAAGGCGACATAGTTTCTATCAAAATTGCATGGATGGAGATCTTGTTGGTGCCCAGTAGGAGAGTTGTGAATCTCAGCACACGGCTACTCACTCCTCACTCCCGTCTGAAACTCAGAGTGGTAAAAAAGACGTGCGACTCCCACATGGTGGAGACAAGTCATACGGAAATCCAACACCCCGACCATAGTCTATATAAGATAGCTTTCTGTGCGCGCTCCCCCAGCCACACGGGTACAGGTTGTCTTGCGACCCAGGCTGCCATTTATCGCTGTCCGCATGCACAGCCGCAAACAAGGCAGGGAAAAAGAGCCAAGAGAGAGAGAGAGGCGGCTTTCCCATGCCACCAATTTTGCCCGCAAACATGCCAGCAAGTTGCGCCACAAGAGGTGATGCATATTCGTGAGGAGTCTCCAGAATAAAAAATAATCTTGGGTATACTGTTCTCCCGAAGATCGTCTCTCACGACATTTTGGACGCGCGTGCACGCACACAGAGGTCACCCCCAGCACTTAAATCTTAAGTCCATCATCCTCGCCCAAAGCAGTCACCTTAGCGTACTCCGTACGCATCTTCTCGGGGTTCATAATCTTGTGTCTTCGAGCGATCTCCAGCACGTCCTGGAAAAAACCCTCGTGCTCGCTGTACCCTCGCTCGTCGATCATCGTCATGCCCTTCTGGTAGTCTACCGCAAGCACCAGCCCGCTCAAGAACCGCGTGATCTGAACAACAAACAGCCCCGACAACAACAAGTACGGTAGGTGCAACGTAAACGAGGGGACACCACTTGGAACATGCCAATGACGCCACGGCCAGAGAAAGTCGAAGTACTGATTGGTAATCCTTCTCAAGAATCTCAAGAATTTTTGGGCTGTAAGACTCTGTATTGAGTTTCTCAACTACGCACACTACCGAATGTCTGCATGGACGAGGCCGGAAGTGCCAGAACTGAGTACACGGCAAATCAACATACATAACATATCGCAGAGCGCCTTCGCGTATACACGCGCATGTGCGTGTAAAGGAACCGCGAGTGAAATGTGGACTCCGGCTGTGAACATATTGTGCCACTTGGGACCGCACGTCTAAGATTGACAACAGATAAATATTCCGTTTGTGTAGCGAGAAGGGGTGCATCGTGCTTCCCAAGAGCAGAGGCTGCCTGCTAAACACGGTACAACAGCGAACAGAATAGAAACGCTGATGCCCGACGAGAAATGATTCACCCACCTGCTTGAGGATGAGGTGGCTGCGCTTGCTCGCCGAAGGGAAGTCGGCATCGACCTTCCCTGTGTAGTCCGTGACAGAGATGACCGACTCCACCAGTCGCAAGTAGCGGCGCTCGTCGGAAGTCAGTCGCACCGGAATGTACTTGGATCTCTCGGAGAAAGATTTTCTGGAGCATACACACGATCATGTGGGTACCGCAGTTGTGGGCGGCGGCGGGGGGTAGAGGTCAATGCATGCCACTGCTTCGTGATGTCAACTCTAGAGAAGGTGAAAGAAGCGTGTATTGCCAAATGGCAGGTAAAGAAATATGAGGTGAGAGCCGTCAAGACGGTGTGGTGTGGCGATACGACAAAAAAAAACATCGACTCCGTGATGTGGAGGCATCCTTGGATGATAATACCGGGTTCGATAGCAAACTATAGCAGCGCTTGGAGTGAGAGACAACGGTGTGCCTCGGTGCTGCAGTTGCCTCATCAAAGGAGGGTGCCAGGCCATGCGTGACTTGATCCCAGATGTCCTGAGGTTGCTGTGTGTGGTTGTGTTCCCGACTCTGGGCCATGAAACGCTGGGTCAAACTGGGGGTACAACCAACAATCATCCTCGTGGGGATGGGAAACACGGTCTCGTTTGAGTTCGCCATGACCGTATTTAGTCGTGGGGCGTAACCTTGTCTCGATTCAGGCCGTATATTAACGAAGTGCCAAAAAATAAAATAAAATAAAAATAAAAATCGAGATCTGATTGGTCGAATATCTGCTACCTCCTGACGACCCCCTTTGATTTTATGGAAGTTTCTCTGTCTGGGAAGAAGTCCCCGGGGGACTTTTTTTTTTTATCAAAATCAAAATCAAAGAGGCAAGGAGTTCAAGACTTCGAAGGCTTGGAGCACCTGCCGCGAGGCCGCTGCAAAGCAAGTGTACGACACAACCTGCTGTACACTGCTCATAGAAGGGCTATCGGCACCCTACCACCGACACCATGGCCGTTATTTGTAGCCAGAAGACTCTGCTAGCCGGCACGCCAAAAACCGGGTCGGCTCGTTGGGTGCTCGAGGAGAAAATGCCGATCGTGACAAGCGGTGAACGGACTGACGATCAGAACAGGGCTGCACGGCCTTTTCGGGCTGGTCCGTGCGGGATAAAGGGTAGTTGTAACATTTTTTCTCCACACTCACGATACCCCGAGGCATCTTACCTTGTACGAGAAAGATGGTGGGTAGAGCTACCTCCCGTCGCGTGGCATTGCTAATGCTGTTGCTTCCTCCTTCGAAGAGTTATCGCTGAAAAACTAAACTGTGAGCAGACATTCGGCGCGAACTTGAACTAGCCGCTCTCTGACGTGGATATTTTAGGGTCAACCAAAACTTTTCCCCTATACGCACGATACCCCACGGTAGCAGACCTTGGGTTTGAAAGATGGAGCAGAGAGGTACCTCCCGCCGCGTGGCGTTGCTGTTGCTGTTGCTTCCTCCTTCGGAAAGTTATCGGTGGACAACCAAACCCGTGGCGGCCCAAAACACCGAACTTGAAGTGACCGCTCGCAACCGTTGGCATTTTTGCTTCAACACAACCTTTTTTTTCCGGCGCATTCGGCACCTCACGGCGCCAACCCTTGGCATTGCCCAACAGCCCATGTTACCAGCTCCTTCCTGATACCAGTCTTGAGGCAACTCGTTAAGTATTTGGCAAGATATCGGCTAACACGTGAACAGAAGAGCTCAAAACCCACCCAAGAAAAATCACCGCTTCGCTGCTGGCTCTTCCCCTGGCGCCTGGTCTTTTTTTATTTTTTGCCTCATCTGTATCCTATCCTCGTTAACATACACGACCCTCGTTCTTCAGTTTTCCACGATAAATTTAACGCATTTGATTTTGATCTTGTCCATATTTTGATTTTGATTTTTGGCACTTCGTTAATATACGGCCTCACATGCCAAGGGTTGTCTTATTCAATCGCGGCGGTCTCCTGTTGCCTATTTCTATACCATGGTATACATATTCGAAGATGTGTGTGTTGTCACCCCATCTATTATTTTCGTCAGACGACGAAATTCGGCATATGCATACATCAGCACGGGTTCGCACAGAGGGCAGGGTATGCAGGGCTTGTGTTGTCACCACCCTTATGCGAGCTTGACTCTACTGCTGTGTGTATCTTGTCATCGCGAGAGGGAACCAGCAGTCCCTTCCCGTTTTGCTTTCCCTTATCATCAAGGAGACTCGGTAATCCGTTTTACATCAAGCGATACAACCCCTCTCCACACCGAGCAGTTTGTTTCTCCCGACACAAATTGTTGTAAGGAGTTATCATAGCGTGCACTGGCCCACCAGCGCCAACGTATACTGCACCCACCACCCACCTGTACGCTTACTTCGCTCCTGTAGATCGTGCGTTGGCATCGGTCGGTCTCCCTTGAAAAAGAACAATCAAGACTTCATATTATTTTCTGCTCCAGCAACAGCAGTACTACATACACCCGCGACACTGCCGCCACATTGTTCATCCACAGGCTGGGCAACAACAATAGCAGGATACCCACAACACTGGTGCTGACCTATCATACATGTCGGGATGCGCCTCCTCCTTTTGTGGAGGCAACCGCGGCCCAATCCACCCGCTCAGCCCCTTCCCGGCTGCTGGCCCACAATTTCCGGTAGCTGCCCCCGGGCGCTCGATCTTTTCTGGCTTGTGCAAGGCCCTTTTCCCCTTGCGGTGCAGCGCGTAGAAACAAACGTCGCAGAACACTCCACCACACCCCTGCTTGCAATCCCACACTGGTCGCCTATCCTCGCACTCTTCACAATGCTCGGGGACACTGCGCTCGCCAGAAGCACAATTCTCATCGTTTGCCGATGCCCCCCCCCCACCGTTTGCCATCGCAGCATCACCATCCGAGTCCATGCTGGGCGCGGGGTGGTGAAAGAGGGAGTGCAAAGGTAGGGAGAGACAAGGGCCGCTTGTGCGTGTACGGACGGTGGTTTGTGCGCGTACCCTGATACTGATATGCGGGCGGACGCTGTGCCTACGTTTCGGGGCCATCCCCGTGTAGGTTTTAGATGTACGGAGCCCCCGCTGGCAGAGGCAGGCAGGTTCCAAGCAGCAAGCAAAGGCGCGTAACTTGGCAACCAGGGAGGGACAGAGCACGGGAGGCAGAGCAAACGAACGTCAAGGTTTCTCGATTATCACAACATCGATCCAAACCTTTCGTGAGGTGGATTTCGGGCTTTATCGGTAGATCAACCTTCAGCGTTTTCGCAGGGCGAGGAGGTGCGCTGGATCTGTGGCGCGAGGGCTTGGAGCCAACCTAAACGGACAACACCATCGGACCAGCTGAAACCTAGTCATCATGTGAGTGATGCTTGTGCACGCGACCTGCCCTCAACCAATGATTGCCTGCACGTTTTTTTTATGCACCATCGCTTCTGTTGCCTTCGGTACAGTAATTCGAAAACGTGCAGTACTGCTGTAGACTCGTGCCTTATCCAATGTTCGTGTGCTCGAGCAAAGTTACACCAGTTATGTGACACAAGAGAGGACCATGCGAAGACGCGCTGCCCTAACCGTGGTGTGAGTAGAACCGTTGACGTGCTCTTCGGCGCCATCTAGCTGTTAAAGTTGAGGTGGTTTGGTGACAAAACGTGTTTGATTTGTTGATGCTGTCTGCTACCACTGCAATTCGTTTTTTTGTGCCGCAACAGGAGCGGCGAGGAGAGGATCAAGGGTCCGGATGAGGAGAGGGAGGAGGAGTTTGCCACGGGACCGCTCTCCCTGCTGATGCAAGTGAGTATCGAAACATGTACGCCGCGGTACCCCAGAAATCGTTGCTCGCGCGATCTTGCCCTCCTGACTTCCGAAGCGCGTTGTTGGTGCTGCTGTTCTTTGCAAAGGAGGGTGACTGCTGGTGTTTTATTTATGCTTCGGTTGCGAGGGAGGACATGGTCTACACGCGGTAGTTGACGTCTACGTCGCCCACTCATCGCTCGCGAACGCGATGTACCACCTTGGATATCCGAGTCCCGTGGGAGAACAGAGAGCAGTAAATAAGTCTTGCCTTTTCCAAAGCATGCTTCGATTTTCTGGGCTTTAAATCAAGCCAGGTATTCACAAAAGGTTTCGGGCACGAGAAGCATGGGTACCTACCTCTGCACGCCCATACCGGTAGGTGACACAAGACATCACACCCGTTCGACGAATTTTCAGAGCTCGATTTCTCCACAGCAAGTAAGGGTGGCGGTGGCGAAAATGGTGGCGTTGAAGCCGCATCGTCGAGAGTTTCCGTGAACACATGGTTTCATTTATGCATCCTCTCTGTCGTGGGGTAATCGTGCTTCGAAAATCGGTCCAGGGGGTGTGGCACCTTGCCTACGGGCAGCTCGGCGTACGTACATGTTGATCGCTGGTTACTGGGAACGTAACCGAGTGGATCCGGAGAGACTGATGCATCACCTGTTTGTTACTTTCCTTTCGAGACTTAAGGTACGAAAATACTGCAATAATATAATTAGCTCTTCAGATATTTACCTCTTTTGAAATCGTTCCTCGCCCCCGTACGTGCTTGTCCTCCCTTTCCAAAACTACACCGTCCGTGGGGTGGCAGAGCGTCAAGAACAACACACAAGTGCTCATCAACGTCCGGAACAACCACAAGCTGCTCGCACGCATCAAGGCTTTCGATCGGCATTGCAACATGTGTGTGCGAGTTGAACGCTCGAGCTTGGTTTCTGAAGATGCACTACCATGCCTGCGTTGTCAAAAAGGCAGTTGATTTTCGGACACCAGTCGCTCGAACCGGGTTCAGTTTGACATGACCTCCTTGCTACCTTCTTGCGTTGGGAAGATAGTTCAAATATTTCTTTGCGGATTTTATTTCTCGCATGATGCTCATCGAAGCGGGAACGGCGTCTTGGTGGACACTCGAAATTAGACGTGACGGCCAACGAGGGAAGGGATGACTGAATCCTTCTCGCCATATATTGAGGCATGCACCGCAGAGCGAATGCACAAAATGACAGACCTGCCCGTCTTTTTTCGGCAGGGTGTTGACCGACGTGAAGGAGATGTGGACAGAGCAGCCCAAGACGGGGAAGGGGCAGAAGAAGGCGAAGGCGGTAAACAAGGACCGCTACGTCAGCAAAATGTTCCTGCGTGGTGACTCGGTAGTACTCGTGCTGCGCAACCCTACATGAAGCGCGAAACGTGGTTCCACAAGAGATTGTCGTACAGAGCTCAAAAACTTCCAAGACGGTTGGAGGATTAGAGTGCTGCCCCAGTTTGTGGAAACGTACCAAGCAGTGCCGCCGTACACAAACGTGTTGTGCCCAATGGCGCGGACCAGCTTACGTTATCGCGGAATGTTGGTCTGCCTCGGGTGGTAGCGTGTGTATTCACACCAACAGCACGCGACAGCAGTGATGGGGAGAAATTGACGTGAAACCCCAGACTGGGCTGGTCATGTGTATTGCCGAGCGTGATTTCGTTGGTGCTTGCACGCCTACGTGTCAATTGGCGGGCGACTCGTGTCTTCCTTTGCAACAGCGCGTTGTATTTCCATGACGGAGTCGTGGCGAACCATAATCGAGGGGGTAGGGAGAAAGCTGGCCGTTCGTATAGATAAGCAACGTTTGGTGCAGCTCTTGAGGACAGATGTTGATGCCGCAGCATGTGTATTTGTTTAATTTATTTTTACAAAGAAACGATCCGATTGACACGCCGAGCAACGGCAAAATGCCCTCGCAACAATGAGATTCTCCGAGCCGCATGCACCAAAAATAAGTTCGGACCTTCCCCGCTGACTCCACACTAATCGCAGACGTGGGGGGTGGCTTGATGCACGTTTCAAGGGTGAACATTTCCGAGCAGCTCCAAAGGTCGCACGGACACTACATCAAACCTCGTGACGTGGCACGCTCGGCCAATCGATGAAGACCGCACACACACACTTGGCTTTCTACGGTCAGATCCGACTGGGGGCAGACCGGTTCCGGTTACTTCTTGGCGAAGTCCTGGCTGCAAATAACCCAGCTAGACCCCACGCCGCACCCTGCGCCGAATCCCATGACCGCCCGTCGCATGCCCGGCGAACCTGAAAAGCAACGAATGGGACGTGGTTTTGCGCGGCGTGAGTGTACATGCAAGGACACTGTTTCAGCAGGGCACTTGGTCTGTGCATTGATTTTGCGCGGTTCCTTCCAAATATCTTGTCAAGATGATGAAATCACTCCTTCAAGAGTGTCAACCTCCAAATCTTGTGAAGTCTCCACAGCGGTAGAGCTCGACTTTCCTCAGGCATGCCTCTTGAACGTCAACGCCCATTCATCCGCTTTTGGAGACAGCTACATGTGAGCCATCGTCCAAACGTGGTTGTGGCGAAGCTGCCGTGCCTGATATTGTACGTCTAACTCGGAATAGGGGTGCCCAGGTGCTGTACCCGCAGCACTTGGGGCAAGATCTCCTGCTGCCGTAGCAACACGCAGTAGGGGCGTGACAAAACCTTTTGATCGTTCTACCTCACCCGCTGTCATACCAACTAAAAAAATCGTTGTGCTTACAGGATCAGTTCCAGCAGCCTTCTTGCCGTCGTGGCAGCTTGGCTGCTGGAACACTGACGCGCAGCGAGCTAGTCGTGACCAGAGGGGTAGATAGACTGCGAGCTTGGTTGTGGCAATGGGCAAAAATCCAACGACACGGGTGCCTGCTGGGACTCACGTAAACGAATTCATGTGGCTTGCTCCTGGGTTGTGTGTTCGTTGTGTGATATTTTTCGTGCGAACACGAACCACCCCCTCTTTATCGGTAGGTAGGTCACACGGCGGCTTGGTTGAGATACCGTTGCTACGTGTGCATTAGCACCCGTGCCTACATCGTAGAGCAGTGGAAGCCCAACGATAAACAATGCAGTAAATAAATATCTGTATGGCGCGCGGTATAACCGTTGTCGCTCAAGAGGAGTCCCAGAACTAGTTGTAGCGCCCAGAGTGTTTCCCTCCCGGACTTTCCGCACCTCTGCGCGATAGCTCCAATCCCTGTGCGAAACTTGAGTAAAAGTAAGTTCTTGCTTTTTTTATAGCACCCCTGACGACAACTCCACCGCAGTGTCATCGCTTCGCACCGTTGTTCAAACACTGACGTGCCCCGAAGAGCTACGAATCGCGTTTCCCGACCGTGAAGCAGCATTGCATTTGGCGTGGGGTAAACACTTGAGGCATACCTTGGACAAATAAGGACGCACGCGATGTCTTGCCCACTTATTTTCCTTCTCGTTTTCTCCTTCACTCGCAGTTTCTGGCTATTGTATGTATGCATACGGTCTTGCCATCCTCGCCAGATCGCGTGGACAAGCGTATCACTTTTGTGACGAATTCGTCGCCCACAAGCGAACACCGAAAAAACAAAAAACAAAACGTGGCCGAAATTTCAATTTCTTTTCTTAGATGCTGGATGTGTTTTAGGCTAAAATTCCCGGCTATTTAGGCCACCTGGGCGGCCAGGTTGTTGCCGAGAGTACTATTAGGGAGCGCTTCATGGGGTATTTTTCAAAAGTGTCGCCTGGAAAAAAAACAAAAAAAAAACAAGAAAGTTCCAGGCCTTCTTGCCCTTCTCTCGCGGCTCTATCTCCGGGAAACTGCTGTAGATATCTCGACGACCACGCCGTCGATTCACAAGCGGATTTGTGCAGTAAAAAGGCAGAAAGCAGGAGGACAACTTTCGATCTGTTTTCACCTTGAATAACTGTCCCTTTGTCCCCTGTCGATGCTGTATTTGTGGCAATGCGTCAGCACCTACTTCGTCCAGCAGCACGACGAGCAGCACAGAATCATCTACGGCCGCCATGTAGCATATAGATCAGCAAGTACACCACCCCTCGCAAAAGCAAGGAAGACCAGCAGTAGTCAAGGGCAGCAGTAACAGCGGTGATTGTAGCAGCAATTATGTAGAGTGAGGCGATGCTGTCATGAGATGGATGATCCGCGCTTGCTCGGGTGGTGTAAAAATATACGATTTCGTCGACGCCCGTGCATAATTCCCAACGGCGTAAAAGAGAGAGTCTGGCTCTCGCTGTCACTCTGCGCAGTCATGCCGCACGACGCCACCATACACAACAACAGCAGTACGCTGTAGTCTATATATGTGAATGCCACAGGTCCGCGCTTGTGATGCGTGCAATGAGATGAAGATACCTTGTCGTCCTGCTGCGATGCATGTCCGCCAAATCCCAACGAACGGCAAAGAGAAAGCGCATCTCTTTCTATCTGCGCAGCAGTCCTTCCACACCAGCCACATCAACAAGAACCACCACCAACAGCAGGGATGTATGAATGATGAGTGATGCACAGTGCTACTGCACCAGAATGCTAGCCTCTCCTCTCTTGTGCGTTTTGGGTTAGCGCCAGGTGATCATGAACAAAAAAGTTGCCGCTTCGGCAGCTAGCTGTTCAATTTTAATCTACTGCTTCCGTGCCGTCAACTGGAGGAACAGCAGCAGCAGCAACAACAACAGTGAAGCGGATGTTGCCTCCATGTCCCACAAGCCCCTCCTCCTCTGTGTGCTACGTGCTGCGTGCTGTGTGGGCTGTGGTGTGTTGCCGAGTCGACAGTGATGTGTATGTCTGCGGTGCCCCTTTTCAAACGTGTCGCCAATACCGACGGCGTGCCTAGGCCCCTTTATTTCCAAGACAAAAAAAAATGTCACCAATACCAACGTCAGGTGATTCAAAGAAAAAATCGCCTCTCCCATGTATTGCATTGCGTTGGCGTGTTAACAGGAAGCGAGAACGCCAGCCTTTTGGCGTACTGCTCGTAGTGCTAAGGAACATAAGTATAGACACCGACAACGCACATAACCTGAGCCATCTGAAACAACGGGGCTTGGGGGTAGTCTGAAATGTACCATCTGAGCGAATGCTACACACACAGTAGTGGAACTCACGTGTAAGTACCACGCCGGCAAGTCCTGCTGCAACCACTCCCGCGCCGAAGTTGATGACGGTCCGCTCCAAGCACACGTCCCATTTCTCGCTGATTTTGAACTCCGATGGAACCTAAATATGTGAACACACCAGATCGTGTCAGAATGTGAACTAGAAACTCGGTGTCAGTCCTACTAAGAGTACACAGCAGGTCCTCTGCACATGTCCCCAGCAAATGGCGCAGCTTGGCAGCGCACACACGAATACCGCACTATGTGTACCCTGTAACCCTGTAGACTATCGGACTGCAATATCAATGTACAATGTCACTGCTGTGTCTAAACCATTCGCGCTAATTTACACTCACGTTCTTCGGCTTGTTTTCCGCCATAATGACCCGATGAGCTTGTTGCAGAGTAACACAGAGATTGACCCACAGACTGCACAGAGACACAGAGAGGTTCGTGGGATTAGTGTGGGATTGCCGGCGTGCGGTGGTGCAGCCGGTCATCGGTGAAGCACCACATTCCGCGGAGCCTCTGGGGCAGGTTTTCGGCGTGCGGGAAGCGTGTTGGTTCGGGGCTGATCGACATGCTGACTTTGTGTGCCTTGTGTACCCTCGTGCCTCGTGCCCTCTCGCCTCGCACCACCTCGCACTCGCAAGGGCCACAAGGGTGTGAATGCATCTCGAGGCACACAGTTTGGGTGTCTTAAGCGGTGCGGGTTGTCACCCCGTCTTTTCTAGGACGTCAGACTACACGGCGAGCATCTTGTTGTTGTGGATGATCCAGCCGTGGCCAACAGGCAAAGGACACACAAATTGTTTGTTGTTTCTTTTCCCTCTATCGCGAGAAGGATCATCGCTATATCATTTCTCCTCGTCGACCATGGGGTCGAATGAACCTTGTATGCAGCGTACATACGACCTAACCCACGACATGAGAAACATTGGGGTGGTGTCCCACTGAACCACCGGCCATCGAGGCGACCAACAATACTGGAGTGCAATAATACACAAACGGAACGAACAAGTGTATCTAGACACTGGAAGGTACTGATATCCCTGAATCATATCTCCTTTGAGCTTTGGGTACAGACGTTCTCCTCCTGGAGCAGCGATTGTGGCTTGAGGAGAGGGCGTTTTTGTCTATACGGAACACTAGATGAGGAAAAATTTCCATGCCAGGAGCGACGGAACGCTTCAATTTGGGACCAGAGGAGGAACCAGTCGAAGTGACGAGGAAGGGCGCGTGGGGGCTGTGCAGCGCCAACGAACAACAAAGGCCATGTGGCGAGGGCACACGCCTCGCGTGTAGGGAGAGCACGAGAGCACGCCTCTCTGAGCTGGCGCACGCTGAAGTCGCTGTTGCGAAAAGTTCCGCTCAGCGGGTGGAAATTTCGCGATGTAATTTACATACACTACGTACGTATGCATTTTTGGGCTGTGTTCCGCGGAACGGTACGGGATAAAAAGGGGTTCTCCGAAGTGGGAACGTAACAGGGTTCTCAGTGGCACGGGGGACGTACTATAGAACGACGGACAAAGAACACTGCAAGCTAATCTTCCACCGGTTGACCTGTTTCAAGGCTCCTGGACGTAATCCTTAGTAAGTGACCTTTGCTCTCGACATCATCATGTCCACGCCGCACACAAAAATAGTCATACCACCTCGAGCAACAATTCGACAGGGCAAAAGCCATTAAAACTTATTTACCAGACGGCTTCGGTGACACAAAACGGCACACAAGGGAATCACTCAGTATTGACCCCGACATCCCACGTTCGGCAGAACTCAAGTGTTTTACTTCTCCAAAACTCGACGAATTCGCAGAAACTACGTATAGCCCATCTTCCGCGGCAGCGTCCGCCTCTCTCTCAGCTAGCAGAGGAAAAATAGTCTACCATCACTCGTTCACAAACCACTCTGTACATCTCTCGACTAATAGCTGGGGGGGGATTTGGCTACCATCACACCTGACGTTAACACACCAGTCTTTAGATATCTGTTTCTCATCCTTTCTTTTCGACCCGACAAGGACAAGAATATAATAAACACATGGAACACTTCTGCCTTGAGTGCTTCAACTCCAGAAAAGGAAGCAAAAATGGTGCCAGAACAGAAGGAAAGACGCTCATGCGTGCCCTCGTCCAAAAATTATACATAGGTCACTGGTACCGCTCGCAATGGTGTCGTCAACTTTTGTACAACAACCTTTGTACACTCCCTGATCGCCCCGCCAGTAATTACTTCCTCACAGATTCAGGTCCACTGCTGTATTGTTCACGCCCATACCTAAACCAGCTGCAATGATTGCTGTGATTTAACACCCATACCTATACCAGCTGCAACGATTGCGCCAATACACAAAACCCGCAAAGGAACACTGAGTTGACGTAAGGAGGCGTGGGCAACTTTGCGCACCACCTTCCACCTACGCAAACAACCTGCAACACCAAAATTGCACGCAAAACAAACCACCTACCGAAATCGGCTGCAGGTGCGGCTGGATCGAATATACAACATAATTTCTATCCCTCAACCTATCCGCAGAAACGGCTGCAAGCAATGTGTCCACCGGTGACAACAGCGACGAAAGGAAGACCAGCTGTGCCACCAGGCAACTGAAAATACACCCACCAAAACGGCTTTCGATGTGTCTGGTACGAATATACGACATACTTTTCAACCCCTCAACCCATGCGCAGAAATGTCTGCCAAGCAATGTATCCGCTGGTCACAACAGCGACGAAAGCAAGACCACCTGTGCCACCAGGTAACTGAGCTCTATGACCGTCACCACTGCGCATGTAGTACGCCATGCACGCGGGGGCGAGACCGTACAAGAACGGGTCGACATAGATGCCGGCATAATCTAGGGCAGTTAGGAATGAGTCTGGGCAGGCCATGCTCACCACTGTCGGCGGAACCAAAACCAGTCCGGTTGCGCATAGTTTGACGTTTTGGTCGTGACGAGCAACCTCGTCGATCGAGCGAGCGTCATCAGCCATTGGAAACTGTCCAATGGTGTCGAATATGCCAATTCTCCGTTCCGACATTAGGGCGTCAACCAGGTGCGTCAGTTCTATCATGAGAGAAAACGCCGCGCCCCAGAATGATGTGATAATCGCCGATATGCTGAAAACTGAAACCAGTGATGCAAGCGCCGGGGATGTCGCCGCAAGTGCGTCCAGAGGTGACACCATTTCAACGGCTGAGTTGGGGTCCAGGCTACCGGTGCTTCCGAGCACGACAGCGTTCCAGAGAATATCTGCCCCACACCAACGGAAACAGCGCATTGGTGCAAGGTGAACATAAAAATTCGATCTCCACGTTGCGTACTACGGGGTTCATACCGAACAACACTTTCTTCACACCGCTCACATGTCATCAGTGGGAGTCCGGAGCCAATAGCGAGCGAAGCCTTGATCTTCCTCGCGTCCCCGTTCAGGTTCTTCGAGACAGCAGGCACAACGTTCTGGAAAGTAAGGGCGCAGAGCGCCACCGGGAGCATCGCTGGCAGGGTAGAGGCGTCCGGCGTTAGTCCAAGTAGCGCAACGTCGACGCGAGGTAGACCGGTTGCCACGAGGCCACCAAACGAAATCGCGATCAATCCCACCAAAGCCGTGTTGGCGGCTTCCACAAATCTAGCCGGTCCCCACAAGGATACGGATCCTACCAATCCGGTGAAGAGCAGAGGTGCAAGGTGGAAATCCTTCATGCAGCTCGTGAAAACCGGGCCGCAAAACTCGGGCCGAAATAACGGCAATGAGGACGCGCCTTGGCAGATGTAGGCTACCATCAGGAGATAGTTGCTCATCAGAAAGGCTGCACACATGAAGTTTCCTGCAGTCTTGCCCACGGATGCTTCCGCCATCTCTTGGACAGAGCTTCGGCCCTGTCCAGCGCATTCCGCAACTAGTATCCCCGAACAAAGACAATACCCCCACACGACGACCATCGCTGTTGAGCTGAGAACAAATCCTGGTGCGCCCGTCACAGAAGGCAGCGCCAAAACTCCGGCGCCGATCATCTTGTATTGCATGCGTGAAGTTGGGATAACGTGCGTATGGCGTGTATGAAGTAAGAAGCCGCCTTGTCTGGTGGTCTTCAAAACGTGCGTCGTACTGAAGAAACACAGCAGCCTATTCGTAACCAATCGATGCGTGATTGTGCACCGGTATATAACAAGGTACTGCTGTCGTGCTATGTACATCCACGTGATTGTAGAGCGTACAATAGCAGGACGAGAAAGAGGCAATCAACGCGGGCGAAAGTTTTTTGGGAAATGTGCCCGACGAACGGGCCTTAACTCCCATTCGTACGTCATTTCTAAGGGAGAAACTCACATTGCCTGCGACGAGAGCCGAGTTGCTCAGAATGCTACCGTGCGATTCTTCTTGCGGAATTTCGATGTCGGATTCCACCGGCGGGAAGACATCCGGAGTGCCCGGCACGGAGCTCCAACGAGGAAAAACGCTGCCACTCTGCCCGCGGTTTCCAGCACATCTTGTTAGCGGTAGAGGCAGAGAGCCCTGCAGAGAAGCAATGCACAGCAACAGTCCCACCGTGGATGCGCACAAACTCTGACGGCAGACGCTACAAACACAGCCCGGGGTACCTCCTCCTTCTCGAAAAACTACGTGTTGAAGTGCGTTTTGTCGCACGTGCGTCAACCAAGGTTCACAGCTGGACGACATGGGCGTCACGCAAAACCAAAGACGTGAACCCACCCCCTTCGACAGTTGTGGATATATCTCGAACAGGTAGTCTTTCTTTGACTGCATGTATACTTCCTAAGAATCCGGGTCAGCCTCATTCTATAGCAGTAGGCCGTGCAAGGTGGTACGGGGCACCAGCATCGATCCGTTTGGTGATTGGAGTAATGGCGGCGTCGGGCGAAACAGATTTTCGATTCAGCTGATACCTTCGTTGGCGTGGTTCAAGTTCATGGCCTGTGGCTTTTCAGGAGCCAATATGATGCATAACTGCAATATGCATAGCATAACTGCATGTCTCTCCCTTCAAACGGTGCTGTGGAGTATGCTCAAGACCGTCCCTTTGGACTGCTCCAGCTCGACCTTCACCATCTCAGGAGATTGTTTGGGCAATGAATTCTAAGAGGATCCCAAGATGTTGCATAAAGCACCCAAGCCTGCACTTTCGTGCGGCCTCGGCCGGCATATATATGGCGCTTTGGGGAGATTTTCACAACAGAGCAGGACAGACAGCGGTGGGTGACGTGTGTGTGCATTTCGTATGTACAACTGCTGTGGGTGTACAGCTACCACACTTCTTCCCGAAACCAGAGCGGAGAAAACGGTCGACACCCTGCTCGGCAGTGCACCTTAGCCTCAGCCACAGCCCTTGATATCTATCAACAACTGCGACAATAACGCTCACCGTGAAGCAAACTGCGGTAGGAAGGGCTGCAGCAAGAAGAAGAACCTGGGATCTCATCCAAGCCCGCTTACAGCTACGAAGTACAGCAGCAGTTCCTCGGTAGAATTAACGGTTCTTCGCGCTGTTCAAATCGCGCGTATTAGTCAGAGGAGGTGGGCTCCCAATCCAGTCCGGAATGAAATATAGAAGCAGGTGGAGGAAAGACAAGAGTAGATCCGCGCCAATGGCTCTGGAAGAATGAGGAGGAGTTCACGAGGCGGCGGGTAAGCAGAAGTGTATATTGATGTGTTGGGCGTGCATGCGTGCATCCATCTGTCTGTCTGCCTGCTGCCGACGACGTCGACGACGCGTCGAGGTGACGCGACTGGACAATAGGGGGGGGGGGGGGGGGGGAGATATTTGACAGTCCTGCTGTAAGGGTTATGTGCTCCACTCCTCCCGGTGCCTGCCCTCTCGCCCTATATGCCTGTGTGGCGTGAGCTACCTGCCATATTGGCCACTTACCTGTGTATGTAATGTCTCTCATCGAGTCTAACGTCCGAGCAGAGGAACGAGTACGCCAGGCTTCGTCTGGATTTGGCAGCGTGGTAGGGGAAACGCACGGTCGGTCTGTGACAGTCTTGGTTGCTGCTGCCGACAACGACGGCCCTTGTGGTCTCAGTGCCGCTGATCTTGCATCGTTCGAAAGCGAGAAAACAAGAGATAAGCTGAAGCTTAAGGCAGATCACGTGAGTCTTAATGGTGTGTACATGTGTACATCTCGCAACGTTTTTAAAAATATAAAAATATGCTGTGAAAGTGGTACAATGTTAGCAGCACAGCAGCAGTTGTAGATCGGGGACATTTTTCGGTTAGACCATTTTTCGGAAATATAGCAGGATGCTCTGCGTGGAACATAACAACCAGTCGTAAGCCCTTCCCGTGCGTTGTGGGGTTGGGATTGCCACACAAGTATCAAGTATTGGTAAAGCTGCGCCGGTAAACTCAGCCGTTTGGTATATTTGTATCCGACTGATAAGGCACACACTCGTGACAATGGGACGAGAGAGACGAGGATCTCACGTCAACTCCTGCGACGAGGCGACTGCATGGTCTCTTGTTTTTTATATCCCATCGGCCATTGTTCTAAACGTCGCTCGTCTCTACCTTCATAACTTGTGGCGTATCAAAGGTGTTTCTTCCCATATGCACAGGAACTTTTAAAAAACGTATCAAGATGCACGCCATTTTGATTTTAGCGGGACTTCTGCTTTCAGCCCGATCCTAGTTTAGACCCGGTGGAGTGCAGCCGGGTCACGACCTCATCCTCCTCCCACAGGCATTGGCTTGCCATGAAAAGTGGAAGGGCTTCTCAAGCAACTCACACTCTCCACCCGCACACTGTGGATACCCCATAGAAGGAGACCATGTTGAGTAGGATTAGGCATCGGCACTGCATCGATCGAAACTGGACTGCAAAAGTCGGCCAAAAGATAAGATAGCTGTCGCTACAACGAGCGACAGCTGACGATGTAACTGTCGTCAGACGTGTGCGTCCACGGGCGAAAGTGCGTGGTATTGAGGCGTATTCCTATCGACCCCCCAAAAAAACGAATCGGTAGGCGACAAAATTTCCTGATCGGTCAACAAAAAATCGGCGCAAGAAAACGTTTCCTATCGCTGAATGCACGCCTTGCTTGACACACAACAGGTCAAATTGGTTTTGCTCACCATAGAGCGGTGGTACAAGCACAAAAATGAGCAGGACAGCACACTTGTAAAGACCCTGTCCACCCGGCCTGCTGTTTTCAGCACTGGGGGCAGGGAGCAGTATCACAAACTGGGTGTCGCCTGTGATTTCCTCAAGCCCTTTCGCTCATTTTTCCCGTGGTGATCCAAGTGTGACCCCCTTTTTTTACCACTCCCAGTCAAAGGTAGACGAACTCAACATCATAGAGAGGCGGCGGCGCTGAGGATCAGCATCATATATATACATGACCAATCCGAAAGAATTAGCATGTCGGAGGCCGTATTGCTATACTTCTGCGTGGTGCCGTGGGTTTGTGGGGGCTGTCTCCGACCCAAAACAGGCCATCTCACCGCATTTTTGCAAACGGCAGTTTGTTGAGGTGGTACACATCTCTCACACGCCTTCTAGAGCAGCACCCGAGCCCCCAGTACCCACGAAGCAGCACAGCGCCGGGAGTGAGGATCATATAGACAGCCGAACCGAAGCACCATGCAATGTCTCGGTTTGGACAAGCAACGACCTGAACGCGGCTTTTACCGCTGTTCTATCCGCTGTGCGTGTGTCGCTGTGCCCGCTGTTCGTTTTTTTGTTTTCTGCTTTGCGTGTATGTCTGTGCGTGTGTTCTGCAGCTGCAATCTGTTGTGTGCTCCGAAAAAAAATGTGCTGACCCCCCTTTAAAAAACAAAAGGTGTAGTCTAAAACCTAGATAAAGCGTTACAAACCCAAAGACTTCTTTTTGGATCGAGCCCTATATTGCGGCGAGACCTCAGGCCAAATTAGAAATCCCGCTTCGCTCGAAGAAGACCTAATTTAACCTTAAATTCCATTAGAGTTCGCAGAGCGGCGCGAAGATGCCCCCAGAAATTACCGTGAAGCCTACCTCCATACGGACTGACAAGGAGTTCAATTCCGATGTTGGAAGCGCACCACCAGGATGGTTCGCATTCGAGTCCCAACCGCTCTGAAGTTGAATTACTTGGCAATCTCTTGACTTGACAATCTCAGGATTGCCAAGAAGGTTTGGTAGAACTGTTGTAGGTCGCCTCTACCGCGAGAGGTGGGGAAGATAAAACCGAGAGTTCCTCGCGGAACAACCTCTTGGATGGTGATTCCATTTGTAATGCCGATTTTCCACAGGGAGCAGCTCCTATGCTTGCCTCCTCGACTAAGAGCTCCGATCCGGGGCCACTCAGAAGGCCCCCTCATCGTTGAACACTGCGGTGTTGCCTTACTGCTTGCCCGCGACAAGAGTTACGAGCTTTCGTCAACTAAATGTATACCCGCGAACAAACGCGTTCGCTCAGTTGTGGGTACGAAGATGGGGAACGAAAACTTTTATGCAAACAAAATTGCATCACAGGCTTTGTGCTGCTGTTGTCGGCGCGCATCTAGCCAGCCGTTTGTGTGCGTACGCCGCATGTATGTTTGCATGATTTAACACGAGTATTTTGGGGTGTGTCGTGTTTTCAGCGTCCGGTGTAGTAGGGGTCTCAACCGTCTACGAAAGCAGAAGCATAATTCAAGTCTGAGACAGCCTACACGTTTCAAGGCACCTTAACAAAAACCTCGGGTGTGATCGCCCCATTGTGCTGACCTTGTTCTGTTGGATGTTGTGGTAGCATGTTATCTCAAATGAGGTAGCCATATGTTGATTATTTTCAGGGAGGTGGTTTTGACTAACAACGTTCAGGACGTTGGCCTAGCAGGACGGTTATTCTCTTCTCCTTGCTGGTGCAATATTTCTTGGCTGTCATGCATGAGCCCCACCTAGCCCAGCGTGGCTGGCCTGTCTGATGACCGACGTCTGTTCATCTTGTCCTGCCGGTCTCTCACACCCGCACCAACTCCCCCGCGTGTTTAACGCAGGTTGCAAAATTCCACCGAAAGGTGGTCAGACGCCTAGCCACAGAAAAGCGCGCCGCACATGCCCACACTCGTGGTGGAAGGGCTGTAAAAGCACAAATAGGTTCCGCGGACAGTTTTGCGAATTTCGGGGATCGGTTGGAACCTCGTGGACTTGCGCCTAGGGAGGCACAAGGCACACCGTGGGAGCACGCCTTGCCACGGGATGAGGTAAATATGCATGACGAGCCCACCGAGTTGGTGGCCGAGTTGCTGCTGCGATTTATGTTTTCCAAGCCGCTCCACGGCAGGATTTTCATCAACATCAATCTGCTGCTACCACCACCACTAACACTGCTCTGGCAACCGTTTCGTGAGCCCCGCAGGCAGCACAGTCAAAAGTATGGCCACGACAGTTGGGCGAGGGAAAGCCTGGCATGCTGCAGGCAATATGCCGTCTTCAAGCTGCTTATCTGTCTCGTAATGCGTTACATTTTCCCATTCACGCAGGCACCAAGTTTCCAAGCTATCAAGGTCATCGGAGTGCGCGGACACAAGGGCAGCCTGGCGGATGCTGATACTGAATCAAGGATGGCCCTAGCGGCCTATCGCCAGTGTTGAAAGGCCACCACGTCATGTGGACAGTTGTAGATACACACGTTTTTTTATACCGTTTTTCACAACGAAGATTAAGATTTGGAATTGGAGGTGTCTCCACGCTTTGGTGAAAGGACTTGGCTTCGGTGAAGCTATTACCTACTTTACTTTTGTCGGGCCAACGCGTATGATTGTTGCATGTTATTGACATGCCTCGTCCAGGCATTTCCTATCGTATCGGGTACCTAAGAGATGGACACCTTGGTTTGTTGAAATTCGATGGTTTCTAGACCCGCTTACCTGCCGCAAAGCTTGCTGCTCGTTGGCTTCCCTATTCGAACTGATTATGTTTTGCCGGTAGAGAGGCCTGTAGAATGAAGTTAATATTTTTGGTATCAGGCACCCCGGACGTGCGGCACACAAGAAGGGAGGTAGTATAGTACCGTAGGTGTACGTTTAGTTTTGTCGAGCTTTTCGAGCTTTTGGGCACACGTACATACGATGGACGGACGCAGATACACAATGACGTATGTACGCGTGCTAGTTGATGGTGTTGTGTCTTCTATGTTGTCAGCGATTTATTTCCAAGTTGGATTCCTACAAGAATCTCAAGAGGGTCTTGGGTCGAGCTGTTCGAAGGACAACAACCGTCTTGCTCGGTATTCTCTACAACGACTGACTATATATCGGGCTCACACGTTTTTGCACATTTTCACTGGACCGTCGTCGTATGTGATTAATATCCTTTGGCCTGCTACCGATGGCGGCGCAACAGTTGGAATGTTGGATATAGCATGCAATCGGGGAAGTTGGGTTAGGGTTAGGGAATAGTGCGGTCGCCCTCTCCCCGTTCTATTTCTTCAAAATTTTATTATCTCGCAAGGCGGTCCCGGCGCAAACATTGAGAACACCACCCCAGTAACTTGTGCCCTGTCAGCCATCAGTGTATACATGTGTGAGTCCAAAGCGCCCCAGAAGTGGCATAAATATTATAGCGTATTAACAGACAATACAGCCGTGCGTAAGTGTGGACAGGTCAACACAGCAGCTTGCTACCCGTTCGTGGAAATGAATGTCCAAATGAAGTACTTCAGCACCGTTGTACTTCCATTCATCATTCCACACGCTGGCGGTAGATGCTTTTTACACTTTTTGATGATACAGTCGACCCCGGTTTAAGGACGCACATGGTTTTTCCCGAAATAAAGCGTCCTTAAAGCGGGGTTGCGTCCTTAATATTCAGGGGACGATCGATCACCATCCCCTGGGCCAATGGAGGCATGGTATACCTCAAACTACGCGTAATTTGATAAGGAAGGGTGTGGTACGAAAAGTCAGCATCGCCGAGACGATGGGCAACCGTTTGTTGACGTCGAACATATTTTCTATACATATTAATATGAGATGGGATATACACACACACACGTGGTTTTGAAAACAACGCCGGCAGTGGAACAAGGAGGAAAGTCCAGGCAGAAAAATAATTTTGATCTCATTATTGTGAAACAACAAACAATGAGCCTACCGAACGGATATATCTTGTGGAGAGATGTGTTCCGGACTGATGATGATGGAGGCGATAGCAGGAATAATAATACCACCAGCAGACCGTATCCCTAAGTTTTTCCGTCGTGTCGCTATAACCCCCTCCACTCTCGCAATCCCCCGAGTGATGATGTCGTTCGTTGTCGTAAGTCATTCGTCTGTTTGGTGTCGTCGCGTTGTTAGTAGCTGCCTATCCATCTATTATTATTATTATTTCGTTGTTCCGGTGGACCTGTCTATATTATATCCCTTTCTTTACTTTTTATTTCCTTCGTCTTTCTCTCTCTTTTTTTTTTTTTTCTTAATATGACACAACGAAACCATTTTTCTTTCTTTCTTTGACTTTCGTTCTTTCATACCACAATCCCGTTCGACTGTGGGTATATCTCGAATGGGTAGTCTTTCTGTGTGTGTTTTTATTATTCCTTAGTATTTTCTTGACGCGGGGTCGATCGGTTAGTTTTCTTTGTCGTTTTGGTTTGGGTGAAAACGAATCGCCGCCCTTGGAGAGATTTTCTGAGGTCCATTTTATTTTCTTTTTCTTTTTAGAAAGGTGTACCCCCTTTTTGGGGGTAGGTGGCTTGCTTGTGAACACGGAAGGCGTCCGCATCAGTTGGACCAGTACTGAGCGGAGACCGGAAAGGTTTATAATGTGAAGGCATAAACATGTCCCGGAGACCAAGCTATCATGACGTACGTATTTTTTTTCCCTCCGCATATTGTATCGCGAAAAGTTCCCTGAAGCGGGGAGTTTTAACGCGAGCGGGGTCGACTGTATGCAAAGAACTATCAGTGTTTTGTTTCTTGTGGTGCTATGCTGTTGCCATCTGGTGTAGTATCCACCTCCTACCCATTTATTTATGTTTGCTCTGAAGTGGCCAAAAGAGGACAAAACGGCGAGGCGTCGTCAGCGTGTGTGTACCTACTCAGCTCTTTGCGCTTTGGGGATTAGAGCTCTGAGGATCCGGGAATTGCTCAGCTACGCAAGGAGGAAGCCTATCAATAACACAAAGGTTGTTTGTAAGACATATAAGCTGATCTCATGATGTTTTCGCTCGTGGCTCGTGGCCCGTGGTCGCCCCGTCGTGGCAGGCAGTCTTGAGTGACTGTAAAAAAAAAATCTGCGCGAGGCGGACACCCCCTGCCCCCGACAGAAACATGCCGCTAAACCCATCATGTTGCATGCGCATCTACGGCTGCCCCCTCCTTCATCTCTCTTGTCTTCTCACTCCCATTGATCCATCTCCTTCCTGTTCATCTAGTCTTTCGTCAACTTCCCTATCCTGAACATGAAGACTGCATTCGCTGTTGTGGCTCTCTTCGCCGGTGCTAGCGCATTCAACGGTAAGGGTTCATCAGGGTGGAGGGTTACTGGAGTCAAGAAATCTCGCGTTCTTGCGCGCGCGTGCGTGGAGGTTGAAGATGATGATTGTGGAGATAATGGCCAGCGGTTAGGGACGGGAGAGCCATGATTCGTGAGAGTGCTGACCCACGATCGAGTTCTTACATCGCACGGCTTCCTAGAGCGGTGCTCCGTGGTAGCTGAGTGATTTGAAGGTGCTGTGTCTCTTTTTGGGCTCCAAACCATTTTCGGAGGTCAGAGGTATCTGATTCTCCCTCCCTGTCTCTGCCGTGTGACGCACACACACAACACAACCCCTCTTGTTGGCGGGGTACATTACCCATTAACCCCTCTGCCGATGAGCGTCAGCTGAAATCGATAGATCAGGACACTTGTGTTGACCACCGTGTTGACCTTTTGTCGATGTCCCTACGGTACCCTATCTTCGCAGTCGCGGTGCCTGCTGCCCGTGTTACGTCCGCGCGCGCATCATCGACGGCGGTATCAGCTGGATACGTACCGGATGGCCTCACCGCGAAGCAGTGGGATGACATGAAGAAGGAGAAGGCATCGAAGGCAGCAGCGAGGAAGAAGGAAGTGGCCAGCAAGAAGTTCGAGGTGGGCTCATCGGTTGTGTATTTCGCCTGCTGAAGCGCTGAAGGAGGCCCTTCGCTAGTTCCGGCCGTGATCGCACTTGGGTGTTGTTCGTTCTGTTCTGGCCCTCCACAGATGAATCAGGTCACAAACATAACTATATGTAGCAGTGTATAGGTGTGGACTGATTTCTTGTACGTTCGTCTGCTGCAGCGGGGTTCTCCCGCGCTTTGCATTGAGACGTTGTTGAGGGCGTGCTTTGAGATGGCAGATATAAATGCAGCCCCGTCTTGGCCACCTCGACGAAACATTACGAATGTAGACTAACGTTGCATGTGTGTGCATACCAATTGAAAAATGGTATCGAGATTTTGAGAATGGCCGGCAGTCAGTCGTCTCGCAAGCATAACTCTAGTTTCCTCACTCACTTCTTCCTCTCGGTGGAGAGACTCAGTGATTGTTGGTCAAACTGATCAAATATTTCATGTTCGTTTGTACGATTGGGGTTGTCCGAGAAGGGTGTGTGTATTTGCCCCGGGGATGACAAGTTGGACACTACCTTGCTCCTGGGTTTTGGGCATGCAAATATTCGACAAGGCCCTTGTCGCCATTTCCGGTCGCCACTACAAGTAGCTTGCGTCCATCCGCTGTCAACTGCGCTGGAAATATGTGCAAGTGTCTGATGTAGCGATATCGATTTGCTTTCGGTAGCGAGGATGTCCGTGCGACAAAAGCACGCCGTTATGGTGTGCATGCTCGGATGTTCCGACAATAAATACACACATAGAAATACTACCCGTTCGAGATATACCTACATTCGAACGGGATGTGGTGGAGTTTTTTTTTTTCTGATGTTGCGGCATGTACACAGCTGAAATTCTCGCTTTCTTGGTGGCCCCAGTCCTTCGCGAGGTAACCTCGAAACTTTCTGGCTTTGAGGAGGAAGTGAACACAGCCACTACAATCTCGGCGCGGAGGGATTTTTGTCACATGACACCTAACCGGGTTAAATGCGATTCGTGCATGTAAACAAAGACCGACCTAACCATCTACGGAAAGGACGGTTGGATCCTTGCCTCGATAAAAATTGACCACCGCGAAACGAAGGAGGAGGAGGGAAAGAGTACCAACTCCTGAGCGTCTTGTTTGTGCATGAATCCGGCGGGTGCGACATACATGTAACCGAGAAGGTGCATATAATAACAGGGTGATGCATTCGCACACGTTCCTTTCATCTGAACTCTGAGCACAGCTGATTTCGTTCACTGCTATCCATATGGCTTGGTTCATTTTGGAGTCAGCTCTCTGATCTGATCGGATTCTGCTCTGACACGTTCCTCCATTCTCTCTTTTTGGCTGGCAGGACATCGACACCTTCATGAAGGGAATGGAGTCGGGCAAGCGAGGACACACTTTTGCTAAGGTTGACGAGACGTTGGAGAAGCTTCTGCCTGCCGGAGCACGCGGTGTCAAGCAGAACAAGTAAACAAGCGGACGTCAATTTGGCACGCTGCGGCGTTGCCCACACTTAACGGTTACCCACCGACCATATTGTTTGTTTTTTGCATCGAGGGAAAGACTTCCGCACCACTTGGTAGAGGCAAGACATCCGAGTTGTATTATAAGCTAGGCTGCAGACCTGGTACTCCAAAGATGTGTCTTGATGTGAACCAGTCTTCCTTGTTTGGGGCGAGAAGCTGGCTAGCTTCCTGTGAACCTCTTGCGATCGGATAATTAAGTGACGGTTCGACCCCGTTTAGACAAGAGTAGGTTGGTGATGTTGACCACGAAATCCTTTTCTCGAAAGGGGTTTTCTGTGAAGCTTTCAACAAGTATCACACAAATGCTGTCGGCGGTTTCTCAAAAGTCAACCAGACATGAAAACATGTGTGCCTGGTCGTGATTCAAAAGCACTTGTGTTTGATGTAAAGTCTCTTTGCGTGCGTCTCGGTGACAAGCTAGCTAGCTGCCTTAGGGAAGTTAGTGGAAGGCTTGGTCCCATTTCGAAAAGGTGGCAAGGGTAGATGTGGTTGTGTTGACCACCACGTCCTTGTCTCGCAAGGGTTCCTCGCTGATGGGAGTATCTTTGTGTGGGCGTTGCAGCTAACGTCACACACAAGTGCTACAGACGGTTTCAACATTCAACCAAACACGGCGAGATTTTGTGTCTGCTGATCATGGATATCGCCCAACCCCGCCTTTAAATCATTGCGTGGTCGGTGAAGAGGCGATGTGTGTGGAGTCTGGCTTTGTAAGAAATTGAATGCTTGATACTGTAGATACACCAGATGGCATGGGCCGGAACGATCGTGCTCCTTTTTTGGTCGTTTCGTGCTTGCCAGGGCATTCATTCCTTCGGACTTTTTCCGCTGGTCGTGTCCTGCGACGTATACCACGGGCTCCGAAAATACACCGTGGTCCCGTCAGACGAGTCTTGACCGTTTCCGTCTTGCGTCCCGCATGCGAACGGAAGGACCCCACTGCTGCCTGCTGTTGTGCGAGAAGTCGAAATTCAGTTTCACGTACAGCATCCCGCCTTTGGCAACTTTTTCTATCCAACTTGTTGGCACCAAACTCTAATTACGTCTGGTTCAGTCGAAAGAAGTCCACACAAGTCGTCCACACCGTCACATTTTTCCTCTAGGAGACCGATGCTGACGCAAGGTGATGCCTACAATCTAAAACAGAAGCTTGTTCCTAGTAAATGATACAGCATCTTGTCCGTAGCAACTGTACAGATTCCAGATTTGATCTTCCCTTGTACCCCAATTTGCAGTTTTTCAGTAAGCGCTTCCCCGAAAAAGCAGTAGGAATCTTGCCCGAAGTTTGGAACTCTTGGATCAAGTGATTGTGTGATGGAAATCATCGAGATCATGTGATTGTGTCGTCGAAATCCGTTTTAGCGCCTTTGGTGTACAAACACCAAAATGTCGGCTTCGTCCACGCGAGCCCAGTTTTCAGCCGTCAAACTACCACACACGATTGATTCGATTTTCTCATTTGCGGGCATCATCTTTTCGAGCAAATACCATCCAACGGAAAGTGCCCGCAAATTAAATGTATTTGTGCAGCGAACTCTTGTCCTGTAAGATTCAAAGCCCATTTAGGAATGTGTTGGAAGGGATTTCAGCTACCAAACCTCCAACAAGGCTCAATCAGTAGCTATCAATCAGTGTTTCGCGCCTGGCTCAAGCTGTGGCCTCGTCGGATACCGCATGCCACGGTTGGTTATTCTCGTCTGTTCACCCGTGCAACACTCTCGCATATCACATCTCCTAGGGCCCCACAACAAAAACCATGCATGCATCGGTGTAGCACGGACAGGGCAGGCACGATGTCGCGTGTTTGCATGGGGGTGTGTGTACCCACGAACGAAGACCCATGCGAACCGTTGTCCCTTGCATGTACAAATACAAGGGAGCCGTTGTTGGTTGTCTCACAGAACACGAAAAGAAGAGAACCTCGCAACTAGGCAACCGCCATGGTGGCCAAATTCTGCGCGAAGTCTGTACGGTTATGTGTAGGGCCAGTTACCAAACGTGCGCATGAACACGCCGTGAAGCAGGACGGCGGTTTCGACCACGCAATCGCAGAGAATGTTCTGACAAGCTCCGCGCGCCGCTCCTGGGAAGAAAAAATACGTGCTGGTACGTATCTGGGTTCCTCATGGAAAAAAAGCAAAAAAACTGTTGTTGCTATGTACCGAAAGAACTCCTGGTGTCTGGCATCACGACATGGTACGCGGATAATGAAGACCACCCTAAATTAAATACACCAACGAACTACGCCGCCGGCGACCGGTCAAGTTGTGGTTGGCGCATGGGCCTCGTTCCACATCTTCTGCAGCTCCTCGCCGGCCTGCGCCGACTCGCTGTCGTCGCCATCCGAAAGCAACGCGAGCAATTTGAGGGCTAGACGGCCCTTCTCGTCGCCGGCCACAGCACTGTGCTGAAGAGACAAAGCGCGCTCGAACTCTTCCGACTTGAGCTGCGCCGCAGAGATGACCTGAGCATGCGGCAACGGCAAATATGAGAATATCGTCAAAAGATAGCACTGAGAGCACTGTATCATTGCACCATCGTTTCGTTATGGCCATGCCTATGTGTTCTGGTCGACGCATCAGCCTCCTCGGCGCGGTCATCTCTACCCGAAAGTAAGCACGCCCAAACCAACTCGACGTATCAGCAAAATCCAAAATGGGCTTCGCGTTGCTCACAAAACCAAGATCGAATAAGCGCGACTCGGGTTTTTCTATGACAATGTCTCTCGAGAAGGGTGTCGCGATCTGCTCCCTAAATAACTCTACAAACGGAACAAGAGTAGGGGGCGTTCTGTACACGTACATGGCGCTTTTTCGCAAAGATTTGGAATGTTTCTCAAGTCGGGAACTTCGCTAAGCAAGTTCGAAGGCAACAAAAATTGTGGAAATTTCGAAATTTCCAACTGAAGCTACAAACGGTTCAAGATTTTCGGGGCCCTACTCACTTCCAAGTATTTGAAATTCTAAAGTTTCCTATGACTTCCAATTTTTTGGAAAATCAGCCATGTACAACACGCCCCTAAGAGGGAGGGGTGGCTTCGATATCTCGCTCCATTGATACCGTCCGGGTGTGTCCTCTATACTGTAAAAAAAATGAGACGCAAATATTATGTACAATCTAGCAAGCGGAACGGCGAGTACATGCTGTAACTCACGGCATCTGGGAGTTGAGCCAAGCGGGCCACGTTGATCCCGAAACTCTTGGGGCAAGGGCCGGGGGCGAGCTTGTAGAGGAAGGTTACCCTCTGCTCTCCCCCATTGTCCTCTACCAAGCATGACATGTGTCCCAATGCCACCTGCGAACGAGAGTGAGAATTGACATCAGTCCCATGACACACAACCATCTGCTTGCGTTGCGCATTGAATTTCCTGTTCTGATGTCATGGTCAAGGTAGCAGAAGGCAACTCAACGCCCTCGACACGCTCGCAACACAGGTCAGCAAGCACTGCCGCTAGGGCAGCCAGCGTACGTTTACACCTTATTCAGTATCGTAAGGCAGAACTGGCCAGAGCTGCTTGCTATGTAAAACACAGGCATGTATTGTACTATACCTCGCTGTGATGACCCCAGTCTTCCACCAAAGAGTGATAGTGCGTCGCGAACATTGCCAAGCACTTAGCACTCTTCACCAGGTAGTGAGCGACAGCGTGAGCGATAGCTGTACCGTCGAAAGTCGAGGTACCTCGCCCTGGACATCGAAAACATCGGCGGAAAATCAGTTGTCACGCGGAGGTCTCTCACGGTGTACGACTACCCTAAAAAAACAAGCGACGGTGAGACGAACGTTGCTCGTGGAGCCCTGGAATATATCAAGGCAGCATGGGCCGCGTCGTGCCCCTAGGGAACGCAGTGGTTCAGCGAGCCTGTGCTCACCCAATTCATCAAGAATAACGAGGCTCCTGCTCGTGGCGTGGTGAAGAATGTTCGCAGTCTCGCTGAGCTCCAAAAAGAAGGTCGACTGTCCGGCCAGGATACGGTCTGATGCTCCAACCCTCGTGAAAATCCTGTCGAGTGGCGTGAGGTGCGCCTCGTCCGCGGGAACAAAGCAGCCCACCTGTCCGAAAAAAAATAGCGAGAAGACGACGAATTCTTCTTGCACTCAGCAGGTGATGAGGTATCGAGGTCCTTGACAGGGCGCAGAAGGCACAAGGGAAAACGAAAAATGCACTCTGTGGCGCCTCTTTGGGTCTTCACCTGTGCAAGGATGGCGACGAGGCAGGTCTGCCGAAGAAGGGTGGACTTCCCGCCCATGTTTGGTCCGGTGAGCAGGAGCATGTTTGGCGCAGCAGGCGCATCATCGGAGATCCCCGCTGGTGCCGCCCCAAGAGTGGCGTCGTTTGGGATATACTCGCCCCCTTGATAGGTTTGTGCCAGGCACGGGTGCCGCGCATTCTTGAGGCGGATGAAGGACGGCGTCGAGGCTCCGTCGTGGAACCGTGGCCTCGAGAACCCCGGCTGGGCGGACACCTCCGCCAGAGAGAGAACGGCATCCAAGTGCGACAGGCATCGCACCGTACTTGCCCAGAGCTCCCTGTGCTCATCAAACTTGGCGAACAAGCCTCGCATCTGGCCGAGGAAAACGACCGGACATGACGGAGAGTGAGCCCAACGTCGGAAACCAATCCGCCAACCCAAGGCAACGTGCATCGAAGGGGATTCGAAAAACGATAGCAACTCACGATCGGCCGCATGTGGTCTACAAGTACGCCATGCACTAACCACGCGGGCACATACCCATACATGCATACATGGCGTCTACTCTAAAAAAAAAGTAACACGACTCCGCGCGAACCTGGTCTCTCTGGGCATCGCCAAGTCGCTGCTCTGCAGCAGCAAGCTGTTCAAGATGATCCTTAATGAAGGGTGTCCAGAACCGCAAGGCGCCCTTCTTCTTGCTCTTGAGCTCGTAGTCTGACGGCTACACAGAGAAAAAACAAAACAGCCAACAACGAATCGACTGTGTGAAAACTTGTCGCTTCACTCAATTTTTCAGGTTCGACTACCGACTCGCACAAGCGATCACCAACGGCCAGATAAACTAGTAGCGCTTCAAAAAAAGGAAATACGTTTACGTGAGAGAACAGTAGATAGATACCGACGTCAGCTGACCCGTTCGGAATCCTCTGCATTAGTCTTTCAGACTATAAAACCTGTGATTTGGCAAGAGCCGTTTCGTGCGCCCACACGGTGTTCAATTGCAAGCTGACTGGATCGATTTCAAAAAACGTATCAGTATCCATCATGCGCCGGCTCTCTTGTTTGATCGTCAATTGAGGCACCGACCAGGAAATGCCGAGCATTTCGAAACAGAAACTCATGCTGGATTCAGCACGGAAGGCGAAAGGAAACGCTCCGGGAACGAAAGCGATAAGAATGGGGGTTCAGCAGCTGAACTTCGACTTCGACTAATCCGGTTTGGGAATTTGGGAACAGGGAAAAACCATATCACCGTTCGCGCGAAAGAAGGTCCACGTGTCCGTCATGCCGCATGGCCAAAGTCATCACGAACACCAACATACAACCTTGCCTCTCCACGAGCGTGAGCTAACGAAACACCGCAAACACATACCTGACGATTCTTGGAGAAGTACCTCTCCGGCACTTGGATCTGGTACTTCTCCTTGGCGCTGTGCCAGTATTCCGCGTCGGAGCAACCGAGGCGCTTGCGTTGTTCCCGGAGGTGTCCGTCCAACTCAGACTTGATTTCTTTGATGTCGATCTGCGCCAAAACAGGCCAAACGAAGTATCGCCCGCGCGGCTTTGCACGTACACAAAACCATGTCGAAAAACTACAAGACACCCGAGGTCCGGTGTCTTCCTAACCTCTCGTCGATTCCTAATTAATACCAATCACAGTTGAACCAAATCGCCCACCTTAATCTTGTCGAAGTCTTCGTCGACCCCGGGCTTGAGCTCAATCAGGCCTTTCTTCTTCGACGTGCCGGCATCAAAGGCGTTTCGGAAGTACGAGATGGCTGAAGACATGTCCGGAAACTGTCCACCCTCAGATTTGGAGATGACACACTTGCGCAAGAGGGCGCTCTCCACCGAGGCTGACTTGAAGATCTCGGGCAAACGGTCCGCTTTCTCCAACCCATCCAGGACACTGAGAAAGTCGTTCACCTGCAAATGCCAGAAGTGCATCTTCATTCAGCAACGACGATAACACCCTACGCTACAGAACAGGCACGTCATCCCAGCGATGGCAACGGGTGCAGGAAGTGCAGGAAGTAGAAACAGCGATACCGCACCTTGCGGATGGAGTACTTGGTGTCCTCGTACATGATGGCCCGGCTCTCTGGGTGCTCGCTGCTCCTGTGCTTGGAGGCCATCGAGTGCACGCGCGATAGCAGCCGTTCCACGTCCGGAAGCTTCTTCAACAGGGCTCGCGAGGCGTCAGCTTCGGGAGAGAGGTCGCCTGCAAGCTCCGAAACCGCGTCCAGACGACCATTGATGTGCCTGTCGCCATTGAAACGGCAGGAATGAGGCTTCCGTTTCTCATGGATGTTTCTCATGGATGGTTGAACAGCTGCTACAAGTGCCTCTAACAGCTCTGGGGAGAAAAGCCGTCAACAAGCACAGGCACAGCGGTTGCAAGCCAACAGAAGCCGACGAGTAGCACAAAAATACCAAACAGCCATCTGCCTCACGTTGGAAAAAGAAGCGGCTTGAGCACCCAGTCCTTGAGCAAACGCCTCCCGAATGCTGTGCTGCACCGGTTGACGAAAGCCCACAGGCTTCCCTTTTCCCCACCGTCACTGCTGTTGCGCAGCACCTCGAGGTTTGACAAAGAGACCCCGTCAAGCACCATGTGCGATTGAGAGGGGGTCTGTGCGCTGCTCCCTGGTAGTGAAGAAGCGCTTGGAAGATCACCCGCCTCTTGGCTATCGTTCGGGGTGCTGGGCGCAGCGTTGGAGTCGGGTTGTTTCATGTCGGAGGGGATGTACGCCACAAAGCGTCGCATGGACAACAGATCGTGGTCAATGAGAGCTCGTCGAGTGTGCCACGTGGCACCTCCTAAAGCCGATAGGGCCAAGGCGCCATCCTTTCCACCTTCAACAACAGCACGCAGGATTGGTGGCCAGTCCTCGACGTTACTGCCCTTCCCATCGCCGGCGCTGCTCTTCTCTTTCGCGTTGCTCTCGTTGCGGAAGTACCGGCGGTTCTTAAGCTCTTGCACCGTCCGGGAAGCATCCCAAAACTCGGTCCCTTTGTGCAAGGTCATGTGCGATGCCAGCGGGGCCATGCACTTGATCATGTGAAGGGTAGTCTCCGACAAGTTGTCCTGGAAGTTTTAGAATGGGCGCCATATAAAAGAAAAGTGAGCATCCCTATCGACACAACCTCACCAAGTCAAATGACTTGTTGAACCGTTCGAGACTGCGATCGAAGGTCGACACGATTTCAGGTTGGTAAGGTACGTATCACAAGTCTGAGCATGCTAAATCAAGTACACCACACCAGTTGGCATGTTGTGTGCATATCGAGCAATGCCGAAGATATCTTACCACACATCGCATATTTGTACAGCCTTCGGATACCAACCGGATTGCGAGCCTTGCTCATGGCCTAGCTAGTGTTGTCCTTGGTCCACACCCAGTTGAAGCGGAGAAGCGCGACCACGTTTGCATGTCGGGGTCATATTAGTGCACTGAAACCTCGCATGACCCTCACCTTTTCCATCACAATCTCAACCGGCAGCTGCTGCGCAAGGAGGGTTCGAAGGCGTGAGCGCGCGGGGTCATCAGCGAACTGCCCCAGGCTAAACGTTGCCGTCGTTGCATCCACCATGCAAACACCATATTCGCATACGGCTGCCGGTGGGCCGTCTGCATCGGCAGAACCTGGGCTTCCTGGGTCGAACTCACTCAACGCGTCCACCGCGGTTTCCTAGAATATACAAGACGGACACGCGGTTTTGCGATGTTGGTACGTGCAGCTGCAGCGGACGTAAAAATTCTCAAACGCGTCAAAACGCCCTGTTCGCCAGGGAGAGCACACAAACACCAATGGGTGAAATTCGCGCGCGCAACGAGCCCAGGAGGGATGATCTCGGCATCATACGATAGGACTATGGAGACCGCAAGCATATTTGCGTGCGAACAGAACATGCGGAAATGTCGGTGGATGTCTACATGTGCATGCTAAGGCCGGTACACTAGCAGGTTCCAAGTGCACCCCTCGAACACACCACCATAGACCATGGAGACACCCAACTGTGTTTCGACAGGCCAATACAAGAATTCACAGAAGGATTCGCATCCCACCTTGATTGACAGAATCATGTTCACTGAACGCGGAGATCCGTCCGGAGTTGAGGAGACATCGTCCAAGAAGCAGTAAGTCCGCGTACCACGGCTGAGGATGCTGCACAGCTCGCGCTTCACAACCTTGTCCTTAGTCCCGTTCCTGCCTACCGACGCATTCCGGGCCTTGAGCATATCCGGCGTCTCGACCTGACAGAGAAGCAGAGAAATTAGCCACGGCAGAGAGGCCCTCGAAACATGGCAAAAAAAAAAAAAAGTCTCTGGTGGCTAAAGAAAATACTTAGGGTTAGCCGCGGAAGGTCTGCGATACTCTCTGGCGGCGAGTAGACCCACTAAGCCAAAGGTAGACCTGGTTACCGCCACGGGTGAGCAAAAAAAAACTGGGTGACTACGCTTCACCGTGATTCACCTGCTCGACCCGTGCGACGCGGTATCCCTTGGACACCAGGCCGTCAGCAAACTTCCCGTAGGATATCTCTGGGAAGCCACTGTGCGCCTTTTCACCCTTCATGTAAATGAGATCTAGCTCCTGCATCCCGACGTCTGCGTCAACGTGAAACAGCTCGTAGAACTTGCCGACCTGCCCAGGAAATTGAACAAAAGCGCTCGGTTTGAGTGGTGTCGAGTCGGGCAAGTAAGGCTGGCATGAAATACGTTACCAGGTGCGCAGGCGTAAATCAACACGCAGCAGATAGGACAAGACACCGTCTACCGCCCCACCTTGAAGAACAAGACTGTGTCCATGTTCTGGCTCTTGAATTTCCACCACTGAACCATCGCTGGGGTTTCTTTGGAGAGGAATGACGGCGGTACGTACAGCGTGCGCGGGTTGTAGAGTGGGTCATCTGGCCTCCGTCGGTTCGCATCGACGCGGTTTTTGTAGAGCCAGTCAAACGAATGATGCGAGTGACGGCCAGTGTCCAGCACTCCCTCCGGAAGGGGGATACCCGCGGGTGCCTTTGGGGTTGGAGGGGAGGCGGGGGAGCTGAGGCCCACGAAAGGGCGCGAGCTGTGCGGGCTGGAGCGGACGGTCGGGGTGCTGACGGGGCTTTGAAGGCTCCGGCCTGAAGCGTTTCCCGTGGCACCACGCGCCCCGCTTCCTGGCGATACTGTGTCCGTGATGGCGTAGGATGCCAGGTCCGACGCCTTCTTCAGCCTTTTGGCTCCCGATCCGCCAGGCCCAGAAGGGGCAGCCTGCCCTGAGCGCTTCTTCTTGCTCGGGGTCGACTTCTTCCCTCGCGGTGTCACCGGAGCATCGGAGTCGTCGCTCTCAGCATCGTCGTTTTCGCTCTCGTTGCCCTCGTTCTGCACGCAGGCACACGAACAACAGCGTGCACGGTAAATAAGCTACTGTGAAACAATCGATGTACCTCAACCTTTGTGCTGCGGCAATGTACTACAACCTATAAACAAGCAAATACGGACGAGAGCATCTACGGCCGAGGTGCCGTGATCGAGAACCTTGCAAATGTACCAGGTAACCAGGTACATCCTTTAAACCATCTCAGGAAAAGCAAGTGCTGCCTTACCAAAAGCACACAGATCCCCCTAAAAAGGATTGACTGCAGTAACTCGTTGGCACTGATCTTGTACAAGTTGTGCCTGGTACATCACAACTGCTGTTGTACAGAAGAGAGAAGGCACATGTGTTTCTACCGCTACCATCCAGAGGGAGAAACATCGAACATTGTGTACATGTAGCAACATGTGCATTGCTTCTAGTTCACCTCGTACGCTGAACCATCGTCTCCTCCGCTGTCTTCGAGCTCATCCTGGTTCCATTCGGCCTCGTCGTCATCGTCGTCTTGAATCACTTTGGCCCGTTTCTTCTTGGGTGGCTTTGGTTCGCTCTCGTTCACTTCGCGCGCAAGTTCAAACTGAAAATGAGAGACGAGCGAGGGGGGAGAGAGAGAGGCAGCGAGGGGGCGAAAAATTCAAAAAATCACATGTTTTTCGACGACGCCACTCTACTGCTGCAACAGACAATCTTCGTTAATTTAGGTTCAGAGCCTCCAGCGACGAGTACTTCTACCAAACTACCCTCTAGAGCCGTATTCCTTTGCTCGACCCACCTTTTCATTCTTGAGAACGAGCTTCTCTTTGTCTCCGTCGTCGTAGTGAATGAGGTGCTTCCCATCCTCGTAATAGTCAATGACCTTGCCGAAGTACCAATTGTTGTCATCCCTCCAGAACACCTTGATGCGCTTCCCCAAAAGCTTCTCGGAGTCCTTGCTTGGTTGCTCCGGGCTGGCTCCAGCGGTGCTTGGCGTGGTAGCATGGCTCGGCTTGGGCTTGGTAGGAGTCTCCTTCTCCTTCTCCTCCCCCTTAGGCTTGGTTGGAGGCTCCTTTGCGGGTGTCTTGGAGAAGAACGAGAAGAGGGTGCCCTGTCCTTTCGGCGAGCCCTTGCCTTTCCCCTGAGGCGATTTCTTTGGCTTCATCTCGGGGAGCAGTTGACCTCTGCTCGAGAGTCAGCTCGTCTTGTGGTGCAACAACGTGAGCACCTCGCAGCTGCTGTGACCGATTATGTTGGATATGTAATATGCAAAGTGCGCGGTACCACCAAACACGACCGTGAGGGGCTCCGTGGGCAATTTCAAAAATTTAAAAATATGGACCCCACCTGACTGATGAAGACCACGGTATTATTTGATACCACGGAGCTTTGCATAGAGCCAGCCCAAGAATGAATCCACGTGTCTCGGGAGGAACTTCGATGCTTACGCGCACTACACACTACTGGTCTGTACTCCGAAACAACAAGATGGAAACCGTGATGCACCTTGTAAATCTTCCCGTGGTTGTGTGGTATGTTGTTCGGAATTTGGAAGCGCTGTAATAATGCACTTTGCAGCGCGAGCTGCAGAGTTGCGCTTTTTTGTGGATATAGCCGTCAAACTCCCTGTTGCTTCCCCTATACATACGACAACGAGCGACCCGCCGACCCGCGGGTGGAATAAGAGGTTAATTGTGGCCGCGTTCTGCACAACAGCGTAATTATTATTCCTGTCCCATTCACTTGTCGCTGCAATAACACCGTCGCCAAGGGTGACTGCCGTGTAACTAGCCTACGTATAGCTCCGATCCAGGGTCACACTGAGGAACCCTTGGTGCTTGTATTGATCCTTTTTTTCAGTGGCAAGGGTTCAGCCGCCCTTCCCTCAAGTACTACAACAAGCTCTCAGCTGCAATACTGCAAGTCCAGACAACAACGAGATGAGGATACACCTCGTCTACAATCCACCTCCCAACTCCAGCCACTACTACTACAGCAGTACAAAGAGAGTGGTTTTCGAGGTTTCAGTACCTTTCTCGACCACTGGGGCGAAAAGTCCGGGACTACGATTAGAAAACCCGGTGAGAAAAGAGAGCGTCATTCCGACTACCGGCATTTCGAACGCCTGGGGCGTGGTGTCGGCCAAGTTTCATCCGAACGAATCGGCTGGCACTGCTGTGCATGAGCCCTGTTCGTGAGCTGCGAAATCCTTTCGAAGCTACTTTGCCCTAATATCTTCACTTCAGCAGGCACCCGACATAATTCGCTTTACCGAGGAAGATCCTGAATGAAAGAACTATGGCAGCAACCACCCATTCGAGTACCTAGCGGCAGTCTACACCTTTATCGTCAAACCGCGATTGGAAAGGGCCACAGCAACTCCTGCTACGAACACAACGTAAATGGTTAAAGTCATGATAGCGCTCAGAGTGTCCGCATCCAGGGTTCGCATGGAGATGTTCACTGCTCCTGTTGCAAGATTCGCCACCATGAAGACCGGGAACATGTTCATGTTGATAGCTGCCAGGACCCGCGATGTTGGTCGTTTCAAGCTGCCACGTCAAACAAGCACACATGCGGGAGGTGGCGGCTCGTTATAATTAACACCAACAAGAACCGCATGTCGGCACCGGGGTGGTGATAGGAGTCAGAACGCAAAAAGCAACCATGATACACGCAGGCAGTACAGAAAGGTGAATCTTGAAATATTGAGTCAACTGGTCTCAAACAATAAAAGTACATGAAAAAAAAATGTCTAACGTCTCAAAAGCTACCCACCTGAGACTATCGACGACCATCAGAAGGCCAAGCATAAGCATAGAGTGCGCACATACCCACAGCACGTACGTCAGGTTCACCATTCGTCTTCGCGGGATTACATGTGAGTCGAAGCGCCGCCAGGGATATACAACGACCAAGGGAGAGAAAAGACAGCAATTGCAAACTTGAAGTGTCAAGACAAGCTTGGGGCACAGCAGTAACTGGTAGTGCAACATATGTCGTCAACATCTCCGCTGCAAGACATCGTCGATTGCAGGGGGTAAGACAACCATTGAAACTATGTGCGGTTCGTCGCCACTCAACATAAGTCATCGACAGTGCGCGTTGCTCGAAAATGCATGGACAAGTCCTGTAGCATGACCCAGCCTTCTAGAATCCAGGCACGGAAATGTTTTATGGTTCAGTCAGGGTTGTCTCGTGTGCGTATCGCCAGCGTCCGTGTGTTGACAACGTTTCGTTTCGTCAGCGCGATACGGCCTTGCATAGGATTTTTTTTGGACAGAAGAGCTTGTGGATAGAGGACAGGGAAAATACCTCGATGTTTGCTGGATGAAGGCCTCGCTCAACAGCGTAAGGCCCCAGAGGACGACGTTAGCCCTCGCTGCAATCGTCACGGAGCTTGATAAGAACTGCTGATGTTGACGTGCCTGCACAACAAGGACACGGCGACTGCTGAATGTCGCGACACACGTCTGCATGACAAGAAGAACTCATACCCACTGGTGAATGCTTACTTCGGCTCGTCGCAACGCTGCGCGTGTGCTTGTCACTGCGCGTGTGAAATGCCGCCAGCGACTCTCACCTTAAGTCTCTGGTGATGTGCCGAAATTTGGGATCCCAGCTCCTCAGCCATGTAGTAGATGGATACGAAACCCACGAGTCCAAGGATCCCTTCTCGGTTCATCGCGAACAGAGAATCCCTCGGCGCGTGCACGATGAAATCAGAGAGCCCGCCTTTCGCAAGAAACCACTGATACACGGAAAGCGCCACAAGCGCTAGGAAGGGCTTGAAACGCACGGGGCGTATTCGATTCATCGGCACCACTACAAGGCGCAAGAAGAACAGAGTTGCGAAAAAGTTCCAGTGCACGCCGTACTCTGAAACATGCTCCTGGTAGCCTAGCCCCTTGATGACCACAAGACGAGACAAGCCAAGAGCAGCCAATGGCCACGCGCGAATAGCTGTTGACGCAATATCAGCAAGCATAGTACGCCAGACAGAACGACCTGATCTCGGATGCCCCGATTCCCGCTTGACCCTGCATCCCGATCCGAGCCCGCTTTGACAGTAAAATATGACACGCACGGCACGCAGGGGCAAAAGTCGGAGGTCTCTCAGAACTACAGCATTGAACAAGTCCACAGGGGAGAGATCGCGAAGTGTGCGGGGATCAGGACATGAACTGCTGCTGTGTTTCAAGGCATTGCTTGCTTACCTTGCGAAGATCGTCGCGCCAACTCCAAGATCCATCAGGCCTGTACCGAACACTTCGGTCTTGGCGAATCGGCGCGGAAATACCTGGAGTTTGACATGCAAACAACATGGAATACTTCGAAGTATGCACGACTCTTCAAAAGTATGCAAATAAAGAAACACGATCGTCGTGCTTCCGGTCATAAAATCTCTTGCCGATGGACACACCAGCAGCTGCAAGGTTACATAGTTCACCTACCTGGAAATCTACGGCGAGGATGGTGATGCAAGTCATCAACATGATGCTTGCGCGAATATTTGTGACGGCTTCCATCATTGGCCCGCCCAAGTCCTTCCCCCGGGGCATTTCCGCGCTTCGGTCTGCCTTGCCACTGCAAGTCATGCGGTATTGACGCTTGAGACGACAGCAGGCACCTGAAAACGGCCAGACATTATTGTATACCATGGGTACAATATCGACGACAGCAATCGACGACAGCAGTCAGTCTTATTTGACGTCATGACTTCATCTCGATGACTCGAGGAAGACCTCACTCGTGTGCGAAAGACCCCCGCTTATCTGGAATGTTGCAGGTTTCGCCACGAACTATTTCACGTCCACCACTTCATCGCCCCCCCCCCCCCCCATAGACCGCCACAATCATATCTCACTTGTCAACGCCATGGACAGGACGAGCGTGCCGGTCAGGGATGGCCACAGCATGCACACCAGAGCAGGAAACACAACAGCCAAAAGTTCCACGAAGAAACCATGCCAGCCGAACGCCGGCAGTGATTTTTCGCATCCTGCAAGCAGCACCTGGTGCATGGAATTGTTTCATGGGGTTGCGGTCAAGAGTGAGCCTACGCAATGTTGTTATGTGCGCCCTATTCCCTAATCACGTCGGCGGCAGTTTGAAAGTTGATGGAGCAGGCAGGCGAGAAACACAAACCTTTGCCTCTGCCAGGAGCCATACTCCCATCGGGATGGGCGTTGAAACAAGCACAAGCTCGAGCATTGTCGTGCCTGTCAAGTCCGATATGAATTCTTCCTGGCGCTCTCTATACGTGTCTGCATCTTCGTGAAGCATGACGAACAGCGGCGGTGCGATGTAAAGGGTGAAGTCGTCGGGTCGCAGGTCGTGGTCTTGGAACTTGGAAGGCTACGCTGGCTCATTTTTATTCGACGGACCTCCCATTCCCCTATACTGTACTGCATACGGGGCAAATTGCGGGGCACCGCCACCACTGCTTGACTGAGAGACCCAAGCCTGCAGGGCAGACACACAAGAGACAAAGGGTCGAGAGAGAGAGAGAGAGAAAGAGAGAGAGATAGGCGAGGAAGCGAGGAGCACACAGCTGAAAATTGTTGGTAAGGTTAGGGTGCGGAAGCGAAGCGGGGTGAGTGATCTGCGTTTGATTGGTGTACCGCGCAAAGTGCTTCTTTTGTTGTCTGGATGGGCAGGTGTGGTGTCTGGTTGCTCTGGGGTGGTGCGCTTGGAACAGGGCGGGAGTTCAGTGTTCCCCGGAAATGCACGGCCATCCCCTGGCACAATATCTGCCCTGTCTCTCTACGCGCATCGAAACTCGTTCACGCCATGCAAGAGGCACTGCAACTCTCCTCTCGTGTTTCTGCCCCGCCGGGGGATAATCTCCCCCCGCGACTTGAGGCGGACTCTACTGCTGTACACCTGCTGTTTGTTGAGAGCGCATCGAAGACGGGTATTCTTCCTCGGTTCCCTTCTCGGGCGAGGCTTTGTGCATGAAGGCGTTGGTAAAATCCAAATCCGAACTCTTGCCATCCCCATCCTTTGATCTTGTGAACGGGGAGTAATGGTTCGTACCCGCAAGGATGTAAAATAGAGTGCCCGCTATCGAATCCCCGTTTGCGCGCGCGGCACCTTCGGAAAAATCAAAACTTAAAAACAATGTCAAACATTGGGTCTCTTAGGTATGTACCGAGGACTCAAAAGGAAGACACGAAGACTATCGTGTGGGATGCCCCAAGTTGGTGCGCCTACAATAGCTTGCGCCTAGTAGAACTATGAGTATCTTCTGTGTGTTGTGGTATTTTCGTGCCATCTATTCCGGCGCTTGTGTATATACCTGAGGTATCAGCCGGGGTCACACAAATGGCAGTGTTGTGTGTTGCTGTTTTTTTGGCCCCTGCGCTCGATTTAACATTTGAACCCGATACAATACACTACTGCTGTAGGGAGAATTTCGTTTGCAGTTCCGTTGTTTTGCCCTCAGCAAGATCCCCGGCGTGCCTCGCCTAAAAGAGAAAACATATCCAGAGACCAAGATACTGGCCAACACAAAAGCAGGCAATGCACAGCGTTACACAAAAGCGTCTTCCTGATGCGGGTGGATGTCTTCATGTCCTTGCCTGAACCAATGGACGGCCAAAGATTCAACTGGGAAAATACCAGCGGCGGTTGAACATCCCCCAACATTTGATTAACCCTGCCACGCGTGCGCGCGAGAGGGCAACAGAGCAGGCCGAAGCTTATGCGATCGAGTATTTGTGCGGACTTGCGCTCTGATGTTGTGATGGCGGTGTGTGGTTACCGGTATTGGCAGTGAACAAGGATGTGATTATTGCGAGTACCGATATGTAGCAGGTCCGTCAAACCCGCTGTGTACTCCGTGTATTACGGATCGTTAAAAAAACTGAAGTAATTTTCATGCATTTTTGTGCACGGTACAAGTAATATTGGATGGTGGTCGAGTTGCTGAGCCGTTACTTCGTCATCGCTCCGGCGCGTGCGTGAGCACTTTTTATTGAACGTGTTCGCCTCTGGCACTGCTATGCATAGTATGGGCTTGCCATATCATCCGTCCAGGGATGAGGCAGAGAAAATCCTTGTGCCAACACGCGTTGCGTGCACAGATACATCCTCTGTGCTCTTGCGGATAGTTACTATCGGAGAGAGGCATGTGACTGCTGCTGCAATTTTCTCTTGTATTCCGCTGTTCGTCACCCACACATCTACCCACGTCCACATCATGTATGACACATGCAAAGATTTTCCTCGCTGCTGTGTCATCCTGGCTGCCGTGATATGTGTGTTTGTGCCTTCGCGTTTGTGATTGGGAGTATTTGTCCTCCACGGGAGAGCCAAGTCACGCAAGGGTTAACGTAAGAAGGCTGCAGCAGTCCCTTCCGTGGCATTGTGTATGCTCATCGAACTTGTCGCTGTCTACATAAGGTTCGAACCCACAACTTGCTGCTAGCATATTTCAATTGGTACAATTGCGAGGCTGCCCACGAAACTACGGGGGTGACCGGTGTGTGCTCGTGCTAGGTTGAGCATTTTCTGGCAAATGCGGGCGTAAGAGTTTCTTTTTTTTGGGCGGGAAAGGGTTGGTGTGAACATTCTTGGTGGCGCCACTCCCGCCCCCCTGCCGCTGGTGCCTGTGTTCTGGCCTAGATTCAATGACATGAGTGCCCGAAGAGCCTCGGACTCTGCAGCAGCAATGCAGACGAATAGGTAGATGAACATCTACCTGTGATTTATCTGCTCGCCTTTAGCATGTTGCCATACCTCGACTTCGACCTTGACTTCAACCCAATCCGAGCAACGATTCCGTCGCATCCTTCGAAGACTGTGCCTTGCGACGAACCAATCCGGTTACAAGTCCGTTTTTCTGCTCTCCCACAATTGTTGACGGGATAGGAACATGGCCTCGGCTCCACCTGTACACAACCAGCTCTGGGTGTTCTTGTAGATACATTTAACCTGGCCTATCTGCAAGACTTGTGGGTATTGTGGCCCTAGATCAGCTGATCCGCGTGGCTACTCTACTTTGTGCTACCTGATCCGTGTTTGTTTGCATTTGTTCACCATGCCTTTTCTGTGTATGCCGTCCCATCTATTCCGGCGCCGGTTCTTGTACACACCCGTACCACTTTGCTCCATGCGCCTCCCCGTCGACAGAGGTACACACAGCCTGAGATAATGTCGGAGAACGGAGGGGATAAGCGGCAGCGGAAGGACGATGACGGCGTTCGCGGAGGCAATGAGGTGGATACCGAGCGCGGATCGAAGCGACAGAAGGGCGGGGGAAATGGCGCTGGGAAGGGCGAATACACCCACGCCGTCCACCTCCGCGGATTGCCTTGGAACGCGTCGACGAAAGAGCTGGTGGACTTCTTTGCGCCGATGGATGTAGAAGACGGCGACATCCACTTGGTGCACAACAGCCGCGGCGAGGCTTACGTCAAACTGAAGAACGAGTCGGACTTAGAAACTGCCCTTAAGAAGGACCGAAACACGATCGGCCGACGCTACATCGAGGTGTTCCGGAGCTCGATCGAGGATGTGGAACACGCTCTGGATGATGTGAGCAGTAAGGGTCACGGCGACGGGGGTTACAAGGGCGTCGTACGGATGAGAGGCCTGCCGTGGAGTGCGAACGAGGGAGACATTCGTAACTTCTTCGATGGGATCGCCATTGAAAAAGATGGAATCCACGTCACGCTCAACCGTGACGGACGGCCGTCGGGGGAGGCTTACGTGGTTTTCGAGACGGAGGAAGCCGCCAAGGAAGCCCTGAAGCGGGACAAGGACAAGATCGGTGAGCGGTGGATCGACATTTTCGAGGCAACAAAGGGTGAAGTCTATTCCATGACGGGCGGAGGAGGGAAGAAAGGAGACCAGGGTGGTGTGTCTTTCGACACCACGGACAGTGCTTACACTGGCGTTGTTCGGATGCGCGGTCTGCCGTTTGAGGCTACAAAGTCGCAGATTAGAGCGTTCTTCGATGGTATCAACGTCAAAGAGTCCAACATTTTCATTGTCACCCGCCCCGACGGAAAGGCCTCGGGGGAGGCGTTTGTCCTCTTTTCGACCGAAGCAGAAGCAGAGAAGGCGCTACTGAAAGACAAGGAGAAGCTCGGTGACCGATGGATCGACCTCTTCGCCACCAACAAGGGTGCGCTATACCAACGCGTTGGTGTTGGAGTCAAGATGGCGGCCAAGCCAGATGCGGAGTTCCGTGGCGTCCTGCGCATGCGTGGACTTCCGTTCGCCTCTGGTGTCGAGGAAATACGGACATTTTTCCGCGGCTACAAGGTACAAGAGCACGGCGTGTTCGTGGTGAACGGAGGGGATTGGCGCCCAACGGGAGAGTCGTACGTTCTCTTTGACTCTGAAGATGAGGCCGAGCGTGCGTTTAAAGCCCTTGACAAGCAGAAGATCGGAGACCGCTGGATCGAACTGTTCCGTTCAACTAAGGGTGACCTCTACACGGCCACAGTCCGCAGCACCGTCCTGGGCATGGAGCGAGGTGGCGCGATGTACGGGCGGGAGCCCATGACCTGCGTGAAGCTGAGGGGACTGCCGTTCAACGTGACCGAGAACAACATCTTCAGCTTCTTCGAAGGACTCACGGTGATAGGCAGCTTCATCTGCAAGGACGTGATGGCGCGTCCTACGGGCGAGGGATTTGTGGAGTTCGCGACGGTTGACGACTGTCAGCTCGCCATGAGCAGGAACCGTGAGTCCATGATGGACCGCTATGTGGAGGTGTTCGCTACCAGCAAGGAGGACGTTCTTCAACAAATCGGTGCATCTGGGACGGCAGCCAACGGCGGAAACCGAGGCGGGGGTTACGGTGGCGGCGGAAATGGGGGAGGGAGAGGATATGGCGGCGGTGGTGGACAGGTAGGTTTGGTTGCAAACCTAGATGTAGATGTGCAGTCCACGCCGGTATCCTATACGTTTCTATGAAGATCAGAACATTGACGTTCTTTCAGGCCGCGGTAGACTCAATAGGAATCATGACAGGGTTCGTGGCCTCCTCAGCCTGAACGCGGGGGAGTCTGCCACCTCAAACTAGTGTGGGGCGGTTCCACCCGAACGGGCACTTTTCATGAACCAGAGGAGCTCTGCGAATATGAGAGGGTTTTAGCCTCGAACTACCCTTCTTACGGTCAAATTTAACTGACCCCTTGCTGGATCATCAAGAAGCGTCCGCTTGGTTCACGAGTACGCAACGTTGAATATTCAAGCAGAAAATTACAAATTACAACACACCAGCTACACAGATATACGCAGTAAGTACAATATCATGAGTACGAGCGGAGTATGGATCTCTGCAACAGGGGGCATCGATCAATGTTGGATTTGTTTTTGGAGGTGGCTGTACCCGTATGGACTATGGAGAGAGGGCTCGAGCTGCCAAGCAAGCCATATCTCCGAAATTCTAATGGCTGCCCAAATTCTGGTTCGATCTCACAAAATCATGGCGATCGGTTGTTTATGGCTGCCTGCCGCTAGTTTCTGGGCGGTCGACGCCTCTCATGCATGGCATGTTGCTTCGAGCACGACCTTAGCCTTCCACACGCGCTCTCTGCCAAGGGCCGGAGTCGAGAAGGGCCATCTTGAGCTAGATGGAGAGGGTCCGTGGGCGTTAAAAGAATAACTTCTGAATTCCGACGTTCGCCCTGTCTTCGAGAGATGTTAACATTGACGACCATGCGCCTACGGTTGCTCAGGTCGGTGGTGGTGGCGGCGGCGGCGGCTATGGCGGATACGGGCAGTATGGCGGGGGAAGAGGATACGGGGTTGGTGGGCACCGCCCATCGCCTGGTGGATATGCATCATACGGAGTCAGGGCCGGAGGAGGCGGTGGAGGTGGCGGCGGTGGTGGTGGCGGGGGCGGCGGCTTTGGTTACGGCGGAGGCGGCGGCGGAGTAGTCGGAGGGCCTGTTCCTATGGGCGGCTACGCACAGATGGCCGGCGGGCAGCAGTTCGGAGGTTATCACAGAGATAGAAGGGACGACAGAAGGGACTTCCGCTGAGCTTCGTGTACAGTCAAGATCTCTGAAGCTTCTTTCTGAACGAAGATACCCCGGCGTCGACAAGACGAACACGCGTTGTTTGGCGGCAACCAAGTGTTTCATATAGGCGTGGGGGTACACGTAAAAATCAGGACGGAGGATTACATTTTTCGTGTTGATTTGTTTATTGCATCCGTCTCCATGTACGTCGCGTTTGGCTTTTTTACTGACAAGTCATCAGTGAATTAAATTAACAGTTATTTTCGCAACACTGGTTAATCGATCTACAATGCCTTTTCTCTACATATCCGACTGCATCACTAGGGCAACGCCGGCCACCACCCACTTTCGAGCGGGGTCAACTGTACGGAGGCCCGCCAAGAAAACGTAGTGTGGCCCACGGTTGGACGTGAGATATACAGGGCAGTCATACAGGCCCCTTTCTCCGCGCATGTACCCCACCGAAGTCGGCGTCCATGCATCCACTACTGGCACGGCCTTCACGTAGACAATAGGTAGCCACGACATCAGGTCCTTGGGGCGCGAGTCGGCTAGATGGCCTTCCGACCGCACTATTTCCTCCACAGTTTCCTCAGCCGCTCTCCTCTCTGCTATTAGCCTGAGCCGTGCTGAAATGTCCTCCATTTCCTCCTCGTCTTCGTCTGCCTGCTCGATTTGCACCAAGGCCCGACATCCACAACTTAGGCAACAAGTTGGCAGCATATTTTTCGGAAATCTCGCAACACACGCGAAGCACAGGAGCGCGGTCTTGCGGTGATCATGACTTACAAAAGTGTTGATGCCACTGGGACTCACCTGGCCGCAGCGATTCCACCTGGCACCTTCAATGAAGAATCCGTTAACCAATGCACCCTGAGGTGGCAAGGCTCCGACTGCCGCGGTTTCCTCGGATGTTTCCATGCATGTCACCCGGGTCTCCACAGTTATTTTGTCGAGGGGCAAGCCGAGCTTGCGAGAAGTTACTTGCTTTAAGGCTGTTAGAAATGCCGTTGGGTTAAAAAGTCCAGGGAGCCACAACGGGTTCGGAAGTGTTGACAACTTTGCTGTCCACCGCCGAAGAAGCCCTACCCGTTCCACTAGATCCGCCAGCCACGACGACAGAGTTTTTCGCGATGGCCACGCGTGTCGTTCCCACGAGCAAGTGCTATACAGGTCACGCCCTGGCACCTGTTTCAGGCGGGGGGGGGTGTAATCATTGTCGTGCATGCCGTACAATAATCGTTTGACCGTTGACCACGCGTCCATGGTTCTCACAGGACCGATCATCGGTGGCCAATCGTTCCTTCCTACTTTGCCAAAGGTGGCTCAAAAATGTCTTTCCTACATGTAGTATCGATGTCACTTCTCGCCTTTTCAACCCACTTCTTATTCCCCAGTACAGCTGCCATGTTCTCCTGGTTATTCATGCCTCAAACATCTCTCTGTACCTTCCTTCTACTTTTGCCAGCTCAGTCATGTACATTTCCCTCTCCTTGTACAACGGACATTCCGCAACTACAAGAACCCGGTCTTCGCACTCGGAGCCGTATATTCACATTTGAACCTGTCTTCATCGTCTGGACTGCCTTCCTAAATCTTCGTCTGCGTTCTCGAAGGCCCGCGTCTCCAGTCCTAAATTTGACCTTCAGCTTTGTCCCTGATTCCATTACTAGTAGTCCATGCAGGTACTCGAGGCCTATTCCTTCTTTCAATATTCCGTACACATCTAGACACTCCTCATCCTTGGCTTTCCTGGATCGATTCCGTTCTTCTCTCTCGGCAAAGCAACAGATACGTATCTTCGTCTTGAGCCCTCTACAGGCCTACCGTTTCCACTTTGCCATTTTCAAACCCCTTCGATACATCCTTTACAATCTTAGCCCACTTGGGCTGTCTACCCTTCTTCTTGTTTGCCCACTTCGCCTCCCAGGCTATTCATGACAACCTCTCCTCTCCCATATCGTGCATACGGGGGGGGGTCCCCAGAAAGTTGTTCTACCGTCGCACGACTGGACTGCTGTAGCAAAGCAAGTTCAGTCAACTACTGGTAGTAGTTCAGGTCGCGTCATAGGTTGTTTTCGAGAAGCACCCTCAGTCTTCCACGAGGTGGTTCACAATAAAGCGTATGAAATCGATTTTGACGTACCTCATTTTTGGCAAGGGCTGTTTGCAGATCTTCCATCGCTTGAGTCATGTTAAGCTGACCGTCCATTCCTTTCACAAGCTCTAGAAGAGAACGCTTCAGTTCGAACAGGAGAACATTCATTCGACTGCACTCTTGAACTGCTACCACCACGTAGGGACCCTGGTCCGTGTCGAGGAGACTTCTCGCCTGCATTGGGGGAAGCGGAAAGGGGGTGAGAGGGTGAGAGCACGCCAAAAAGACAGCAGCACCATCTAACTAATAATAGCGCTACCATCAAACTCGATCTCCTCAAGGATTGCTCTCCCCCGAAATTTGTACTTTGTTTCTAATAGAACAAACCAACCTTAAAATTAAAGTTGTTTTGCAGACGCTGGGTACCACGACAACAACAACCACAGGGTATTCTGGAGATTATCGCGACAAATCAATTTATAGGTCGACAGCGCTTCAAACATCTACAGGCTACCACCCTGTTTTGTGGGTTGAGGTCAAAATCTACGGCGTGGAATTTATCTAAGCATAGACTGGTTGAATTCGAAAGTCGGGCGGACAGCACGCTAGAATTAACAAGCTGATCTTACAGTGCATGTCCACATAATTCGGCGGTCTGCAGTTCACGCATACCTGTGCTTCGATGGCGTTCACGTCGAAACTTGTTGGCAGGGAAGGTAGGAGACGCTGTCGAATAGAGTCTGCCGTTGTGAAACTGGGTACTACCGTACCTCCAGTTGCTGTGGAAGCTGCGCTTGAATCATCTTCCTCGTGCTGTCTGCTTGCAGTGCTACCGGCACCCACAGTCTCCAACCTTGTTTGGGGAAACATGGACAGAAACTCTCATCAGCATATAAGCGGGGCTCCCGGATGGTGATAAGATGTCGAGGGAACGCAACTTTCCGATAGAGTACCACCCACCCACCTCAAGAACGCAGCAAATATCTCATCCGCAGCGTTGGTCAGGTATCCAGTTTCTGCGTTCGCTGGCATCCCGAACATGCCCGGCGTCTCTTCCGGCAGGGAATTCTTGATATGCACGCTATAGAGGTGGTGATCCATGCCCTCTGGCTCGGGGGCAGCGAATCCAGGTGCTAGCGGTTTCCCCTCGAAAATCCCTTGATCAAATATTTCCTGCAGACGGAGGAATAGGACGTAAATGCGCGTGTCCGGGTGACTACACATTCCCGATTTATCGTACCGAGTTGGGGGTTGCCGAGGTCGCTTCCCCGGGATAGAGGTCCAGCATAGACAAGCTTTGCGCTGTCGTTGCAACATTCGCAAACATCTCTTTGAGGTATCGCACCATCTTTGCCTTCGATCGTTCAAGCAGATTATCATGTCGAGGCAAGCACTAGACTGTTTGAGAGAGGATCATCATCACTCTTTTTACCCTTGGCATCTGGCGGCGAAGATCGTGAGCGCCATTTCTTTTACACATGTGTGCCCAACAGTGGATACTGGATATTGTAGGCGGTGTGTAGTTTTTCCATTTGCCTGAACAGCGCTCTCCACCCCTTTCTAGTAGTAACCGTCGGCTGTTGATGAATCGAACAAGAAAGCTTTGGACGGAACCGGCGGCTAACGTGGGTTATTCTTTCTTTCACTCGAGGGTGAGTCAATATTTGCGTACCCTCTCGTGAATGGGTCACCTCGAGGGCTTTCCGCCTCTTCCTCGAAGTTAACACGTGTTTGAGAACTCACCTCCAGGTAGGATGTCGTTACTCGACGATCGAAGAAGTCAGTGATGTGACCCCCGTACATGATCTCCCCGAAGATGTAGCGCAACTCCTGCCAAGGTGCACCGCGTCCGTCCGCGGAAACGGCTGCTTCCCAGTAGCTGTGGAGGATGTTGGCGCAAATGTTGAGATCCCCTGCTGCAAACCCGTAGGACCGCGACCAACCCAGCTGCCCGAAGCGTCGACGACCCAAAACAAGTGAGTGGAAGAAGCAGAGCCCGAAGAGACAAGCTCTAAACTCTTTCGCTGCCGTACATGAATCAAGCTTCTCCTGATCGAACATTGCCCAAGATCGCTGCAGGTTTGACCGTAGATCTGCAGGTGCCTCGTTGGCTACCTTCAGGCAAGACTGGAGACACGAAGTAACAACGAAGGCACAGGTTGGCAGGTGGCCTCTCGGTCGCACACAGAAAAAGTCTATTAACAACGTTTCCTGCTTAATGTCGTATCACGTCGAATATTCAAACTTAAATTAACGCCACGTGTGATATCACCTGGAGGAGAGCTTCTGGCATATTTTGCATCGTGGGTAGTGGAGGGGGCTCTGCTGAGAGGAAGCACCGGAACGTCTCGTTGACCTTGCCACTAATCCCCTCGAGCGTCAAGACCAATGTGGGTAGCCACGACTGCATGAGGTGAACGTTTTGCAGCATGACCCACCCACCCTTTTGCCCGAACTTCTTTATCGTGCGCTCCGCCTTAGACTCTTGGCCCTGACCTGAGAATCGGATATACATGTGTCCATCGGAAAAATGTAGCATCAGCATGTGCATCCCGTGGTGGATCATAACGTGGTGACCGCGTGCAACAGAACCATGGCTTGCCCATCACAAAAAAATACTTGGTAAGCTCTCTCACCCATTGAGGTATTGGACAGCATCTCGTTGGTCGTGCTGATATTCATCTCTCGCCCTAGACCTTCAACCCACGCTGCAGGATCCATGCCAGGAAATAGGAGAAACAAGATTGGCGTAGACGCCGAGCTATCTTCGTACACACTCCGCATGGAAAACGGAGGCTGAGCGACAAAATTTTCGCCCAAGACTTTTGAGACGAATTTGCGAAGGGCGAACGTTATTCTATCAGGCCGCAGCACCCGAAGGATGCACAGAGTCTGAATCTCTCCGGCTGTGGCGAAGTCTCCCGGCAACGGATCTTCTTCTGGGCAAGGGCTCTCGTACCAATCTACCCATTCCTCGGCGAACATAACGAATTTGGCAGCAATTTCTTGGAACACGGCATTTTCCTCTCCGAGGCGCTCCAAACCCATGAAGCACCTCCACGTGTGTTCCGGTAGTATTCTGAATGAGTCGAAAGAAAAGAAGAGGGAGGGAGAGCATACTTGTGCAGCCTGGGCTAGTTTGAAGAATCATCCAGAGCTGCATCGGCATAGAGAGAGCTTAGGATGGTCTGTTCGTACACCCGGAGACCCAAAAGATGACAACCAAGCATCGAATCGGCGTCGAGACATCCATCCCTACAATCACCGAAATGACGGTTATGCTGTACCCTCTGCATATACTTATGGCAGTAGCAACGGCCAACGGCTAAAGCTCATTGTATTCTAAAATCGAGCATAGTATTGTTGTCACCTGCGTGCCTCTTGTGGATATACAACCGAGTCTCCGCTTGGTTGGGGTGAAATGAAAGCTTCTGTTGCACTCCGCCCACCGCTGTCTCCATGTCTCAGTATTCTAAGAGCAATTAAGCTGGCCACAATGAGTTTGTCCTTCTCCACCAGCCCGCGTCGCACGTAGTTGAATACCACGAGTGTGATGCGCGCTTGCAGTCGAGGAATCTTGGCCAAGAGCTGTAAGATGAGCGGCGGAAGGAAGCAGTCAGCTCTCAAGTTTCAGGGCGCGCAGCGTGTTTGTCCCATGTCAATAGCTGCAAGGCGGACAAAAAAAAAGCTTGACCCACCGTGTCTCGCGCAACAGGGCTTTCGTCATTTTCTTCCATGCGCAGGAAGTTGCCGACGCCCCCGACGCTTTTCCGCGCTTGGTCTTCACTCAATTCGATCGATTGCCGCATCAAGTCCTGATTCCAAATCAACCACCCGTGGAAAGGAAATTGAGAAATTGAGACATCGTGCTTTTGGAACTTGTTCGCACAGCTTCTATTGGTTATTGGGTAGACGACCACAGCATGCACCATACCTGGTTCCACCCGAAAGATTGCACCCGCGATTGTCGTTTCTTTCGGGGTGCCGACCCGTCGTTGTTCACCGATCCTTGCTTCTTCCCGCGAGCTTCCTCGTTCACCAGGTCTATTCCACACTGGAGGAAACATATATTTGAGCATTTAGGGTGTGTCAGGTTCGAACAGGAAGGAGATGTACACGTTAAGTTAAGGTGGACATGGCAGTTCTTCAGAATGAGGCTACACCATCGTTTGTTGAGTCTTCAGAGTATTTTCTGCTCAAGGTTGGACTCGAATGCAACCCAAGAGTTGTTGCCAGTCTGCGCGTATCTGACCTGGAAGATCGCCACGAAGGCGTTCAGGCTGTACACGTAGAGAGAGTTCATCTTGTGAAGATCAGTGATAACAAAGTAGAGCAGGCTGCCTCTCCTCGCGACGTCCCTGTATTCCTCGGATAGGAAAATGATCTTCTCGGTTGCCACCTGATGTGAGGGACACAAAACCACAAGTAGATATGAAGTTGTACCAAAACTAAGGCCGTTCACTCTTGTTGCAACGGATGCATTTGTGGTAATCTCGTCAGTGCGCTAGCAGTAGTGTTACCAGCTTACTATCTACTGTTAGATGGCACGCACCTTCATCTCAGCCAACTTTTGGGTAATTCCTTTGCTCAGTTTCTTCGACTCTTCCAGTCCTTCCACAAGGGCTCGATCTTCCGTGACATCGCCAGAAGACTCGGTCAAGCGCAGAAGGATATCATCCTCTAGCTCTCGTATGCGTATCTGGATCGCGGGGTCAAATGGCATTCTTCGTGAGAAGCGTGCTGTCGGCTGCACAGCAACAGCAAAATCGCTTGGGATCCGTACGCATACTCCTATCTACTAGCAGTCCTATTCAAAATCTTACTAATTGTGGACGACCCAGCGATGTCTACCCAAACGGGCTAGACCAACAACGTGCCTTGAACTGGTTTTGCTGGTGGAGGAGAGCTGTCCTGTGTGCAGCCAAGTCTGGCCTCTCTGTCTTGATCACGACGGCCAAAAGCTGATCCTCTAGCCCCGTCGGGGTGACCATGAAGTTCACAACTGTTGTCTCCGCCTGGACTTCTGGGGGGTAGTGTGGATTCGAGAGCTTGGTGTGCAGGAACATCCTAAAGTCGGGGTGCTGCTCAACCTCATCATCACCCAGCAGAATGACACTGCGGTTGCCTCTCCGGGTGAAAGCCCTAGTGACAACTGGCAGAACAATGGGGTCAATGGACTCGCCCATGTTTTCAATGATCACCGAAAACCCTCGTTCCATCGCCTCTTGAAGCCTACGAAGTAAGTCGTTCTGGCCAAGGCGCAGGATTTGAAGGTTCTGGGATGCCTCCTTCAGCTTTAACCAGGTGATGCCCTTTCGAGTGGAGCAAAACACAGGCAGCGTTAGTGTTGATGGTTGCATACAATGCTAGCGAATGCTAGCGCAATCAACAGCACGCACAACGTAGGAAACATGAGGCATATAACGACCACGCACACCATGTTGTGTGTGTGTGCACCATCACGTTTATTCTGGACGTCGAGTTTTTCTCCGCTCGGTATGTTTTGGGACGCACCAGCCCGGGTCACACAGGAGGAAGGCCACACAAGAATGCTCTCACTTCATCTTCATCTGCGCTGTTTGCGTGTGAAGTGTTGTCGCGAGACGAGAGTCACCCGTTTCTTTCCCTCGTCGGTTTGTTGTGTAAATGCGAATGATTCCCTATCACCATGTGTTGAACATAATTTGGGAAAGTTCTCAGTTCGGGCGACTGCGCCGGGATTCAAAATCACGTCCTACACTTCAGAAGGTTGAGGATAAAAACTGTATGCCAGGAGTATCTTGACGAATGCCAAGAACACACTGACACCCCTATACTCTGCAATGCCTGGTTGCATACCTGAAGCTGTGGATCAATTATGAGAGGCCAACGCGCACAGTTGTCCACGATTGCTCCATTTTCTGACGACACAGGATCAGCGGGTAGTCCTTGGGAGTTCCACTTGGCGATCTCGGCTTCGTTCGTCAAAACACGTAAAGGGTCAGCTGCAGCGCTCATGGGCATCGGACCGTTGTTTACGGATTTTGCCATGACCGGGAGCCACTGCTCTTTCACCAACTGCTCCCGGAAAGGTTTGGTGAAGGGACCGACATAGCTGAGGAATGCGCTTGCGACAAGAACATCACCGACAAGATTTTCCTTCTCCTCCCTCAACGTTTTCACTCCTGTTGCCCAGCGCTCCGTCTCTCCTCCCAGGCTGGACACGAGGCGCCTCGCCAGCTCTATCTTGGTCTTTCCCCGCTCATACGTGGCTTGCGCCTCTTGCTTTTCGCCCTCTGCCCTCTCATACTCGGCGTTCAAGATCGCAAGTGTTGCTTCCAGCTGCGATAAGCGTGCTCTCACCTTGCAAATAATTCCATATGAGTAGTCATTGTTAAACGCTCTGAAGACACGGGTTCGAGCAATACTTAAGGAGGCACTCTTTTGTGATGTCCTGCTTTCAGCCTCTTGACATGTCACTTGCAAATTAATAATGGTACCTCTATTTGTTTGTAATATGGTGAAGGCAAGAACAACAACAACCTATTTTGTAAGCAAGTCAACCCACCTCCCCGAGCTCGTTATTTGCGGATTCAAGCTGGTCGTTCGCTTCCTGAAGGGCTCGTCGCTTAGGCTCCACTGTCCGCACTATGTCATAGTACTGGACGATGTTGAGCACCCAGGAGCAAAGACCTGCAGCCGCAGAGTTTCGTTTCTCGATGACTTCCACTCTAAAGTGCTCCAGGTCAAGGAAGGGCCTAACTTCGCGGATATTGATTTCTGGCACCGATCCGTCGTCCACGGCTCCTTTGAACTCCTGTCGATTTGTCCACGAAAGAAGGACACTAATTAAAACAGGCGAACATTTTGTCCGAAAAGCTCGTTACAGCAGGGTTGGGAGTAGTTGTAACAAGCCTCCTCTTCATGCACACTATGCACGGCAGAAAGTTGTCCCTCTCTCTGTTGCGGGCATTCGTCCTCGCGGCCGGACTGGAGAACCCGTGGAATTGTGCGCATACCGCAGAAGACAAGGACAAAACTGCATAATCTCTTTGCTTCCCAAACAAGGGCAACGATTTCTCTAGCCTGAAACCTCTCGCGACGACTGAACGAACAAGTACTGCCTCTTCCGCCGTCGCGAGTTGGTTGATGACAGACCAAACCTTCAGCTCTTCCAGGAAGCCGTTGATATTTCCCAGCAGCGACTTTTTCACGCTGTCCCACGTGCGATCCTTATCTCGGACCTTGCCGGTCTGCTTGCTCACCACTACGTTGTCGCTGAGGGTCGCCAGTAGCACCTACAGCAGTGGTTCAGAGAAATGTACGAATAACCCACAAAATATTTGGCACGACACAAGAGGGCAACTGTTGCGGGTAGTGCTCCGGGCTATGAAACCCCCATCCAACCACTGCAAGTCCAAAACTCGCGGTACGCACACGGGCGACCGCAGAATATGACATTGTAACACCACGCGACCAAAAGGTCGCCCCCCCGCAAGACACCCACCATGCATGCGATGAAAATGTCCACCACGCCAGGAGGAGGAACACTCATAGTCTTGCACTGTCCTAGCTGGGATTTATCCAATGTATCCAAAGCACTCATGGCCGCGAGCACTGCAGGTTCTGCCTTGGCGAGGTCGTTTTCGGCATCCGCCTGCTTCCGTGATACCTCGTTCTGAATGATGGCCACCTTGTCTGCCTCGATGTTGGCATTTTCTGTCTCTCGCCCAACCCCTTCCCGTTCCATCCGCACCTACCGTTTGGGTGTAAGTTCTTCGCGTGAGCTTGGTATATTTCCTTGTGGATAAGTAGCATCGCCCTGTTTCACAACTGCAGGGTCAACGTGACCGAACGTCGTGGGTTCAAAACTTGACGATATGAGGAAGGTTCGTATCAATCGTGGCTACAAAGATGAGGATGGTTGAGGTTCATCCACAGAGTACCATGACATCGACATAAGGACCCACCTGGTCGGCCATCTTGTCCGCCTGGGCGCGTTTCTCCTCTGCGGAAGCAAGCATCACCTGCCGACCGAAAAAATCCCAACACAACAACGTCTCAGGCATTATTATCGATGACTACAGCGGTGGTGCTCTTAAGTGAATGGAAACGAAAAACGTTCCACTCACTTATACAATTTCCTGGATGGACCAAGATGCACAGGATTGAATTTCGAGAGAAGTCAGCAACGCACACGCAGCTATTGCCGGGCAATGGGCAACCTTAGCCCCGAGGTTCCTTCGTAAGACGTTCCTCTTTAAGACTAAACCACGGTAGCTAAAATATTTTACCTTGAGATTTTCTTCAAGATTTGCCACGGCCTCTGCTGATTCCGCTAGTTTCAACACGCCTCCTTCCAGACGTTGAATAGCGGCATCTGCCTCGATGTGCTTTCTGTCTAGAAGGGAAGTGAACAGCTTCAACAATTCCAGGTAGGACTTGGGTGTGGTGTACACATGCCGAGCCTCGGCTGCCAAGAACTGGGCGTAGGTAAAGTGGGCACAGCACCGCACGACAACACCAGCAAGCACCAGATTGGGTTGGTGTGAAGGCACAAAGGCACAAAGATCGATCAAACAACATACAGACAGTCAAGGTAAACTACCGATGCGTTTCTGATAGCGCACACTCACGAAACGCCCATTTACACCTTTGTACACATGGTGTTGACTCCCTCGAAGCTGTGAATCATAAACTGTTCGACTCCAGCCCGTACGCCGTCTCCATCGAGATAGATACTCTTTGCCAGGAATCGCGTGCCCACACTCGCTAGGGCTTCCTTGGGCCACGGCTGGAACCAGTCAATAACTGTGCAAGACACAAGCGCAGGGAACTTGCGGGCCCGGTTCCGGAACTCTGGAGCCATTGGAGAGAAGCACAAGATGACATGCAGATTTTCTCTGATCTGGAATACACGCACAAGAAAAGTAGGTGCACGCAGGTGGGGAAAACAAGTCGGTCGGCGTTAGTTGTGACGCAATTTAGGGTCAAGGGTGTTGGTGGAACCGCATACTCAAAGGCATTCCGGCATCCAATACTTCTATTTCGTACTTCAATGTCATACGAAGTATTTTTGAGCACTTGCGGCATCCCAAATAATTATGTCACGTCTGGTTTCTCAGCGAACCAACCAGTTCAAGGCTCTTACTTGTTGGATGAAGTGGTCCCAGCACGCAGAAGGTTCAGGGGCGACCCCTTTAGCCTTGACCACTTCGACCAAGCTCTCTGAAATTGCAAGTTGTTCGTCCTTCGTATAAAGATCAGGAACGTGCCCGGAACTGAGCAAATCATTCAGATATACCTGTGTAGAGTGCCCGAGCGGAGTGAATCAGTCCTCGGCGAATGGGAATCGACACCCGTCGTCAACTTGCACAGGTAAGGATCCCCCATCAACAAATTTGGCCAAGCCCAAGGACATATAGCAAGCGATCGCACTACACACCAACAACCGAGTGACTTGAAAACATATCCCACCCGCTCACATTTGGCGGATAAACCCAAGCGTCAAAACTCTCACCAAGAAACGCTCCTGAACAATTTGGTTATCCGTGAAGAGGAAGCCAACTCCTTGCCCTTTCACTCCTGCTTTCGTGAACATGGCCTGCGGATACGTGATTGAAGGCAGTGTCAAGAATTTCTGGCCTATGCTTCAATCGGCTTGAAAAAGTGACAGGGGAAGGAAAATCTATTAGGCACAAAGCCCACGGAATGGAAATATCTACAACATGCTTGTTACCGCCTAACGCAAATGATGACTGATTACTGCTGGTGAGCTTGCCCCACCTGCAGGTCGGCCTTGAAGTCGTTGAGGCTGTAGCTCTTGCTTATGACCACGGTCATAGGGGCGAGCTCCGCCATGTAAACGGCCAACTTGGCCAGAGATTGTTTACCGCTTCCTCCGACACCGATCAACATGGCATGTCCGCCAGCTTGTTGTAAGACGCGGCTCACGCGAGCGACGTGCAGGCATGCCTTTGTAGGTAGACACGAAGCAGGAGTGTGTGGTCATACAGTGGGGACATGGACCACACGGAATGAGGTAGTCTGAGAGTATCTCCACTCATTGCTTCATTGCGGTACGATTCCGCCCTCTCCGATCCTCGGTCAACATCAAATAGTGTACGCAGGGGATTCCTGAGTGGAATAATATCGCCGCAAACACCTTGCCAGTTTTCAATCCACACCGCTATCGTACCTCATCGAAAAGAACCAAATCCATCACAGCGTTCGCTGCATTGTACTCCGCCAGGGCGGCGTCCAGCGTTTCTCTGATTCACAAGGGAAGCAAGTGAGTGCGCCGCGCGGGTTAAATGTCGATGTTACCACTTGTTCAACCATCCCTAGAGACCATTACAATATAAAATGTGCTGATTATCAACGAGCCAGTCCTCTCACTGCAGGAACATTCTTTGGGGAGGATATTTTATACAGCACTGATACGTCATGTTCACCACAAAGAAACACCACCTTAAGGTATCAACGGACTCCACTTGCGAATACTCTCCCTCGGCTGAAAAGTTAAAAATGAGCGGCTGTCCAGATCCGCCTGCGTTACTCATTGTGGATGGTTCCATGAAGAAACGTGTGCAGTTGTACTGCGGGAAAGCCTTTTTAGCCTGAGAGGACATGATGCTCCGGAACTTGTCAATGTCTCGTCGGCACACCTGATGTCAAATGCATGGACCAAACAAGAACCAGGCGTTAACGTGCGCATTATCTTTCTCACCAAAGATTCTGGCAGGGGTATGTGGTGAATACAGAATACAACGCATTTTCTAACGGTTAGGTTCAACATCTTCGTCTACTCGTACGCTCCAGACGTTGTTCGACAGGCGCGTTACTCACCAACCGGTCTCCATACACACGTTCACTTTCGTGTAGCCAAAGGTGAACCAGCTGCTCGCCATGCACGAAGTTCTTGGGGTGTGCCTTGAGTAGACCCTCGAACACATTGGTGAGATGTCGCATGTTGAATTCGTAGTGGAAGTTCGCCGCTGTTTTGCGGAAATTATCGCTAACCTGAGATGTGGGGCATGATTGGTCGTCGAGTGAGCGGAAGCACGACGCACGAAAACGGAACCCGGTAGACAACGGCATCAAGAGCTACCGGGAAAAATAGTGGTATTTCTGCAAGACCGTGGTTCAATTGGGGAAAACACGCCAGTTTGGTCAACTCGGTGGAATGCACGAGTTACGTCACAACCCAGTTGATTGTTGGTTACGGATGACTCTCACCTCCTTGTGAACACTCAGAGCACCCTTAATCAGGCTGGCGCAAACTTGCACGACACCGACTTGGAACCGTTTGCCTTGCTTCTCTTGCCGGAGATGTCCTTCCAAAAAGGTCTCGAAAATAGCCAGGAGGGAGGTCGGGCTTGGCATGCCAATGGCAAACACCAAGAAGTGCCGTTGCAGGCGAGGGTTGATCTGTGAGCATGAAGCAGCATTGAATCAGTCAAATCCTGGCAGTTACTAGTATGGCGTGCGGTATGCTGAATCGTTGCCATGGGTTGCCGCGTTTCTCCGCCCCACATCAATATCTGAACGGCGATCAGCGCTCCTGCTCACCTGGAAGCTACCTGCTGTTGGATTCATTGCGGCCACGTACTGGCAATCACTGATGTTTTGCACAACAAGCTTGGATGCTGCGTACCTGAGATTGGATGGAACGGCAATCGTTGCACGAGTGAGTTGTTCGGGGAAAAACTGTGCCAACGGGAAAATCAAGCGTTACGATACCAGTCTACCGCCCATGGCAATACTCACCAAAAACGATTTTGGTTCTTTGTTGTTTGCTTCAAAATGACTGCTCGATACGACACCGAAAACACACCAGCACACTCTCACCAGTGTCCGTAGTCAATGTGCTGCCGGATGAGAGCAATAGCCGATTGAGTATTGTACGCGTCGAGAGCTGGCAGGTTCAAATCGTCCACGAAAAAAAACATCTTCGATGATCCTGGAGGTCCGTAGTTGCTCCCGGACTTTTTCTGTAGACTGGCTGTCATACTAGACTGCAAAACAGAAGCACTGCAGGATGAACGCAAAATATGTAGGGGTGGGTACATTTAGCTCTCCGGATTACATATCGCTTTTACCGAGCTCCAGGGGGGGTGCAAAGGGTGTTCGAAAGGATATGCCCTAGGGTCCCAAAAGGCAGCAAGAAGCACTGCCAGACTCCCCGGCGAGCTTGAGCAGGTAAATAACAGTCCATTCTCTGCATATCCAACGGTTCGAAACCATCAGATGGGACAAGGTTAGCGTAGTTCCCGAAACCCACTCGTCTATTGGGACCACATCTGACGAGCGCTTCCCCTGCGCGGTTTCATGAACAAAATACCTTGTGTAAAAGTTCATGTTGATCTTAGCCATCATGTAATCCGCTCCAGGTTTTCCCATCAAGCTTCTCAGGGCGCCCATGACCAGCTGGGTCTTTCCGGTTCCTGCAGGACCAACGAGCATCACTGCCTTGCCCATGGCCATACGTTGCTCCATCCAAAACGTCGCCGAAGCGGTCTCTGCTGTTGGTACCGTTACCTAAGTGGTAAAGCGCAAAGCCAACAAGGGGCGAACGAACGGGTGTCGGCACATCTCTACATTTTTGTGCATGTACTGGAGCAAGTAGGACATGTGTGTACCTTCGTCCCAACATGTCTCTCGAGAACGCGCGTGACGGTATGAGGAGCTTCAAACTATCAGCATGGTACCCAGGGAGCTGGAGCGTGTTTTCCTCACCTCGTTCATCTTCATCTTGCTCGAGTTGAAGTCGATTACTTTGAAAATCTTGTGTTTCGTCCACGGCTCAAAGCGACACTCGCCGTTCTCAACAGACAAGAAGTAGTCGAAGATTGTATCTCGGGATGGTAATTTGACCGCTTTATTGAATTCCCGTCGCCACCTGTTGGTCGACATCCAATAGCAGACGAGTTCGCGTTCAGGAGGAATATGTGCCACAGCTAGACATCCGTATGTTAGCATTGCGCCATGTGCCAAAAGCCCTACAACGCAACGTCAACACACGTATTATTAGACGTTTCTTTCTTAGGCGGCTGGCCTATGAAGACTCCAGACGAAACCGTTGAGTGCCACTCACCAGTCAGAAAACGTCTTGCGGTAGTCGACTCCATCATCTCCGACCCCCAGAGTCGAACCAAAGGCCCAGATTGTGCAGAAAACAAAGGAATGCTCCACCATAGATCCATCGGATAGCATGCTGTTCTTGAGAAATCCCTCCAGAAGCTGCCAAAAACGACGGGTATAAAGGAATGCTGGCTGAGGTTAGTAGGAAGGTCATGGAAAACAGCGAGGGCTACGGGCTACACTGCTGTTCGCTACAGTATTTGGCCTCGGACGCTCGAGGGCGAACAAGTTCATGTTAATGCAGTTGTAAGGGACTCTCTGGGTGTATTGAGAGCGTTGTTGTCTTCAACTCTTCACGATGAGGTACGATCCTGGAGGTATGTCTTAAACCACACACGCACCTGCAACAGGGCTGAAACAGCGGTTGTAGACTCGCACTCCACGCTGGTCTTCAGTTGGGTGGACAGAAGCTGCACCGCTCTTGGGACGTACAACTCAAATAACCCAGACAACTGAGACTTGACTTCTTCGCTGTAACCCGAACCAGTTACCCAGCTCGCGATGAGAGAGTGCCACTGTTGCCCCTCGACTGTTGAAATGTACAAAATCCCGGCGCGGCTCACGGTCGCCGGTGTGGCATATTTGAGGTCCCGGATTTCGAAAATCATCCGCATGTTGGCTCGAAGTGGGATACGTTCGTTGGAGGCCAGAGTAAGCACCTAGAAGGAGATGCGAAGAGTTCGAATGAGACTGAAGTCTTGCCGAAGCAGACATGGTCGGCAAGAAATTGTCTTGAGAAACCAACGCTGAACTGTCGTTACGAAACGCGTCGCTCTTTCCTAGGCCAAATGTTTCCACAAATCTTTCCTTCAGAAAAAATGATTCATTGTCAAGTAGGACGCGGGTGCTACCATCCTTGAAATCGCAGCTGAACCACAAAATCATTCTTGGCTTGGCACGCGTCAGCGAAGGCTTTCACCTTGTTGTCGTCCATCACGGAATTCATGCTTTCGATCCAATTCGCGTCGAGATCCCCGTCGAGCACTATCCACTTCGGTGCCTCGTTGGGAATGGCTCCGAGGTCTCTCATAACTGTGCTCAGCACCCCATCCTTCCATTCTCTTGTAGCCAAGGAAATATGGCCGTAGAGTTCTTCCGTGGGCATGGTCTTGGGGTTAATATCAACGTCCTGGGGAGTGGGTCAGGTTCGTTTAGTACATGTGGTAGGCGGTGTCTCGACAGGAAGCAAATAAGTTGCATATGGATACATTCAATGAAAAACGGCGAGCGGAGCCCACCACGTTCACATGTGGCGCACCTTGACCTTGTTGCTGGGGTCCATACGGCTTCGGGCTTCCTTAAGCACCTTCCAGCAGCTGCTTTTACCAGCACCAGCTTGGCCCACGACGAAGTTGCAGTGTCGAATTGCCAAGAGTTCGTCCAGTTGCGATATCTGGGAGGAGATAGGAAAGTAGTGGTTAACGTGCTTGCGGCAGCAGTTATCTCAATGTGATGTGAATCATGCATCATGTAACAAACTCGTCACAAAAAGATAGTAGCATATACTTCGGGCTGAGCAGACCCCGTGCTCTCTTGATTATTGCCTGAAACTAGCGCTCGGTGTTTTCGCTCGTTTCCATTCGCTTCATGAAGATAAAAAACACACTGAACCAACTCACTTTGAGGACGAACGCTTCGTCGGGCCACAAGTTCATGTCTTCACACACTTCTCGAACGCACGCGTTGAGACTGTCGTTGACTAGTCTCGGAGGGTTAATAGACGGGAACAGATCGTTGAGGAGACCGAAGAACACAGCCTGCAAAAGGAGGAAGAAACGGCATAATATGATGTCATGCACACAACAAAGAGAGGTCGTGGCTCTCAGAAGTATAATGCAACCAACCAACATTTGCTACTTAAAGCGGTGCCCTCGGGGCCATCAGCGCGGCACAGCCTTGGGGGTTAGAGAGGGGCGCGCGACAGGAAGCCAACAAGTCGCAACATCGTCAAGCTGCGTGTACGCGCACCTCGTCACTATGAACAATTTTGGGCGTATTGAAGTCTCGTAGGGCCCGCATGAGGAGTGAGTCTTCTGGGAGGTCTGGCTCCGCGCGCTTGAGTTTCCCTGCAACCACCAGCACCGACTTTACTGCTCGCATCCCCCAATCATAGTGATCCTGGTCGTAAGAGGCAATAAAGGAGCCGAGAGTAGCGAAAGTGCCGAAAACAGCACGTGAAGTCAAGCATCAATCACGATATGCAAGATTTGCGGGAAAAAGATATACGTATCTGTGAGAACCATTAAACCGGTTGGATCGTGTCCACTTTACCTGCTTGCTGAGTAACTCCTGCAGAAGCGAGTAAAGGCCATGGAACTTGGAGGCAAGTGTCTTCGCTTGCACGAACCCTTCCGCCATCAGCATGTTTTCGCAGATGAGAACCAGGTCAGGAACCATGACCGTGATAGGTCGGAACAACACCTTGAATATGCACGTAGAATCGTGGTGGCGGTGCGATAATTGTCATGACAGCATTAAATGGCAGACTTGACGGCATCAAGCAATCAGTACTGTACTGTGCAGGAAGGATCTTGGGGGCCAAAGACGTGGTGCACTGCTCTAGACATGCGTGCGATATGCTTGGCGGTATGGGTCGACTCAATCCTTAACGTCACCTTGAGCCCCTCCGGTAGTTCCGAACGCCCGAGATAGCCCGGGTTCATTGTAATGAAAACCCCACAACCAGGGTCCAAGCTAACACGATCGTCTTCGATCACGATAGAAGGTGGTGAGTGATCGTCCCTGTTTCCGTCGGCGCAAGCCACTGCGTGCGCCTTCAAGCCGTCGGTGACCGCCTTGAATTGCAAGGAACATACGGAGAGCACCTCCGGTACAAGACGATTGAATTCGTCGAAGCATCCCCAGGCCCCGGAGGATGCCAAGCCTGGAGAGTGAGCGATGGAAGCGTGCTAGGGTATATATAGACCGTGTCGTTTTACCTGGCTCAGTCGATTGAGCATCTTCTGTTAGCGACGGGCCAAAGGGCCCGATAGCGCGCAATGCGGGACAGGGTAGGGTCCGACTGTAGCAACCGTAACGAGAAAAGAAACACGGGCGAGAAGTTGTTGAAGCGAGCCTAGGGAATTATTGCCACAGGCCAACTACCATCGCTCGTGCAGTGGAAGGCGTCGAGGCGCTCATACCTTTGAAAATATCGCCGAGACTCTGATAGTCCATCTCAGGCGAGCAGTTGAACACATAGCAACAATTTCCGAGACCAGCGGCAAGGTCCTTCGTCGTTTCTGTTTTACCCGTGCCAGCCGGGCCAGCAGGGGCACATCCCATCTTCAGGTGTAGCGCCTTTGTTTAACAGCCGGCCGGTAAAGAAGTCAGCCGAAAATTCGGGACCATGGATGGGAATAAAACGAAGCCCTCCTTCCTTCATATCTGCAGCGAGGTCGTGGAGAAAACTCGAAAACAAGTGAAACTTGTGCCTCTCGTCACGCAGGCCTTCCGCGGCACCGCAAAGTGGATACTGACAAAGCCGTCGTCATCGTCTGTCTTTCTATCACGCGAGGTCATAATTGCGTGCCTGCTTTGCAGACTGTGACCTACCAACCCTCACCTGCGTGGCCGTTACGTAAATTCTATCTGTCAAGGGTGTGATCACGAGACGAGGCCCGTTCCCGAGAAACTCGAAGCCGTACTCAAACGAGGCATCTAGTATGTCGATCGTCGCCAAAGGGAGTTTGGAGTCCCTTGGGTGGCCTGACTCTCCCTTGTAGCGCTGCTTAAGCTGAGAAGCCCATTGAAAGTCATCCTAACGAGTCAAGAGGGTATGTAGAGGAAGCGTGCGAGTTTGGACGGGAAAAGCCGAAAAAACGGTGGTCACGTTCCCCCCGTCAATCGTGAAGACAACCAAGTACATGCAGCAACAGCAAGACATCGCCCACCTTGTCGGTGACATTCTCTCGAATCAACATGAGCACAATGTCGCGAGCATGAGCATCCACGGTGATGAGGCTCATGATGCGTTGCCGGTCGTCCCGCTTCAATTCTGATCTCGTCAATTCGATGAGCTGGTTGAGCTGATTCACCTATTATAGTCAATCAGAGTGGCGGACGACACGTAGAGAAAAGCGTGATAACCACGGGGTGCTTTCCTGAACCCTCCAGAACTATGGGCTGAGACGTCGTCCGTTCATGAACTTCACAACCCTGATGATTGACAACTGTGCCGGTGGTTTGCTAAACCCAAGCTTGGTTTCCATCTCGACTTGCCGTTTCGGGACACGCTTACTTGAAGGTCATGATATCCGGTTAGAGCGGAGTTGTCTCCCGTTTGGACCCGGTCCAACGTAGCTTCCACTTCAAAGACGTAGTTGATGCCGGCCACGAGAAGAGCAATCTGCGGGTGGATGCGATCAGGCCGTGCATGAGTCCACGATGGCACTTCCACCCCAAGCAGTGTTAAAAGCAGCATCTGTCCTTGGCACATGATTTTTGCGCGCAAGGCACCTTCAAGCACAGAGTAAGCCGTGTGGGCTGCTAGGCGTAAACTTTATCAAACCTACGCCGATCGTCTTCAAAGCCGGCATGACATTTGTTAACCTGTGCAGGGTCGGTCTTGCTGACTGAACCGGGTGGATCAGCATCCATGAGCCATTCCACCCGCGCCTGATTTGGGTAGCGATTGAGCGACCGCTTGAGGGTATTTCCCAAAGTCTTCCGCTGGCAGTTCAATACTGCTTGGAGATAATTTTCAACCTGGCAAGATGGCGCGGAGTTGGTGTTGATGTGATTCGCATGTGGTATATATAGTACGTTGTCATATCAGCGTGTGCTATTAAACGCCAACCAAGTGTTCTCCTGACGTGCCTAACCAATGAACAGGTGGACATTTCGCCGGAAACTCAGTGATGTGCTAAATATACCCTTGTCGTCGTGTTTCATTCACCTTGCCCTCCAGGAGAACGGCGGGCTCGAAGTCAATAATCTCGTCTCCAACCCCCGCCTCAAAGCGAATAGCGCGCGGGCGATCGCTAACGTTGCCGGGAACGCTCTCGAGCACAAGGGTTCTTGTTGAGAGCATGAGTTTGTTGACGTGCCGCATGATTTTGCTGGGCTGGTTTCCGTTAGAGAGAATGTCCAGTAGGTCTGCCTCGCTCGTGAAGTGGAATCGAGGGAATAGCCGCTTCTTCCCGCTGTGTATGAGGAGAAGCACGTGCTGTTAGCAGTTGTAATACGCGCGTTGCGTTCGGATCGACAAATGGGAATACGAAGCCCGCTTGTTATCGCTCCCCCGGTACCTGGTGCACCGCCCGAACCAGCATTCACACTACCACCTCGCTTGGAAGCTGCAAAGTGCACTATAAATAGTTAGGGTTTAATGGCAACGATCATCACCTTACCTGAGGTACTCGCTGAGGGACTTCTTGCACTTTTCAAGCTCCACAACAACGATCTCAAGTTTCGGGACGAGGCCCGGTTTATTACAGGCAGCCTTCACCTGCGAGATTACGACCAATCGTGGGCGTGATTGCCTGGGCAACATAATCATTGGCGATGGGAAGAGTTGCAACTCTGCTGTGTACGCTTATTGAGATCGTCCTTCATCTCTTCTGACACACCAATCATCTCTTGTCGATTGTACTCTTCAATCCGGCGTCTTTTCCCTCTTCGAGCCTCCCAGAAATTGAAGGCATTTGTTAAACTTGGGGCACTGTGCGGGATTGTCGCCTATTGATGATGCGTTCCATGGTATAAATACATATTTATTTACCTTCTTGACTTTCCATAGCTCCATGAGCGTTGCCTTCACTTCTCCATCGATCTTTTCGAATCGTTTGGTGTCCAGTGGCAGTTCTTTCTTGACCTCGTCGGAATGGATAAACAATGGCTCCAGGTACCTCCACATTTGCTGCGTGGCGACGGAGGCAAGCGATGGGGGGTATGTGAAACGAGAAGATTAGAATTAACTGAAGACGCTTAGAGGAGCGGTCTACAACAATAGAAACTACGATCGATCACCAGATCTAACTTCTACACAGATATGTTCAGCTGATTGGACCACAGACCCAATCACAAGCACACCCAGTGGGTTCGACTTCCAAGTTTTTGGGGCTTTTCTTACCGTCGTCTGGGGTTGGTTTTCTGTTAGACTTGGAATTGTTATTGCTTCGCGAGTGTCGGGCGGTTACCCGGGCCATTGGCTTGTATTACTTGTCATCCCTTTCAAGATAGATTGTGACCACGGAAGCTCAACATTTTCCTCGGAAGAGTAGCTAAGAATAGAGGCTGGAGCAAAAATTACGGTGATGGCAACAACACCAACAACACTGGATTGCAAAGTACGAAGAGGCATCCAGAAGCTACGGCGTGATGTGCGGTTGTTTGGGGTACTTGGATACAAGATCCGATCTGGAGAGTACATGTGTGTGGGGGGTATGCTATTGGGGGTACAAGTGCGGGGCCCCTCGAGAGAGAGCACGCACATGTGGCAACTGTCTGTCTGAGACTGTGTATTGTGGTGGAAGGAACGTGGGTGTGTGATAATCAAGATTCTTATCATCCGCATCGGTCCTGGGTTAACTAGTCCCCAGATCTATTCCATACTACTGTGGGTAGGCACGGTAGCCTCCGTGGGAAGGCACGGAGGCCTCAAACAGCGACCGAACGACGTGGTGTATGGCACCACATTCCATGCCAGCTTCGGTATGGGATGTGGTCCAACACACCGTGCCGCTCGGCCACAGTTCAGCTTCTCGTGGGAACGGTGCTTCTGTATCACTCTTGTTTGTGTTTCGTGTGAGTCAGCTTGGTACAACTCATCTTTCTTTACTGTGCATACGATGCACGAAAGGGGGGCAAGAACGACGGGAGGTGAACGATGCTCCGCCGCATCGAATCAACCCGCAACCAAAGGCAGCGCTTCGCGTTGTGTATCTCATGAGAACCGTGATCAGCCCTTCTCACCTGAATGCCGTTGAGCATGGTCATCACGTCGCTGACGAAAGAGAGCGAGCGCTGCCATTCCAGACTTTCCTTCTTGAAGTAGGTGTAACGGGATGCCACCATCGATTGAGAAATCAACATGTCCGATTCCAGCGTCTGCATACCCAGAAGAGGAATAGAAACTATTACGCTTTAGCATAGTGTAGAGTCGTGCAGATGCCCATACTACGCATAACACTTTTGGACTTCTCAACACTCCCTACTGTTAATTATGGCGGAGCCAACAAATGAATCCAATGTGTTTAGTCTCCTGGAAATTGGCCAACTCCCGCCGCTTACCTCGAGATCTTCCTCGGTCATGCTGATCAGAGGAGTGTCTGTTTCAGTGGTAGTCGTTGCTGAGAACTCAATGCGATCCCAGGTTGACTGAAGTACCATAAGAGAGGTCTCCTGGTGGGCCTCCTTGGTGGCTTTCTCTGCGATTGATTCTACCTCGGCAGCCATCGAGACCAGATCGAGACTCATCAAATCCTGTTAAGTGTGTGGAAGAGCCGGGCAGTGGACGAGTCAGTCGGATGGGTAACCACAATGAAATGATGTGTGGGGGAGGCTTCCGCGGAACCTAAAGCAAATCCCTCCGCCACTAATATAACTTTTTCGCTATGAAGAAAAGGAGTAGCTCTTGGGTGATCAGCCGGAGAGAGACGCGAGGATCGTTATCCTGTGTCCATGATTGCTTAAAGCTTCGAGTGCAACCCCCATCGTAACTCACCTCCAGGCGAAGACGTTCTTCCACGTCGTGGACAGAGAACCCAGGAACCTCCGCCTTGCTTGCACTGATGAGCTCTTCCCAATGACGGCGAGATAACTTGGACCGCTTCAAGCTTCCGACCAGAGGACACACGGACATGAAATTTTTCACGTGTGCCAGCAGACCCTGATACGCGTCGGTGTCGTGCAGCCTCTTCGGGAGTTTCTTGACCTGTCGCGACACAAGGCGAGGAATGACCACATCAAACGAAGTTTGCGTGTAACATCGAGCCGTTCTTGGCTATGTTATGGCGTTACTCCGTCAAGTATACACTTGAGCACATGTATGTCTCGTACCTTCGACATCAGTGCCAATGCAGTGTCCTCGAACCCTTCCGGAATAAGATCGTTCCACACGATCGCCTCGGAGAATTTAATCGTGTCGATGCACGTGCGAGCTTCTTGCCATAGGAGTGTGAACGACTCAAATAGCTCCCCGGCCTGTTGGACGGTGAGATATCGAACAACACCGCTCAATAACAACGGCACAAATGATGTTAACCGGGCTCGAGTGTTCTCGTTGGAGACAGAAAAAATAATACTCCCTCGGCTCTGGTCTTGGTTAGGGAACGTATCGTGCTTAGGTATCTATCTCTACAAGGGACAACGCGCAGAAAAGTAATCGGCGCTTACATTCGCGAGTGATCGAGAGGACTCATAGATTTTTGCGGACGAGGGAAAAGCTCGTTGCCGCTATCAACCATCCCCAGCACAGTTGTCATACTTGTATATATCTGGGGTATGCAAACACATCGCAAAACGGGCGAGAGGGCCTGGTTACAACTAAACAACCCACCAGACCTGTGAGATGAGCAGACGCGATTTGACCAAGTCGTCGGATACCCGAAAGATCTGTGCCAGTGCATCGACCTCCTTCGCCTTTTCTCTCTCAGTCTCGAAGGCCTCGTCAGCAGCCTGGTAGGTAAACCAGTACCAAATGCCCCACAAGGTACAAGGTAGTTGGACGAACGGATAAGCGTAGTTCAACTGTAGTCGTGACATAGTCGTCCAATGCTGTGCCCGGGACAATGTGCACGGCAGGCACGAGGTAGTGGTTCCGCAAGTGTCATGTGAGACACACACCGATGCGCTTGAAGAGGAACATAAGCAGCGAAATTGATGGCGAACCGAGAGAGGAAGAACACATGATGTAGTTCGAGCTGCCCATGAACATGTCAACATAGCTTACGAAACGTTTCGGAGGACTCACCCGCAACATGTCCAAGGCGGTCTCAGGTCCAGTAGCCCATAACGTGTACTCGCCAACGCTGACCGCGTCGCATCTTGCCTTCAAAACGCTTTCCATTTCCAGCACGTCGGTCTTGAGCTTGGGGGCTTGTGCCTGGCATCGCGAATCGGCAATGATCTACTAATGTCATCGGAGACAACATAACACAACGCAAGACTCCCAGTCAACTGAGCGACCTACTGCAAGAAGAACCCCGAATGTCACTCATCGACTGCGCACTTCAGGGAGAAAATTAGATGACAGCAGTCCTCTGGCAACATCCCAACGCGATGCCAGAAGAAACTTTAAGAAACGCCATGGGCAACAACCATGATGTGATTTCTGACACTACCTTGAGAAGAGGGCCCAGTGCTAATTCCACATCAGGCACGATCTGCTTGAGGTCAGCCATCAAAGATGACGCCCGGCTCGCTTGTACCTCAATCTCCGACACCTTGTATTGAATCGATGCAATTGCAGAGGGAAGGGGATAAGCAAAGCTCTCTTTTCGACAGCGCCTTGTATTTTCCTACCAGTATACATCGTATTCCATCTAACGCTCAGCGGGGCTACAGTTGTTTGGATCAAGAAGGTCAGGTCGGTCACAGCACCTGTATCTCTTCCTTCCGTAGATGCGCCAACACCGCAAGGCTCCTGTCCATGAGTAACTGCATTCCTTCTTTTCTTTCGTGGAAGAGAATAAGTTGGCGTTGGACAGAAACGACGACCTTGAAGACCTCACTGTTATCCGTCCCCGTGGCGATTTTCCGCTTGATCCCCTCTTTTGCCTGAGAAGAATTCCAAAAGTGCAAAATAACAAATACCCATAGCGGGGAGGGGCGTGTTGCAGCACGTGAGAAGCGCGACCACAGCACAGATCACCACACCTCTAGCGAATGCCATATGTGGAAAGCACAACGAAGAAACATGAACTAGTTTGAGTGAAACGCACACTAGTCCCGTGCCGAAACCTGCATCAGGAGTGTGCAAGACGAAAAAATGAAACAATACAATTCTATCGTCTCAACATTCGCCGGCTACGTGGTAAGCACGGCAGCTTGACCAGGAACCCATGAAACGTTACATGTCCGAGTTGAGCTGCGAGAAAACAGGCGACTAACCTTCGTTGCGAACTGTAAGAGCGACTTTATGTCCGCCGTTGTTTCCTTAATCATGGCTGGTCCCGACATGGTGTTGTTCTCCGCCGGTTGGCCCTTCTGGAATCTGGCTGCAACAGGAGACCCCCTCACCGGCCCTGCCACTCCGCCGAACGTCCCCTGAAAGTCGACAGATATTTCGTACTCGCCCGGAGCAGGCGGCACCCAGCTGATGACGTACGTGCCGTCTTTGCAGTCTTCGTTTCGTCGGACCTAAGACAGTGCCAGGACCACACCCCAAGATTAGGAAACGGGGTGATGATGTACGAGCCCTCTTGCCATCAGCTCGTGGCCTGTGTGTGTCATCTGGAATCATCGATCATCCTACCGAACGTGGGAACAATTACGATCACCGTGATTCTCGATCTTTGATGCTCGTCTCGTCCAGTAGCGCTCCGGTTGTCATCTTCCTGTGCACTCCAGCCCGTCTCGTCTTCATCGTAGTTTTCGTCCATGAGGAAGAATATGTTGACGTCAAACTGGTCGCCTCCGAACTGACGGTCGTGGTTGCTCCCATCTCGCGCCTGTTGGTTAGAAAGCAGCCGAATACGCTAGGTACAGGAGACGTTGATTCGCTACTACCTTGCAGAGTACGGCAGTAACCTGGAGCAGTCGTGCGCCGAGAAAACGAGAGAAGTAAAGGCTGACCCACCTTGGACAAAGCAGAGGGGCCACAGGAAACCGAAGAAGCCAAGACTAACAAAGAGGCAGCATCACCTGAATAATGAACATGGTTTCACGCCCGGGCACGCCTTCCTCGAGGAGGCTTGGTCCATACATAAAGCTGAAGTTGGCGTCCGTAACGGGGAAGAACGTAAACTTTGCCTTGGTGGTGGTGAAACTCTCACCCGCAAGACATACTCGAACATCCACCGTGCCGGGAGGTATACCGGTGTTCGTGAAGTTCGGGGTCGAACAGGTGAGACGTGTCTGGCTGACGAATGTCCCTCTCACGTCGATGAAGAGCTTGCGATACGAGAAGCGGATCTAGCGACAAGGGAGGGGAATATCACATAAAGAGTAGATACTCTCAGGTGTCCGAGCGATGATGAGATCCGACTAACGAAAACAATGAGGCAGAGGCGACCGACGCGTGGTTGAACAGCATTGCCCCGAACCCCCACCAGAACACATTAACTGCCCTGGACTTTTGCGCAGAGAGCACTCAAGTCGAGGAAGGAAGTGCCAGACTCCTGTCGCAGAACAACTCCATTTGCGAACGTCAGTGCCAATGTACAACTGTATGCCTGAAAAGAAGGCTACTTGAACTTCAATCTCACCTTTACATCTTCCGTGTTGATGAAGTCGATGCCGTGGATATCTAGCAAGGTTTCACCCGTGATTGGGCCGTTGTCGGGAATAATATCCATGACAGCGTATGGTGGCCCGACGATTGAACCCACGTCGAGAGTAAAGCCATCGCTGAACCACCGGTTTGCCCACCCGCCGTACAAGATCAGTTTTCCTCCCTAAAAAACAAATGTTAGACACACAGGACCAGCCCAACAACCGTCATCAAGAAGGAAGGAAGCACGTTCCTGTGCACCTGCTTGAAGAAACTCGGTGTGTGGTTGCTCTAGCTTGTCTTCTTTCACCTGTTGGTAGTACTCGAGCTGCATGTCGCCTCTTGGCAGCGGTGGATCTCCCTGGATGTCCGGGAAAATCCAGCGCTCCGTACCCGTGTCGAATATTGACACATCATTCATGAAGGTACCCTGGCGGTTCGTGTCCGTGATTTCACCCCCGACGCCACCAAACACAAAAATCTTCCAGTTTGGTACAGATTGTACCGCATACATTGCGTGCGACCAACGCGGTACATCCATTCCTCCCTGCTCCACCTTCGCAGCAACAAACACAGCGACGAACAGGGCACAGCGAGATGCAACAGGTCCAGGATCTCGAGGATCACCATGAAGGTTTGGTTGCGGTGCTAATACCCTGAAGACGCAGCAAGCAAGCGCTTCAAAGCCTATCGATGGCCAGATTTCAGCGGGGAGTGAACTTATCAAATCGACATAGCGAGAATATCCTGACTCGATTGAGTCACAGTCCCGTGAAGAAGTGGCTTAACCGTCACCAGCGACGGGTCGCTTCTCCCCTTATTGTTTGGCGAGGAATGCAAAGCGTTGAAAAAAGGTTGCTCGGACAAGCTAGAGACGGGTTGACAATACGATAGTGCCTTCGTGGACACACGTCCCATGTTCAAGATCCATCAGAATGTTCGTAGCGTTCGGCGGATCGTTCACGGTAAACTTCTCGAACCAAAGAGAATTTTCCTCCGGGTTTGTATGTACAATAGCACTTGAAAGCACCAGCCTGTCCGAGCGATTGGAACATACTCACCTCCACCCACACAGGCGGGTCTGCTTCGGTGTCGAGCGCATACATATCCTTGAACTCGGTTGTTGTGGAACGGCCGCCGATTACAAACATGGTACCATCCACGGCGGCTGCACTGTGCTCCGATCGCCGGCCAGGCCCACGACCTTTTGGCGATACCTAATAAAATCGATAGCACCATCTTTACATCAGTTTACCCTTATCCGCTACTCTCTCCTCGACCTGCTGACGGATAGTGCTTCGTACCCTCCTACACCTAAATTCACCATCTCACATCTTCTTACAGTCCATCCAGCCCTGTGCAGATGGAGCTCCTCTCAACTACCCAGGTGCACCCTTTACATCCCGCATTCAAAGTCTCGGTCACACAACAGTGGCTGGTAGTAAGTAACCTCGCAACTTCTAACGTTTAGACGTGGGTTCGAATCTGGGGGCAGTCACACGAACTGGATTGTTGTCTCACAACATGCCCAAACAATGTGGAGAGCGATAACTTCGTGTGTGCGCAAAAATTCGACTCCACGGTCGACGAGGGAAAGGAACGGCTGGATCCTTCTCGCGATAACAATCCACGCAAGCACCGCAGAAGAAAGGAGGGAGAATACAGCTCCTGTGTGGCCTTCCACTTGTTGCGTGACCCCGGCCGGTCGTCCAGAATTGTACTACAAGGGGTAAGGACATTTCCGGAACAAAGGGATGACAAAGGAAACTCCACTCTATCGATATGTACCTACCAGGTGGTAGGTGGGCCGTTCTCACTCAACCGCCACCTCCAATCACCTGTGAGTGATACTGACAACTTCCCAGGACGGGTCGTAAAGACTAAACGTGATTCACGACAATATACAGTACACTGATGTACCTAAGGTTGTGTGCATTCTCACCTTCGTCCACGTCCACGTTTCAAGATTAAGCGTGCAAACGTCTTCCAAGTCCTTGCGGCTGTACAGTGTTCCACCGTATCCCCCATAGACCCAAAGGTGGGAGCCCATAAAACAAGCGGAATGCCCCCCCCTAGACGAGAATGCGGTCGCCTTTTGTACGGGAGGGGTTGCTTTTTCTTCCCACTGTCGAGAGACGACGCTGTACAACCATACATCACTTAGCCGTGCGCTGGAGGACTGGAACCCACCAACCACAAGTATCCTGGAGATGATGACATAGAAGACAGAACGACGAACGCCCGTCTGCTATATCGTTCGGAACTATAGGGAACATTGCAGATATCGATGGTGCAGAAGCGCACGGGTGACTCGGACTTTTTTGAACCCAGGCTATGTTCGAATCGGGAAACTGCATCAGTCGACGTCAGAAGCCTCGTCTCGAACAGAGTTACAACACGGAATCCGTTCTTTTTCGACACTACAATCACACCGACCTTGTCAGTTCAGACAAATTGTTTTGCTGCAGGTGAGTCAATGTGCCTACATGTACCGAACACCACGGGGCATTCCCGTGGACTCGGCAGCATGGCGAAAGAGTTCCCGGGCCGACAAACGTATTTTATGCGCTCAAGGTCCTCAGACCTACAGTTTGTTTGTAAGTGGCTGCAGGGAAATCCGATTTCTTGCTGTCAGCCGACTAGTAATGCAAGGAAGTATTTAAAACCTATACTCCGTCAATGTTTCTTTTTTGAGGGGTTGTCCCAGCCTGTGTTCGTTGACTTTCATTGAGTGGGTCCCAGCAGGGTAGCGGTCCAGTCCATCAATTACTGTTCATGTTTTCAATCCGAATATCTCAATCGTGCTGGTCATCACAACACGAATCTACGAACTAATTGCCAAAGGGGACGTGCCTGTTCTCCCCGATGTAGGTCGCCGTATGTCTCCACCGGGCACAGGGCCAAGCGAGCGTATTTGGTGTGCTACCCATGGTTGCAAGAGCATCTTGGTCAGGAGCGTTTGCGTCAACCTGAAAGCAATAATAGAAAGTGGCTAAGCAAACTGCACACTTCAAAAATTAAGAGCGCAAAATGGGCTTCATGTAAGGAACAACGTCTTTAGTTGATAGTTAAGCAGTCCTAACGTCCACAATTCTTACAACGGCAGTAGAGCGAGAATATCACCTTCTTTGAGCAGGAGTGCCACTCGGCATCGGTTGAGCTCATCGTCAGCAGCCACATCTCATCTGTCGGTCCAGCAGGCGATGCATCTTCCACAAGCCCGCCAAACATGTACACATTCGGACCCATGGCAGTGATGGTATGGCCTGATCTACCAGCCGGCCTATCGCGTTGACGGCCGCTGGCTTCCCTGATCGGAGCCCACGTGAGTTTCTGGCTCATGTTGCCAGGGCCCAGGTTCCGATTCAACACTTAGGCTTGCTCCCACGCTCCCACCCCTATCTCATGTAGGTATTATTTTCTCTATCCACCTTCAGTGATCACCTTCGGTAGTATCATTCATCAACGCGCGTGATATCCATTTCTTCTCTTCATCGTTTTGAAAATTCCCTCACTGGGCTGCGGTATCTTAATCTTAACGTCTACCATCATCTCGCCGCACGTCCGTTTCTGCCCGAATCGTTTTTGTTGCTCCTCGGCCATCGTGTATCGGAAAATCGGTTCCAAATAATTACGCCGCTTCGGGTGTGTACCGGGCAACCGGGGAAACGCGAATGCACCCGTACTCTCGTCGTTTAGTGAAGAACACAAGCTCGGTAACGTTGGATGGGATTGTTTGAGAGATATAGTATGTTGGGTCGGGGAACATGAAGAACGTATTCCCAAAACAAAACGCCCACAGCCCTGACAGCCCCGTGATTTTTTGTATCAAGTTGAAATCTCAACGTCGTTAACAACGTCGTTAATTGTAAATTCTATTTCAAGCACGCGCACGCGACACGACGCTGTTATTCCACAGCATGCTGGGCACAGAGCGCTCCTGAGGAAACAGTTTGACGGAGATTTCCGCTGGTGACTGCTGTTTCCATTGTAGAGTGGTGTGCAGGGAACATCGACAATCGGCACGAAAACGAACGCCGGTTTGCAACCCTCCTGACCTTACCACGGAAGGACCGCAAACACCACCTAAATAAAAATTATGTCAACATCAATCACGTTAAATTTCCGAGTAGGTGGGGCAACAAGTAGCTTCGGACGGTGTTGGCAGCAATATATCTAGTTTATGTCACACGAGGGCAAAGAACAGCAGTGACGGAATTGATGGCGAACACGTGAGACCTACTTGGCAACGCAACTTACCTCGGGCAACCGTGCTACAATAATCCTCCGGTCTACAGTACTACTTGCAAGATTCTCGTAATTCTCGTTATCTCTTTTAAGGTGGTGTTGTTGTCATGATGCGGGACGGTACGTAACGAAGAAAACGGTAAGCAAAGACGGGCAACCATCGCCGACTACATGTAATACGAACTAGCTACTTGTTGTCACGCCGTGCCATTGATTGTGGCCTCGTATAATGTAGTCTAATTGGTTAGCTCTAACATCATTCCGTACGAAATGAAAAGTGAGTCCACTTCACCGGGGTTCGAACCCCCAAACAAATCTGCTCGAAAGGTTTCGAGATGAACGAAGCCGAGTACAGAACGCGCCACAACTTTGGAACCTCTTGTGTGGTAACCCTTGCGGCTCTTTCCTTTGTGTGGAACCCAACAGAGAAATCCTACTGGTACACTTTGGGTGGTGCCAAATTTGTTCAACTAGCAAGTTCTTGATTTGGCGCACTCTGCATGCAATGCAACTGGTACCTGTCCGAATTTGTCGCTTTGCATTGACACTTGTCGATTTGATCTTGTGAGGCAGTCGCCAGCACAGCTTTTCAATGGGTCAAGGTTAGACCCCCCTTCGCACAGGGGCAGGCAACATCGTTCATCTAGACAGGGCAAGGATAAAGGGAAGACACCTAACCTACAGGAGGCCCCGGAACTCGACAATCACATGTACGAAGACACGAAGACCTTTACACGATTGGTGTGCAGCTTCTAGCTGTTAGGATCTCTTGTAGACATGACACCCTCCGTGCTCGTGTGCATTGAGTCACTCTTATGAAATTCCATCTCCATCAGACGCATGTGAAGAGCCGCAATCTCTTCTCCAGCTGCCTTTGCATTTGTAACCATCTGCGGGAGAGTGCACGAAAGCAAAGCGTGAGGACATCATCATGGTGTCCGGTACATAAATACCAACACCTTGGTTGATTCCACAATCGCCTAGTAATGCCCGAGGAGCTTCGTATAAAAAAACAAGGGCAGAACCATATTACAACCAAGAAGTTGCTGATCACATCTAAGCCTCACGGACATTTCATGTCTAGTCGTCGCGTGCACCTGTTCTTCAAGGATGCGGATCTTGGTGTCTTTCATTTTCAGCATCACGCCAGCATCGTCAGAGGCTTGGCCCTGGACATCGATGCTGCTCTTGGTCCCTGCCATCGCGAGCCTCCATCGTAGTGATGCGTTCTCTTTTCTGAGTCTTTCGACCTATGGAGAACAGCACAGGGGAATACGACGTCGGAGCCACACGTCATTGGCCAATACTTGAGAACATGAGAAACAGCGTACGGACAAATTTAACGCCAGGTACCGTGTTCGAACCATAGCACACCCCTGTCCAATTCTGGTTTTAGTCTCCGCACCTCGGGGCCTTTGCCGCTCCTTTTCGTCTCCGTAGAGGGATCCTCCCCGTCACTAGTATCCCACCATTCGTTCCACCGCATCGTTCAGCAGGCACACAAGGGAAGAGTAACACATGATGCATTTGTAGCTTGTTGAAAACCCATGTCCAGCCCCAACAAGCATGAAAGAGTGCTTTTCAAGCGCAGTTGTTTCTTTTGAATTGGCGGAGAAATTTGCGACACGTTGTGGACACCGTGAAACTCAACAGCACCAAACATCGATTGCTGCACCATCACGCAGTGCAACTCACTCAGTGCTTCCACTGTTCACAGCCCGGCGCCCGGCGATGAGCATCTCCAGCTTCGCAATTACTTTCTCTTGCATAGTAACAGTCGACTTGTAGGCTGACACCTAGGAAATAACATTGAATAAGAAGGTGCGGTGATTTTGTGCTACAGGGGAGTAGAACGGGGATGATTGGTGATCCGTTTTTTACCAACCGAAAGAGGTCATCACTTACTGTGTTATTGAACGCCCTGAATCCAGGTGTTGTGCGCCTGATATTCCCCTTGTCAAGTATAAACAATATCTGAACGTGTTTTCGATCTCGTGTTCACTGTCGTCAAACATGGCGAAGCAGGGTGAATTTCAGGCTCATGGGGCGCAGCTTGATGAAAGACCAGGACGAACCACCTTGCAACACAAACAACGCGATTAGTCAGGTTGTGCTCATGCGCGGTACAGTTGAGGGACAGGGCAGATCTCGCTGTCTCTCAGCCAAGCTTGTCGTCCGGGGACGTTGCCCCTTACGTTAAATCTTATGTCTGGAACAAGGAAAACAGAACTCAATTGCTAAAGAATGAGAAACAATCTTCTCGCAGAAAAGACGAAGCTGTTCGTATGTCGAATGTGTGCCATAAATGACTTGCCCTCACCTTTCCCGGAAGTGCCTGCATTTTGCGTATGTAGACCGCCTGCACGTGCTGAGTATTTTTCATTTTCTCCATCTCTGACTGCGTGTGGTCGAAACCGAAGGTGTAGCACCCGAGCAATGGCGTAGTTTGCTTCGAATCAGTCATTTTTCCAAGTTGCGTCGAATTGAAGTGTTGTCTTCGTGCTTCAACAGTACACCTGTCGATGACCTGTACCCAAAAACAGTTGAGCTGCTCATATATACACCCTACCTTTAGCACTGCTGTTTGCCATCGCTCGTGCGCACAGTCCTGCGCAACCCTGCGTAGCGTCTGAAGGTTCACGAGCGAGATAAGCGAGACAAAACCGATGCAACGGATTCAAGAAACTTTGGTTCAGGAAGTAGTACAGGAGGCCATCAGACTACGTTGATCGAGACTACGTTGATCGAGAGCGCAGTGTTTCTAGGATGGCACGGTCTCCAGAGCTGGCGACGCCACGTTGACAAAAAAAATGCACACACCCCAGTTATCGTTCATTTAAACTCGTGGACGCGTACACGTGTTTCGACATCGAAACGATTGGGGTCTAGCGCGGCATGCACTCAAACCCGCCACGGCTGTGCCAGAACTCGTTTAGATAGCGGACCGTAAACTACGATGCCACGCCTGCTTTTCTGTTGGTAACACTAGTACACGCTGAATGGTGGTATAAGGGTGCCTGGAGAGTCTCACTCGATTCTCTTCTGTCAGCACTATGCACCGCTTCGCTAAAGCACGTGTGTGACGTCCGCCCGTGTCTCCATGAAGCCCTCGGGAAGGATCTTCGTCCTCCATAGCCTTCATCACCCGGTTGGCTTCCTAAACAAAGTGTGAGTGGTTGAGTTCGTATCACTGAGGTTAGTTGCGATGTGATGATAAAGGACGCCCGTGAATGGGGCTTCAATCCATTTCATCGTGCATTTCCAAGCGCAATGCCGAGTTTCACAATACCAGCCACCTTGCCCCCACTGGGTTGAGCCTCGTGCATAGAAAAACTGCTCCAGCGGTCATGCTTATAGCATGGAAGCTTCGACGCTTTTCATAAGAGTAATACTATGCATACATACAGCCAACAGATAGCACTACGTGTTGAAACGCTCGTGGGGCCAATGAGTCATGATCGCGGCCGCACATGACTTCAGGAAGTCTCGCCTGGCCTGCCGAACTAGTCTTCGCCACGGAAACACGATGCAAGCAAATAATCTTCATCAAGCGAACAGGGTGCAATGTCTCACCATTTCAGCCTCCGCCGTGGTCTTGCGCAGAGATTTCAGTTGCAAGTGAAGGCGGCAACGTTCTTGATCGACGTCCTCGATGTACTTCCTGAGCTTCACAATCTCCGCACCGCATTTTCTAATTGCATCAGAGCGCTTCTCCACTTGCTGCGAAATAGTTGTGCCACACGAGAAACGAGAGGTAGACATTCCGATGTTCCACACCACTCAATTAGGAGGGTCGCAGCGCAAGCTCCTTATTGGAACTGTGCCTGCATGTGCATGAGTGACGTCTTTGCTTCTGGGGGCACACATTGAAAATGCCACGCCTCACCTCGGAAAGGTTGTTCACTACACTTTGCTTCCGATCTGCTTCGGCATACACAGCTCGCAGTTGACCTTGAACAGCCTCGACTTGGGACCTCAACTCGTTCTCCGCTTCGGCATGCTTTTTAGTTGATCTAGACAGCAGTATTATATCCAGCAAGGAGGTGTCACGCAACCGCTCGTTGGAGCGTTTGAAGCAGCAACCTGAAGGGCTACGGAAAATAGTAGACACCGGGTGCTGCTCCGAATTGAAATACAAATAACCGACTCGGGAAATTGTCCTTGTGAATTCTGAACACACGTTAAACTTTGTGAACAATGTCAACAAAAGCGTCTGTCAGTAGAGCGCAATTGACCTTCCCCCACGGGTCAATACAATACGAAACCAACGATAGACCGGTGTCTCACTTTCGCCTGTCTTTGGATTTCTTCGGCGAACTCCGTCGGCCCTCGATCGCTGTGGCATGCAACTCCGACTGTGATTCTGACTGCGACTCTGACTGCGACTCCGACTGCGACTCTGACCCCTCCGTATTGCTAGTATCCAAATCGTCGTCGTCATCCTGCATGGGGGGTCCGTTAGACGCATTCCCACGGCGCCAATTGGCCAATGGTGCGCAACAAACGCATTGTTAGGAACATATTGGTATTGATCCGCAAGAGTGATAAGAGGTGGGATTCTCCTTCCGGTGGACCCTGACGCCGAGCACACCGCTCGCAACAAGCGGCGAGGACAATCCATCTGTCCATGCCCCTTCGCATTCCAAGCGATCACTCGCTTATACTCAGCGATTCCGCAAGATGAAATTTTGTTGACCCAACACAATAAACCTTCGTCTGTTCTTACGTAGCACCTCCGGATAATACCTTATAGCCTCAACCTCGACACGTCGTTTGTGGTTGTCGTGCGTATTGGAGGGGTGGCAGACAACGGGGAATTCCCGCAACTCACATCTTTTCCCACAGAGGATGCATCACTTCCTCGGGGAGATTGTGGAGGGGGACCAGAAGCCTTGATATCGACAACGCACACCACATCTTCCAGAACATTACCCTCCGGCGAAGTGACAACTGCCGAGAGCTCCGCCCCTCCGTCAGATAATCGTACATCATCCGGAATGTCCAGCACCGCATACCCCAGCGCTGTTGAACTCTGGGAGGACGCTTCTACAAAAAAGAAGGTTATCAGGAAGGACACCTGTTGGCGTTTCAGCACGCAACACATCGCAAAGACAGCGATAGCAGACAGCGATAGCGCAAAAAGCTTGATCTCTCTCTCGGGGAGCGGGAAGGCAGCGAGGGTCCCAGCATTGCTTTGTACTCCCTGGGCGACGAGGAGAAAAAACACCTAGTATTGTAGCCCGTATGGGCTATGAGGTGCGTGCCTTCGCAATGGGTACCACGGACCTGGCACACACTCCATTCTGTTCCCTTGCCGTATAGCCGTCGTGGATAAGCTCGTGTATGAGCCATGAAGGTCTTCTTGACTCTGGGTCCAACAGGAAAAGTGACGCATTCAATCCAAGCCACCCTGTTTGGGCCAAACATGAGGTGAACAAGGAGGTACAAGTGAGTGTATCCTTGTGAACAGCAGTTGCTTCTGGATCGAGTTCGCAGCTTGCGAGCACCAGTTGCGACTGTGGTACGTATGGCAAGGTGTTTAGCCTCCCAGCACAACCTAACACAATGTTGATCAAAATAGAGCGTGTTATAGTCACCAAAGCTCACGAAAATTTCATCCATCTGCACGATCAATGCAGCTCTGTGGGACCACAACAACAAATGTGGGGATGATGAGCTCACTGGTCTTCCACGATGGTTACAGGAACAGTATTCCTGAGGTAGTTGTTGCCCTCATTGCGATCCGAGCCTAGGGCATCTAGCTCGATGACCTTTTCACCGGCAGCATCACAGCGTTGCATTGGCGGCTCTTTCTTCTTGGACGCTTGGAGCGAAACGTTGTTCTCAGTTCCCTGTCATAGTAGGAGGCAAGCAAGCAACGATGTGCGACGAAAGTCGGTCGAGCATATAAATGGCTTGAGAATGTGATTCATTATTGAATGTCAAGAGTACTACAGCACAAACAAGGTGTAACCCTGTCGAGAACGTTTGAGCTCCTGGCGTCGAAGAGGAGGGGATCAAACTGCCCCACCTTTGGAATGCATTGGATAAAAGACTTGACACCGGCTCCAGCTTCTCTGCGAACTCCTGGTAAAGGCATGCCTTCGGGGAAAGTTAGCAAAAGTGCCTCCAGATGGAGCAGATGGTCGATCTTGACCACTGGATCCTCAAGGGCGACAACGACCGACACACGAAGCCAAACATCGCGTCCCATGTGCACCTGCGATGCACGCGGAAACACCGCCCGTCCCAGTGAGCATATGTACGCGCGTTGTCGTAACTGATCCCAAATGGACCTCACTTACCACGAACGCGTCGAGATCCAAAACCAGTGCAACGCTATTGGTGGTTTCTCGTGTCTCACTTCCATGTGGTAACCATTCCAGGGGACGATGTCGCCAAGCTGGAAGGTGCATGCATGAAGTCCTCCTTCTCGCAAAGTCGCGTCTACGACATCCAACCGCAGCCTACTCGACCGGGCCTCGCCCACATCAACTGGGATAGTGAGTTCCTCGTTCCAAACGCCCACTCTGTCCAAAAATGAGGAGGAACAAACATACGTTAGGTTAAAATGTGCGTCCCCAAAACCAAGAACTAAAAAACACCAAGTGCGAAAACATATCGAACCCAAAAGCTCGTTGTTGGAAAGACATTACCCATCAACGTCGTCGTTGTTTGTGTACATCGACGATCGAGATCACCGGGGACACGGTCACTCGGTCCCACACTGTCATCACCACCATGGGAATTGCGCTCATTGTACACCCTAGGGTCCATGTGACGATCAGCGCGTCAACGATTGTCACGCAGAAGAGTGCGGCAAGCGCACACGGAGGGTGATATTTGGGCTGTAATTCTAGGCAACCCAACTTTTCTGTACCGAACATTGAAACATGACCATGCATACCTTGACGGCTTCGTCCGATATGGTTCCTCGTCCGATTGTTCCTGGTCTTGCTTTAGGATCTGCACACGGTAATATGCCGAGAAGGAGAGAGAGCGAGAGAGGGAAAGAAGGAAAATGAGACAGAGACCCCGACAACGGAGAAGACAGAGACAGCAGAGCGAGCGACGGTGTCCACGGTCCACGGCTTCAATGGACAAGGATGCGGAAGAAAGAGCCTGCAGGAAGACAGAGAGTTTTTACCCCCTATTTGTCATATCTACTCCAGGTACACATTCATGGGCCCAACTACAACGAAGAACCTAACAGATCTAGGCTCCTGTAGACATTGAATTGGTAGACAGACATTCCCACCTTCGCCTCGACGACCCAACTAGAAGCGTCAGTGCCCGCGGCACCGCGTGGAAGCGGACTAGCCGACAAAATACCCACCCGCACACACGGATCCACTTCTCCCTTCATATCGCCATTCCTGGGCTATCAGGAGTGGAAGATGTCGCAACCTGCTGTCTGCTTTCTCCTGTCGCATAGCATTTGTACAGAGCAACCCATCGGCCCGCATGCTCTACAATTGTCCCGAAAGGGTACATGTTTCCATACCAAACCAATAGTTCACCGAAACGGTTCAGACATGTAGCGATCATACAATCTACATGTAGTGCGTAGTGCGTAGGTCCATTAATGCAGACTCAGCATTCTAAGTTAGGACGAACGACCCTCCGAAGCCTCCCGACAACCATCAAACTCGGGAGACCTTGCTTGATGGAATTATAATCCCTCTGAACTAAACATCGACGGAGGAACCTTGTCTGTCCTCGGTACCATAAAAGGGACTATAACACCGGCATGAAAATCCGTCAGCCACGTGGCCTACGGAACGACTTAACTCGTCATTGGCGTCGACAAAGAGATTTGAGCCGAAGTCGTCAAGATGGGGCTGTTTTACTTTACTGTATCGACCCTGTCGGCAGGCTTTCCAATGAAAAAACATTCGGTCTTCTTGCAGATAGATGGACAAACGAAGCGCGTGTACACTACACAACAACAGGCCGAAGGGGTTTCGGCCACCTATTGTTTTGTCCTCTGAGAAGTTAAGGGTGAGGCAGCACAGGGTTCGTGACGACAAAAATAATAATGTGAGGGCCGGGTTGTGGCACTATGATCGATAATTGTTGCTTGCTTAACCCGCGGAGTTCTACAGAAGAACACGGCAATACACACACTGCTGCTATGGTTTTCCTTTGGTACGGGGCTCGGTTCTATTTTCTTTACGTGGGGTGGGGTTCAACTTCTATTGTGGCGGCACGTTTTGTTACGCGCGTGTTGTACAACAATCGAAATCGAAAAAGCGCACTTTGGGCATCGCCCAGGAAGGACCGATAACGAACCCAGTAGTGGGCCGTACAATGTAGTGCCGGTCGAATATAGTGCTGGGTGCCCGGTATTGTGCCGGTGGTTTGGCTCGCGCACACGGACATATACAAAAGCCTCTCTGTACTTCGAACAGTGCGTGCCGGTGTCCGGTATAGTGCCGGTATACCTCTGGACACATACCGGCACTACACGGCCCAAGTTTCCCTGTGACATTCTTGAGTCTTTTTGTGTGTGGGAACGAGCATCGATGACGCTTGCCCGAAAACCTTGAAGGGTTAGGTTTGCCACACATACATGTCGATGAAAATCGTCTCTTCCATGAGTCCTCATCATTTCCAGTCCATCACGTTCACCGCCAAAAAAATTACCAGTAGCGTTCACATATAATCCCTTTGCTTGATAGCAATTTCATTTGAAAGGCAACAATGGAACCGGCCGGGTGAACGACACTCACGCACCGGGTGAATCTTCTTGCTTGCATCGTCCAGTAACCCTGTGTAATCAACAGGCGTCAGATCAGCTTCTGGCTTCATACCGCCACGGGCGCTTGGTACACACACTCGCAAGAAAATTTAGAAGGGGTGGTTGTAGTGCCGTGGAGTGCACCATAATTATCTGGACTCGTGCCCTTTCCGTTCGGTACTGCCAAAGGGCGCGCTGCGGTTTCAATTCTGCGAAGCATAAGTCCATATAACCCGTGTACGAAGCACGAATCCACACCAAATCTGTGACTTTGTCTCGCTTTTGACGTCGCCCAAAAAACCTCGGAGCGGGTGCTTCTCCACGCGAATCCACACGGGTAGAAAAAGCGGGAGGCGCCTTTTCATGTGGGAAACACTTTGCGGGGCGGGTTCGCGCTCGAAAATCAGACGGTTTGCAGACGCTGCTAAAACACACGACACATCAGCCATAAACACCGAGAGACAACTTTCTCTTGTTCAATTTCACGCAGTTGTAGAAAAACATAGCGACCTCTAAAACCCTCTGCCAACGCGAGCGCGCTTGGTAGAGCTGCTTCCTCCGCCCTTGATGAGCTTCCCGCCGAGTTTCACTTGCTGGTTGATGGTCGCTTGTTGCTCCTCTAACCAAGTGAGATTGTCGCGAAGACGGCGTTTCCTGGAGCGCGGGGGATTTTGGCTCATTATCAAGATACGTTGCTACAAAAATGATACGTTCGTACATTGTTTCGAACTTGATTCGAAAATTCATCCGGTACGACCGCACACGTTTCACAACCACAGATTCTTGGGGGTGTTAATCTCTCTTGTTCCTACGTCGGGCAATTTTCCAATTGTAGTACTCCCAAAGGGAGAGACAGGACTCAACACTGCCAAGTTACCGCACGCAAATACCGTTTGGGCAGAGCAAGTAGCGAGATACGTTCCCACATCCTAATTATAGAAGATATTTTGTCTCCATTCCGCCGGAAGACTGCGTGCAACAGGTGCTGGTATGAACTGTATTTCTGGCAATTGAACTACGACGTTGTCGGTGCATGTACCTGGTCCTTTCTTTCTCTGCTGTCTTGTCGGCCTTGGCGTGCTCTAGGAATACAGCGTCCCGCTTGAGTTCTCGCATGGCCCCCTTCCGTTCCCGCTTCACTTGACGCTGGAGCTGCTTAAACTTGGTCTGTTCAGTATCCTGTTTTTGGCGAGCAATGCAAAATAGTTTGAGCCCAACAAACCGGGGGAAAAAGAGCGTTTTTGGCACGCCCAACAAGTTTCCACACGCCAGGCTTCCTGTTACCACAGTTCGGCTTGGGGTACCGTACATCGACTATCTGCTCTCACAGATCCGCTAGACATATATTGGCCCTCGTTGGACCCAAAAGTTCAGAGCTAAGTGAGACAGCCAAGCGTAAGAAATATATGTGTGGTTTGAGAGACAAGCAGGCACAGCTGCATCAATCGAGAGGGCGTGGTCATGCAGACCCAACTACGCATAGAGCCATTCATTATAATACCTTGTGGCCATCCTTCTTCATCTTGTAGCTTTCTTGAAACTTTGGCGCCAGTGCCTCCAAAACCGGTGGTTCTACAGCCCGCCATTGAAGTGGGCTTCGTGTCGACGCACACTTTGGAAGTGACCAAAGGTTGTGGGCCAGAACGATATACGATGTATAGTTTGAAAAGCAGCATCAGTTAGTTGCACGTGGAAGCTGGTGAGCAACATCAAAAGCACCAACGTGTCGCAGAAGCAACTGACGCCCAATGCAAGAATGCAAGCATACGCGGGCCCCGACAATCTCAGCACTCATCAACACCATCTGCATGGGCTTACAGAACATGTTCGACTTGAAAGTGTTGAACTTTTCGTGACTTTCGCGTAATCTCCTCATTTCTCTCAAGACATCGATGCATGTCACGGCAGATGTACCTTCTGTATGGCCGTGGAGAGCTGCTGTGACAGATGTACGTGGAGCTTTTGCAGCGAAAGCGGTAGCGCAGGACTCGCTTCCGGCTGGATCTGTAGAAACGTCAGCACAAGAGCAGCAAGTCTACAAATCGCAGTGGCCGGGGTGGATCGCATCTTAACAATTGTTCGCAAAGCCAATGAAAGCCTTAAGAGCAGGATTTAGTCGAGCAACAAGTTGTGGACCTTCGGTCTGCCACGTTCAGGGGAATCGCGCGCAATACCTTCGAAAGCACGCTTTGCAGCGGAGCAAAGAGCTCGGGAAACGCCACGTTTTCGCTCAGAGCGTGAGCTACTTGAATCACCAGCTGATATAGCGCCCCCAACATTGCCGCCGCATACGTCTGACGATCTGGCAGTGTTAATCCCTGGGGAGGAGGAGGAGCATAGAAACCAACAGAGAAGCGTGAGAGCGCGATTAAACGACACAATGTGGTGGCCTCGGTGGAAAATGACAACGAATTACACGCTTCCTCACGCGAAAACCACGACACGGCACATACGTGAGTGGAAAAGGAGAGGAGAGGCACGCACACAAGCAATAAAACATGGCCATACATGATCTGGGAGGACCCTTCTGATCTGAAATCACGGACATACGCCCCAAAACACCAATACCCAATACCTCCACCACGCCCATGCTGAAGGCAGGAATGTCCTTGCTAGCGCACGACCCTGCCGCTGCACGCAGCCACCCGAACGGTGAGTGTTTGAACGCCGGAGAGAGCGCCGCCTGCAGAAAACGAGGTTCATCAGCCGTATTATAAGGGGTGATCCACTCGGACAAATGCCGGGTTCAGAGCACCAAAGGAGAGCACCACACGTGATGTTGACATCATTTTGCCTGCTTTCCAGCGCCATTCGCAAGAGTGGGCCAGAAAATTGAGGAAGGTGTCGGGGCCTCCGAAGCATAGATATCATGGCTCATCATTCAAGGCATTCCTGTTCTCAGCTTGTGTCCCAACATATTCTCAGGGGAATTCTGTCACCCTTCACAAAAGCAAGGCCTCTACAATATCTTGCCGAGGATCACCTGTGTGCTTGGACTCAAAGTGAAGTGTGACAAAGCAGATGTAAGGAAGACCATAACCTCTGGGGAGAGGCGCGTAGCACCAAGGCAGCAGTGTAGCACCAAGGAGCAGGAGAAAACACCTGGAATCACACCGAGACGAAACCCTCGGTAAGGATTGAAGACCCTCGGTAGGGATTCCACAATGTGCCACGATTTGCAGCACTGGTCGTGGGGGAGAGCATGTAGCAATTCGAGATGCCCAATGGCTCCTACGAAGTTTTCCTTAATGCAACCGACACGAGTCTGCCGTTGAGCAGCCGTGCCGGCCCAAGAAGCAAGGGCGCGACTCAACGTCAACGCTCGATACAAGGACGACGCACCCAGATTTGAAGGCCACTTCATAAGTCAGCGCCATGATGGAATAAATTTTGCAAGCAAAACATCGTGCGGAAACCGGGAAGCCCGAATGTAGTGGGTGAGTGGCAACCCAATTGGATCTAACCGATGCGTCCACAATTCTGCGCGCTAAGCATATAGGCCTGCGTAGTTGGCCAGCACGTCTGTTCGCACCTGCGCTAAGGTCGGTGCTTGTCTTCACCGGGCATTGGCTGAGGCATTGCGATAGGTGGAGCACGGCGGGAGTCACAACGGGATGCCTGCGAGTACGGCGTTCGGGTTGCGTGCAAGGTTAGTGGCATGCGATTGATCAACTTGGTCGAGTTTGCGTCAACACGCTGAGGGCCCGAGATGAGAAGTGGCACGAGGGACTTACAATAATGACGACATTGCACACGGATTCGGTTTGCAACAACGCCCACAACGGTGACAACGAAAGAGATAATTCGAGTTTTTGACGACGGTGGCAACGAGAGGGATACTTTCCCCCCCCAACTTAATTGTCCAAGACCCCGATATGTAATCATTTACAAGGTTTGGTCTTCTTCGCAAAATCAGCCAATATCTCAAGAGATGGAACCGCCAATCTATTTGAAAAGTCACAGATATCATGCGCATTTGTACTACGGCTCAGCACCAGCATATCTTTCACTTTACCAGAACTTTTCTTACAACTGCCTGCGCAAACCTGCGTGGGGAGGGAACGAAACTTGTTGTTGAGCGAACCTGAAGTCAGTTGACGGGAAAATGTGGACCAAGAGTTTGAGCAGCAGGAGCGAACCAGTGCTGGGCCAGTACCCAGACGCATCAGCGCCAAGACTCAAATCTTCCATGGCCTGAAGGACGAACGAGTGGCAAATTGGTATCGGAATAACTTACGACATTGGCTGGGCGAGCGCATACGGCTTTTACGTTGTTACGAGTATTCTGCTGGCGCCAACTTGTGCAAGGCCTTCAAAGTATGAAATACTTGATTGAATCACAACCGCGGCTCCTTTTAGACTTGTTGGCGCCACTTCCAAACCCCCAGACGAAAGGCAAGCGGGAGCAAACGACGGGAGATACACGACAGCCACAACACACCAAGAAAGGCAGGGGATCAGAAACAAGACCTAGCCACCACTCTGTTGGCGGTCTCCCCACAACGAGCAGGAATGGTGCTCCGTCTCCACGGAGATGCGTAGTTTATCATTCAACAACCAGGGCAGGCAACAAACGATTACAATGCCCCCCCACGGGAAGAGACACGAGGAAGGCAAAAGAGCAATACCGTAGGAGAGATATGGGGGACGAGACGTTGCCAAAAATAGCCCGGGACGCGACATGGGCAAACAAGGCGAGAGGGGTAGTCAACCCACAGAGTTGGCCAAGGTTGTACAGCTAAGGATGGAGGGTTCGACATCGACGAATATGACACGCTGGCAAAGTAAAACCTAGAGGGGTGCGGACGAGTTATGAGACGCTTTTGCGGAGAGAGACAAGCTGCACCTACGAGAAGCTACATATATGTAGGGGACGGAGGGTATAGAAAACCTACCGAATGACGAACGAACAATAGGCTTCAAGGAGCTCGCACGGATCAATAGATGAAGGAACAAGGATGGAGGTCGAATATAGGAGTGCGACATTGACCTTCGAGAACGTAGACAGAGATTTGGGAGGGTGGGCGAAGGCGACGACAAATTTGCGAATGTGGGTCCAAGGGCGAACGCCGAGTTCACGTAGTTTATGAAAAAGAGAGAAAAACGTACATGGCTGAGCTGGGGGAAATACGCTACAGAACAGCCAGGAGAGACGGTAGGTATCCTGGGTTTTTCACAGTGGTCGTCTAAGCAGGCGAGAATAGGCAGGAATTTTCACCACACTCGAACAAAGCGCATCTATTTCCTACCGCAAGTCAGTAAAGGTTTATGCAAGATACAAAACGCGAATTCCCACCAATATCAGGATCCGTCACAACTGAACAAAAAAACCATACTTCGTATTCAAGAAGCACTCTTCCAATGAAACACGAATTTGGCTTACTTTGACCATGCGCTGGTGGAGGGAGCCACAAACTCGGTGCCACAAGGAAGCAGCTACCTCAGGCATCTCAGCGGTTATGTCGTAGATTAATCTGGAGTCAAAAACATGGGAGGAGGGGACATGCTGGGCACGCGATTACAATCGTACGGGTGGCAGATCGGTTCGTTTCACACCGGAAACATGCGAGAGGGTTGGGGAAAGCTGATGAGGCGGCGCCAGGATACATGTAGTTAACCTCACCCTGACAAAAAGTCCAGCTGCTTTGCTCGATCCTGCCGCGCCGCTGATGAAAGCTTCCCCGATTGACTTCCCACTCGGCGGAACCGCTTCAAGAGAACATCATAAAAGTTGTGCATCCTCTCCTTGTTGCGCGAGTCCAGCTTGATGCTGTTGAGGTCATGGCGGGCACGTGTTACAACAATTCAAGTGTGCGGATATTGGTTGGGTGTATGGTCTACACGTTTACACCCGAAACTGGAGCCAAGAATAAACTACCCTGACTTAACGAATCGAAACGATACGCACCGTGTATCAAAACTTCTTATTGCATGTGCAAAACAGCACTTTTTGACTCAACGACGTGCTCTACACAAGACGGCATACTAACGGGTATTGTGCTCTTGGAAGGCTAGACCGACAGCCCTCAACGGTAAATGGGAACGAGGATCGAGCGATGCAAGGTTTCACCTGTGATTCTTGTGAATGCGGTCGAGGATGGTATTGATATCGTCGGCGCTTGTGGCGTGCTCCGCTAGAAGGGCCAGCAAGCCCTGCGCACAGAACAAGGGACAACGGTTTGTTACAGGCGTGCCATCGTTTGACCCGTCGATGGTCTCGGAGATCGACTACAGACCGTGGAGGGTATCTACCTGTACACCACTAATAAAATGCCGTGTCACGGCCCGTCATCCAACCATGGCAACAACAAATTACACTGATGTACACGCACCTCGTATGACGAGGGGCAGGCAAACACGTACGGGAGTTCCCTTGCCGCAGGTGCTGGCGACGCCTTGCCTTCGCACCTTTCCACCTGCGCTGGTGGGTCTGTTGTGCGTAGCGACCAGCCGGAAACTTAGCTCCACTACTCGTTGTTGGCAAGGGAAGAACGCAAGAACAACCATGCATGCGCGGGTGTGCAAGAAGCGAAGCTAGTCACCCGGCAACGCGTGTGTCTACCACGACCCAACGCCACCTCGGTCCGTGGCAGGCAGAAAGTAGCGTTAACGAAGAAATGTGTGAAACCAAGGACAAAGAGTAACACACACGGGCACTTACCATCTTCAGCGTCTCCTTCAGATTCACTCTGCCATTCGCCATCGTCCAATTCTGCGGCTACGGCGTTGTCATCGCTGTCGCTTTCGGACATTGAACTATCACCTGCGGAAGATGAACGACCAGCACGCTGAGTCACAGCTGCTGCATGCCATGTTTGCACATAAAAAATAGAGCTTTGACAAAACCTGGCAAGATTTTTGGAGTGTACCCACACAAACTATTGAATTCCCGCCAACTTATGCGGAAGTGATGGAGGCATAAACCCCGGAGAAACCGACACGGGGAAGAATCCTGTGCATTCGACGAGCGATCCTCGCAGATCGGGACTCCTAACACCGCGCAATGATTCTCAGGGACAACCGGGGCTTTCCATACACCCAGACAATCCAGGTTTCGTCTAAAGGTTTTCAATCAAATAACCAACGGAGCAGGCTGTTGGCAGCATTAAACACGGGTACACTTCGTTCGGCTCTCTTATGCAACATCACAGCAACAGTGATGATTTCAAGGGATGCACACAACACCAGCATATGAACGGTCGCATGTCCCCCGATGGTGAAACGTGCGCACGAACATGGAGCAAAAACAGCAAGGGCAACGGAATTGCCGCCAACACGCAATTACACGGAGATACAGGGGACCCCTCCGGAGTGTGCTCATGAGAGCACAGTGTCATCAAGGGGGTGATGCAAGATTAAATAAACGCAGTAGCAGCTGTCACTTGCCAGTTGTGACGTTTGCTAAGCTCAACAGCTCACACTGCTTACGTGTTCCTCATTCGAAAAGGCCAGCGAACCTCAATGAACTAAAAGAACAGTATACAAATTCGAACACAGTCTTACAGGATACTGGCACAGTCAGATTCGAACAACGTGCATGATGATCTGCGTTCTCAAGATACAATCAACCTTGCCCACGCAGCGGTGGTCGCAACATATAAAATACTCGTTAAGAACAAAAGTGTCAAGCGTTGACACTGCCACATCGTCCATGCAATGTGCATGCCGGCAGGATATGCACGCACCGCTTCCATCAGAATGGTCGTCCTGTCCCCCAAGTGCCTCACTCGCTGATACACCCACGTCTTCATCACTGAGTTCGTCATCGTTCCGACCCTTCCTCTTCCGGCGCTCACTTTCAACAGAAGCCCCCCCTTCTGTGTCGCCATCCACGGTCTGGAGGGCAAGTTGACACAAGTGGCGTTGAGCAGAGGCACCGAGACCAACATGGAGCATAGATACAACCACCAACAATAGGCCTTCAATCTCTGCTGACGACGAAATGGGCTCGGGCGTGCTACGTAAATTGAGCCTCCCGTAGCTTTCTTAAAGTGACAATCATGACGGTCCCGAAGCGCAACGCATACAAATAATAACGTAAACAAGCCAACTCACGAGAGTACAATCAAGATAGAGAACTTCATGGACACATGCGCATACAGCCGGAATATAAAAACGCGACGGCAGTACGACACAACCAATAACCACACGTGTGACTTACCTGACTTGACATTCTCTCTATTCGAGCCTTTTCCAGTTTGTCTAGTCTAGCCTTTTCCGCCCTGCATATTTCAGTTGAAACAAGGTACAACGCGAGCGTGCAGAACCAAGTCGTAGATGTAACAAGGGGCTACGGTTGTCCAGCAACCATGTCGCTAGATCACAAGGCACGCAACCGAGAATACACTTGGAGGGGACGCGGCAATGTGAGGAAAACATTCTTATCTATGTATCAGGCACCGCCTAAGAGAGTTGTGCGTGCGAATAGGTGGACACAGGATGAAACTTCTCAGGGCTTCAGCAGTACCTGGCCGCTTCTTCCGGTGTCTGTAGACGGTCGGTGGCCTGGGCGCGAGCCTCGTACACGAGCTCCTGTACGCAGGACACCGGCGAATAGACGTAGCATTCGTTTTCTTCATTAGAAGGCGGACGCACAACTAACTCCAACCCTACCACAGAACAGGCAGCTGTGCCCCACATTTCGAATAGAGGCTCTCGATGTTGCTTGGGCCTTGAAAGCGACAGTGGAATTTGGGCCGAGACATCGTCGGTCGGAATAACCCAACTGCTCAAGACCTTAAAAATACACCCTATTTCCACATTTTCTTCCTACTAGTTCTCTTTCCAGCAGAATACATCATGCTACAAAGGCTCGCTAGGAGTGGAACGGGTCGCAGGTGAATACGCGAAAAACATCAAGTAATCGTGGTCCTTCCATGCGAAATGCGAACGAATAGGTTTTGCGACCAACACCACCGCAAGGGTTTAACGCTTCAACGGTTTACTAGCATGCCCAATCCTTTCAGCACAGCAAAGGCGCCACACTGTTCAAGTCGAAGGTGTATTGACAAACCCCTCCGGATTACAATAATGTTTTTGAGGGTGTAGGATAAACAGTCAGGGGTTCACGCAAAGGACCGCCACCCAAGTAGTACAACAAAGTCCTCTCTTCCTGCTAGCACAACACATGGCAAGATTGGTTCATCTTCGGTGCTATCGCCGGAATGTGAGGTGCTTGTATGCCGCGGTCAGCTGACTGCTTACCCGTCATGGCAGGGTTATACGAATCGTGCTATACTCGAGGAAACAAGCCATCTTTGACACTCGCTATGTTTCATGTTCCAGATCTCTCACCCTCATGGTGAGGTCGTAGTCATCAGATTGACCTCGTGCTGCGTTGCCTTCGCCCTTCGCGGGCCTTTGATCGAGCATACTGAGTAGCTCTCCCATCCCCTCGTCAAGCCGCTCACGCTCGCTCTCTTGCTCCTCCTTCCCGCGAGCCTTTTCGAGTTTCCTCTCTTTGCTTCTCGCAATGATATCGTTCAGGATTTCCTGGCGAGTTTTCTCGCCCTCCACGGGACCAGGCAACACGGACACAAATCACACGGCGCGCAAATCATGATCCAGCTCTACCGTAGGATCCATGTACAGCTCACGTACGGGTAAAACACACGCGGATGACCAACTCCCTAAGCTCATCGCGTGCGGATGAGTGTACTTGATCTGCTCATCCACGGCAAACAAACGAAGCTCAGCGGCCAAAACGCTTACCAGTATGAATCATATATGTAGTCATCTCACGGTTACATGAAACCTGGCAAACATGTGCAGCTAATACAAATCTAAGAACTGACTCTCTGCACGTGAACAACACAAGAGAGCACCACACGCTCAAGCTACACAGTCAGTCGGCTAGCTTGTCTATCCGACTTGTGTGAAACTCTCCCCACCACACGCATTTATCGTCCAGCGACACCATCAACAAGGAGGCTGGTGCGCATAACGATTCATGTTACCTTGATATGTAAGTGGACTCTGAAGAATACGTGTTGGTCAGGATGGATGCACAGCAGCCACAGCTGTTTCCTAGACAAACGCACCAGATCTCAACTGCACCTACCTGGGGATGAGTTAGCCGAGAGTCTCCGCCTCCATCACCGCCGAAGTGGAGTTGGTCGACGACTTCGGCATCGAGGTCGTCGTCTTCATCATCCTGGCGGCCTCCTCCGTACTCGTCGTTGTCGCCCAAAGCTTGCCCTCTGTGAGTTAGCACTTCACTCGTACCGTTGTCGTCCCCAAGGTTGAACATACCCACACGCCGACTGCGCTGGTTGCGGTCTTTCTGCATGCGAGCCCACATCTTTTCCTCGAGTAGTAGCGTGTCATCGTCCTCACCAAACCTAAGCACGCAAGTCAGGACCACAGCAAAGCAACACAGGGCTGGACGTGTTAATGCTGGACCTACTCCAGTTTACCACCAAAGTAGTCACCTCAGACCATCAACATTGCACATACCCATGTGGCTACGACGAAGACGGACACATGTCTCAAAAATCCGGCCATGTAAATACGCAGGAGCAGGAGAAGCTCGGCGCGCCGGGTCTCCGTGTTTGTGCTCACGCTCGAGCGTCGTGGGGTATGCAGGGTTACTCTACAACGTACACAGCAGCTGCCGTAGGCTACAATAAATAGCCCACCTTTTATCTCGGAAGGAGTTTGCCTTTCGATTACGCTCGAAGTCTACAAGGAGGGTTTTCTCTCGACGTTGGGTTGCCTGCCCCCTGGCCCTGGCGACGTTCCTCTTCTCGCCCTTGACTCTGCGGTTGAACACTTCGTGCTTCTTGTTCAGGATGCCTCTGGATTCAAAAGGGTTGTCCAAGACAGCATCACCACCTGTCGGTCGTTTCCGAGCACTTTTCATGATGCTCGAGACTTGCCGTAATGTGAAAGGAACAGAGAGAGCACGCCTTCGTCCGACTCGCGGCGGAGGATGTTTGCCTTCAAACCCCGTGAGTACGAGCGAGTACCTGTCTAGCCAACTACTCAACCACCCAAATATTGCGGAGATCTGTAAATTTTGGGCAAAAGCCAACTTATCTCTTGGAGAAATCGAGCAACGACCTTCAGCAGAGTACAACAACAGCAGGGTTTTCTACCGCTGTTTTTGACGCCCAGCACCCGGCCCTGGCTTGCTCTTGTCGAGTGTCTTCCTCTTAACTTCCTTGCCCTCTCATTTCGCGGTCTCAGGTATGTTGTCTATGTACAGGCAGGGGCCATCGTAGACCCAAGGCTGTTGTGATGCACGAGTAGGTTGGTGGAGAAGGCTCATTTCCATGTCCTGGGCCCTGGTGTCCCAGTAGACGGTGTTTTTAGCTGTAACGTGGAGCATGGACGCAGCGACACTGATCAAGTTGATCTTTTTATGGATCCTTTGGCTAAACCGCGCCTAGTCCCTTTAACGTGTTTCCATTCTCCAACGATAAAGTTGCTGTCTGGGCGTCCCGTGTGTACCGAATCAGTACATCAGTGGTAAAGGGCGGGCTAAATCAGTACATCAGTGGTACAGCAGTTACAGCCGCAGACCTTGAGACCAGACCATACATTTTGTAAGTATTCGCGTATCAATGAACAACGTTTTCCTTATGCAGTGCGGAGGATCGGTCATTGTGGTGTTTGACAGGCGCTGCAAGAGGGATACGTGAAAATGTTTCAGCTACTGCTGGCCCTCTGTGATGCACCTGTGCTCTCTGCAGAATATGTAGAGCAGGTGTCCAAGGCGAATGTGAAGGTCAAGACCCTCTGTCAGAAAGTACGTGTAACCAACCTCACAAGAACGACTACTTGTTTTTACCCGTTCGAGATAATGTTGTACCACAGAAGTCGAAAGGGACGTGTTGAAGTCTTTCCAGTCAGTGGGAAGAAACCGGCTGGATACTGGGCTTGTTTTAGGGTCTATTTACTGTACAAATGCTGACTTTTTATCAGTAATGCCAGCAGGTGCTATAATAATCACAATAACACTACAATACTGCTGTAGCTTTTACTACTGCTGTAGCTTTTACTGCTGTAGCTTTGTCGCGTTTGAACTTCGTTTGTTGCGTTGAAACAAGTTCAAGTGACAAGGGTAGTGTTGGGAGACATTCCGATTCTGTGCAATTATCCATGGGGATGTAGGGAAAGAATGAAAAAATGGGGCTGTGAGCGTGCGGGTGCGGGGTGCAGCGCTGTCTGCCGGCCGGGCACCTGTAAGTCACCTTCCAGCGTCCCATGCATAACGTGCTTGGGCAACACCACGACTTGCTATTTTGCACATGTGCAGACAGGATATGTCGTAGGGCGGGAAAAGGCAAGCACCACGGCGCTCACCCGGTTTTGTCACCACAGACCCTAGAGCACCCAGTACCCTGTCTGTGCGCGATCAATAATGTAAAACAACCCCAAATCTGATACCCCTTTGTGTCGGCACCACACCCGTGTTTTGTTCATGGTGACCCTCCTGCGGACTCGGGGTCCACATGGCACCCCTTTAAAAAGCAGCCTCAGTCTCACGTACCCACACGTAACCCATTTTGGGACGCCCAGCGTTCTTGCCATTCGAGTTTTATTCTGATGTCGAAACAACCGAGGCAGCACCCAGCAATGACACACCAGACATGTTAAGACCAGGTGGAAAGCAACAAAGCTCCGTTCGTTGTGGTACAGTGGTTTGCGGCTTGTTACACCAGCGTATATCACGGAGTCTACCCCCACACACCTTCTCTCAAAATCCCGCTAGTGCAAATCAAGACAAAACAGGCGACAAGGCGGGTGCTCAAGTAAGGACATTGCATTGCGGGATCCCAACTTCCATATCTGTACCAGTAGAGGACATAATGGAGCAGTGACACACGCATTGGCACCACCCAGGTCTGTTGCTGGGGTGCTGTCGAAGGCTTCAGCTACCGTTCGAAAAGTCCGTCATTCTGGGTCCGTGTGTACCATTCACAGTCCGCTACTGTACGCACCGTCATAGACCCAATACCCCGAGTTGCGGGTTGTCCCAAGGCAGCTAGTGGTGGGGGTTCCGCAAGCTGGAAGGGCTAGTTTGATATGTTGGCCTTCTAGTATATTGTATTGACTGAAACTGATGGCCGGGGTTTGCAAGAATCCCCTTAGACTGATTCTTATACACCTGATTTGCTTTCCCAAAAACCTTACTTTTCAGGATGGGCAAGAATCCGGCTGGAAAAAAGTCCGGCCGTTCTTACAGTGAACCGGATTCCTGAGGCGGATTCTTGGAGGGTGGGTGTAGATCAACCCAGACTTCATTATCATCGAGTGCGACCTGAGTTCTTGACGTATCGCTCCCATCAAGGGCTCCCAGCAACCCTGCGCTGAAGGGCTGTAGCTATTCTGCACGCTGGCTGTTGATGGTCGCTCGGCACGCGTGGGCAAAAAAAAACATATCGCATCGCACCAAGCATGGAAGACGCCGAAACAGGCCAAACCGCCACGAGACAGCAAAAAGAGCCGCTTTTTGTCAGAGAGGGGAGAACACTGCAACTGATTT